CAACATATCGAACAATGCTCCTTTCAAAAGATCACCAAGATAAGTACAAAAAGGGGGTGAAGTTCACTTGGTTATCCTTCGTGTCAAGTTCCATGGATCCCGACAAAGCCATTCCTTTTCCAACGAGTGTACCAGAAGAACAATCGTCTACAAATGTTACACTTCTTGAGTTTGACAATACATGTATTTGTCAGTGGCAACCACGAAACATTGAACAGTTCGCTATGTATGAGGAAGAAGAAAGAGTTTACCCTTCTGGCGCGCAATTTCAAGTAACAAGGCGGACTGACGGCAACGGCGAAACTCGAATTTATCTCAGACTACTTCCCGGTTAATGTATACCTGACAGTTATTTAAATGTCCAAAACATTTTTATTGCAGTAGATAATTGTCCAGTTTTTCTCAATTTGAGTTTAATACAATTAAACTTTTTTTGGTTTCCTTAATGGCACGTGACGGTGTGCCGTGAAGAAAATCTTTAAAGTTAGATATTAATCAAAATATGTCTCCAAATATGATTTTCAAAAAATCAGAAAAATTTAAAAACTTCTTTATTAGCTTTGATTTTTTTTTAAAATAAAACTTTTTGCATCTATGTCCTTTATTTTAATGATTTCGATCTTCAGAACTTAATGATACCAAGCCTTTATAGGAATTTTTTTGAAAGTGATTTTACGTAAATGCATGTGCTAGTTGTTGATTTCATTTATCTTTTGTAGGGGGGGGGGCTTAAATCCGAAAACCCCTCTGCTTAGACCTTTTTCTTGATTTCACTGACATTTTTATTATGCATTCTCTGTAACATAATTTTTTAAGGTAGATAGTAAATAGTTTACGTTTCACCACTGTTCAAAACTGTCTGATGAAAAAAAAACCCCTGTCTTTTTAGCTCACCTGAGCCGAAGGCTCAAGTGAGCTTTTCTGATCACATTTTGTCCGTCGTCCGTCCGTCTGTTTGTCCGTCCGTCTGTAAACTTTTCACATTTTCGACTTCTTCTCAAGAACCACTGGGCCAATTTTGACCAAACTTGGTACAAAGCATCCTTGGGTGAAGGGGAATTTAAATTGTTAAAATAAAGGGCCAAGTCCCCTCACAAGGGTAGATAATCAAGAAAAGACAAAAATAGGGTGGGGTCATTAAAAAATCTTCTTATCAAGAACCACTGGGCCAGAAAAGCTGAAACTTATATGGAAGCATCCTGGGGTAGTGTAGATTCTAAATTGTTCAAATCATGACCCCTGGGGGAAGGGCGGGGCCACAATGGAGAATCAAAGTTTTACGTAGAAATATATAGGAAAAATCTTTGAAAATCTTCTCAAGAACCAACTCCAGAAAAGCTGAAACTTATGTGGAAGCATCCTGGGGTAGTGTAGATTCTAAATTGTTCAAATCATGACCCCTAAAAGGGCGGGCCACAATGGGGAATCAAAGTTTTTTACATAGAAATAAATTTAGGAAAAATCTTTGAAAATCTTCTTCTCAAGAACCACTGGACCAGAAAAGCTGAAACTTGTGTGGAAGCATCCTGGGGTAGTGTAGATTCTAAATTGTTCAAATCATGACCCCCGGGGAAAGGGCGGGGCCACAATGGGGAATCAAAGTTTTACGTAGAAATATATAGGAAAAATCTTTGAAAATCTTCTTCTCAAGAACCACTGGGCCAGAAAAGCTGAAACTTATGAAGCTGGAAAAGCTGAAAAATGTCTAAATTATGATCAGTAGGGTAGGGTGGGGATGCATTATGTATTACAAGGGGGAAATCTGGTAAAGAACAGAATGGTCAAAGCTTCTCAGGTGAGCGATGTGGCCCATGGGCCTCTTGTTTTAGTTTTTTAATCAAACTATACACTGTAAAAAATAACTAGTTAATGTCACGAAGAAAACTAGTAGATTCACTGTCCATACAATCACTACCTTAATAGTAGTTTTACCAGGTATTGGTATATTTACTAGATAAGATTAGTAAATTTGGAATTGATGAGTAACTTTCACTAGGTATCTAAGTATCTATACGACCCCCGCTCCACAACTCACTATCTTAACCAGTAAACTGAAAGTTTACTAATCACGACCAACGCTTTACGAAACACACTAGTTAATTTCACTAGGTTTTTGTTTCAGTGTAACATATTTTCCCCTCAAAGCCAAATTTAGTTTAAAAAAAGGAAAATGTGAAATCTAAAATAGCAAAACAGTTTAAAAAGAAGAAAGAAAATCTGTTGTACTGTTTGATCATAAAGTCAATCTCCCATTATTTCTTTTTATTAAAACATTTGTGATTTCTTGCCTAAGTAAACAATGACAGATCACGATAATAAAGACTTTCTTCCCTTGATATTTTAAATCCAAACCGAATTCGGACGGGGAATTTTCACTATAGTCGGGGCAGGACCGTAGCATCGATTTTAAAAGTGGGGGGGCCAGCCACTGAAATTTTTTTTTACTTATCTGAAAAATTTACAAGCCAAAAAAAAAAAAGGGAAAATTGCCCAAAATTGAAAATCCTATTTCCGGGGGGGGGGGGGGGGGGGGGGGGGGGTTAGAGGCAAACTTTTTACACTACCAATTTCTTTCGATATCCATTTTTAAAGCTTACAATACTATTTTTCCTTCCTTCGTATTACTTTACTTTAGTATAAAGTCTGAGTTACAATGGGGGGGGGGGCAACCAGCCTTTCAATGAACATTTTCTATAGTAAAAGTATTGTTGGCAAAAAAAGTGGGGGGGGCTGCCCCCCCGGTTGCTACGTCCCTGCGGCGGTAAGGGTCCAATAAAGGGTTCCCCAAAGTCTCACTGTATATAGCCTGAATTCCAGGAGGGGATCATGATGTTCACATCCCGCAGTGGATTCGAAAGCTTCGACGTAAGAAACGACTCAGAGCAAACGCTCTCCCCACTGCGCCTCACTGTCTGGTTGATAGTGTTTTAAAACAGAAAAGCTACCAGCCATTGCTTTTATAGTCTGCTGAAGTTTTATTTTCCAGCACCTCTTATACCGTAATAAAATGTGAATTTATATTTTATAAGGAATATTCATAATTACAGCAAAAATGCATCGTCTCAAGCCACGGTCCGAAGTCCGCATAGCTCCAGAATGGGAGAGGATCGTACATACTGGCCGTGGTTTGCGACGATGGCAAAAACGAGGAAACCACGAAACTACGTCCCCAAAAACAAGAAAAACTGCCCACGAAAACTGACCACAACGAATTAAAATGATTCCACAATGTTACTAATATAATATCATTTTTTTATTTAAAATTTCAAACCTTTTCATGTAAGAATTGTGACCTCAACATTTTTTTTAAACCCAACATTAGTAAATGTTTCTGAGCATTTAAATAATATCTTTTCTAAGTATATTGATTATGTAAAATATCAATTGTACATGTATATAGGCCTATTCAGACCTTTTATTAATGTTAACTGGCATCGAGGCAGTCCTTTAAAATCTTTCAGGATGATCTATTTTTGTGCCATGTCAAATAGTCTGGACAAAGTATTACTGATTAATATTTTTGTAACATTGAATCATGGATTTTCCTCAAGTTTTGTTTTTTTGTTTACACTTCTCTAGGTATAACAGAAGTGATACAATGTAATAACTTAGAGTAAATAAAACTTCACCATATTACAAAACCACACTTCATACTCCTAGCTAAATAACTAAATAAAAAAAATAATTTAATATATCATAAGATGGTGAATGGGACTATGTATGGGAGTTATCGGAAGTCCAATTTACTTCCAAATTTATTTAAAAAAAATAATAAGAACAGCAATAACAAAAAAGTCTCTGATGAGACTGTAGCTCTACTGGTCTGAACGTGTACCAAATGAAAAGCAGTGCTTGGTTTTGAAACTTTGCAACAGGCAGCAATAAAATAAATTATGTCCCTTAATATACTCTACTTGTGTGCCAAGTAATATTGAAATCAAACCAAAACTGTAGGAGGAGATGCATTTTGAAAGTATTTTAAAGAAATTTCTATTTTTTAGTACCCATAGCAACACCATTCATTCAAAAAAAAAGTAGAGGTACTGTGAACAATGAGTTCACTAAATGATATCCCCGCCCCCCATATGAATATAATGGGAGTGTCCATGTTTTGTTGTGGGAAACCCAAAATCAGTGTCAGATCAAGAAATAAAATAGGAGGTGCAAAATGGCAATATGCAGTGGTTCTTCAGAAGAAGATGAAAATGTGAAAAGTTTACAATGACAACGAGGATAGACAGTGGATGAATTTTGATCAGAAAAGCTCACTTGAGCCTTCGGCTCAGGTGAGCTAAAAACTTTTCTGTGGTAATGTGAAAGTTAAACCACAAATACAGTCAAACCTTGTTATCTCAAACTTGATAGGACCAAGAAAAATTTTGAAATATTGGATGATTGGAGATATCTTCATTTCATGGGTCAAATGCTTCGAGAAAAAGTAGTTGGGACTTCCTTATTCATGCCATTACAAATTTCAGTGATACCATGAGATACCATAGAACTTTCAACCGTATCAAAAAATTTTCCTTCTCAGTTGGCTATTATTCTGTATTGCTAGTTACACTAATAGTTTAACAGACGGTTGTTTGGAAATTGATATTGAGACATTAACATGTATAAAGAATTAAGAAAGTGATAATAAAGAAGATGGGTGAACAAGTGGCCGGAATGCCTATGTTGCAACAAACATGAAGTGAAAAAATTTGCATGCCTTGTTCATCAATCTTCTTTGTTTGAAGCTTACATATAATTGTTAGTGTCAAGTAAAAAATATTGGCCCCAATAAACCATGATTAAGTGATCTTTCTTTGCTGGTAATTTCAATATCTTGTAATGGGTATTTACAAAATTTATCTTGTAATTACCAGCAAATAACTAGGTGTCTTGCAATAAACTAAATTATTTTCTCTAATTATTTGGTATTCTCTTGTAATAAGGAGATCTTTTCTCACAGTACTGTAATAAAATTGCAGAAATAAGATGATGTGGAAAAAAGTAAATAAAACAAATCACTATATTTTGGTAAGATGTTAAAATTTTTTACAAATAAAACTTGTTCTTGTTTAATGTTCCAACGTCATACAGATACAAACTTGTAAGTTATTGCTAGCTCCTCACTGCAGTTCAGACTTTAAGCTGTACGGACTTTATACTTTAATGATTACCAGTAGATGCCAGCTCCTTACAGCAGTTCAAACTTTATACATATATAACTTTTTGCCTGATCGTAACAGCAAATCAGACTTTATACAAGAAAACCTTGCTGCTTGATCCTAACAGCTGTTCACACTTTATATATGTACAACTTGTTGCCGGATCCTAACAGCAGTGCAGAGTTGCCAGCTTTGTTTCCCCATCTATCAGAATACAAAACCACTGGTACACATGTTGAGGAACAGGGCACTGGAGAAGGAATGGTTCTAAGGAGTCGTCCTGAGTTCTTACACCAAAACCTTGTGTAGCCTTCTAAATCACCTGAAACCAATACATAGTGTTGAAATTAAAACTATACCTATAAAAACAAGAGGCCCATTGGCCATATCACTCACCTAAGCACTTGGCATTAGCTAGGAAAAAATTTACAGAGAAAAGGGAGGGCTTGAATTATAGACAACCTGAGCATGCTTCTGTATCAGTATTACTAATGGCTTTGCTGTTTTTGAGCAGCAGATTTTTAAGGATTTTATCCCTACTTATATATTTGTAAAAATTTGATCCCCTGTTGTGGCCCAACCTTGTCCTGAGGATCATCATTTGAATAAATAACTCCCAAGGGGTCACCACTGAACAAACTTGAATCTACATTCTGAAGATACTTCCATCCATGTATCAATATGACTAAACATGGCTTTGCTGTTCTTAAGAGGAAGGTCTTTAAATATTTTTCCTATATATCCTTAAAACTTTGATCCCCCATTGTGGCCCTACCCTACTTCAAGGCGTCATTTGAGCAAATTTGTATCTATTTACGTAAAGAAGGTTTCCTATAACTTTAAATTTTTTGGCCCAGTGGTTTTTGAGAAGATTTTTAAGACATGCCACAAAATTTTCAGTATTTTTTAATTATCCCACCCCCTGAAAAAGGACATAACCCTTAATTTGAACAAATCTGACTCAATTTCACCAAAGGATGGTTTGTGGTAATATTGGTTGAAATTGGAGCGATGGTTCTGGAGAAGAAGTCAAAAAATGTGAAAAGTTTACAGAGGGAAAGACACCTAGACAAACTTACTGACCACAGACAAAATGTGATCAGAAAAGCTCACTTGAGCATTCAGCTTAGGTGAGCTAAAAATATAGGACAACATAATAAAAATGATAAAATATTATACTTACATCCATAAACTAACTCCTCTGAAACATCCATGTGGACAGGGATGCGTGTACCCTCATTTTTCATGCCTCTGTATTCCACCACTACTTTCTTCATCCGAAGATCCCAAAGTAATGCCTTAAATAAGAGATTAAAAAATTGTTCTATTGAAATTTGCTACACTCACTTACATATTTGTTTTAAAACTGTAAAATGAAAGAATTTGGATATCCCCCGACAAAATTGTTGAATGTAAAAGCCCAAACATTCTTAACAAAACTACCACATTAAGGTTCATAAACCCTCTGCTCACTCATATGAAATTTTTCTTTAACTTTTATGATTTTCCAAAGGAAATGTATGTGCTGAATAATAGACAAACAATTAAAGCATGGCTAGCGGGGCAATATTTGAAAAAAAAAAAGGCACTTAAACTTGACAAATTTATAAAGGAATAATAGACATTTGTGTCATTAAGAGTTATCTCTCTTATCAGAGTATCAATGTACCTTAACATGATTTTTATACTTTAAAAAATCTTAATAGAAGGGGGTCTGGGAGTGCATCATTAGTCAGTACCTGGTAAATGTATATGATTATAAGGCACAGATTTCTGTTAATTTACCAGTAAGTTTTTCAAATGCATCTGAATAATACATACATTTCCAAGTGCATCATTGGCTAAGAGATGGACATCATCTTGTGTCAGCTGTAGACTTGTCACAAGGCCTTTCATTTTCAGCTCAGTGAATGTTCGACCTGGGTGGCTCCGAGTGTCCCGGGTCAATATATGCCCCTTCATGTTGCCACAAAACAGGAGACAGGGATTCTATATTGTAATTTAAATGATATGATATAATAAGGGTACAAACTAGAGGAATGTGAGCACTGAGATCACAAAATATTATAACCCCCCCTTCTTATGCATAGAAATGAGAAGGTCCATGTTTTGTTATAGGAAACCCCAAATGTCTCTGATAAATATGCATAATAGATCACAATGGAATTATGTTTAAGAATTCTGTGAAAGTTATAGTAAATAACTATATTTTCATTTACATGTACTCTGTCAGTTTGTTGTATGTTATATATCTCTAATTTACCTGATGGGTGAATGTCGTACTGAACACATCACTTTTATGTGAGTAGATTTCCCAGAGTCGGCGGGTTTCTACCTCTATAAGTAGGGCCCCTTTCTCACATCCAATACAGAACCTCCTATAGTCTGAGTCCAGAGCACAACACCAAATGTATTTCTGGCCAATACTGTAAGAAATTGGGGTCCCACACATGCCTTGATTAGAGACCTTACAAATGTACGCAGTGCTGCTAGTGTTACCAATGAAAGGCACTGTGGTATACAACAAATGAAGGGGTAGAGATTTCTTTTTCTCTGTCCAAAAAATACTAGATGCGCCAGCACATAAACTCAGATCTGAATTTTCAAAATCGATTTCTATAGCACCAAAATTAGCCATTGAAACATCTGCGATATTTATAAACTTGGCTAAACTACTTGTAAGATCCCACAGAGATATAAGTTTATCAGAGTTTGAATTTAATCCCATCACTTTGGGATGTTCCACAATTCCATGAATTGATGGCACAACTATTGTCTGAGTAGAATTATTATCAATGCAAGATATTCTCTTATGAATGAAATATCTCTGAAATTGACAATTACTGAGGCTTCCTATCTCCTGTCTGCTTATTAAGTCAAGGAAATGGTGAGTATGCAATTTGTCTGTCTGTCTGTTAAGGTTTTCTTTCCTTTTCACCTCCTTTGCTTTCTTTTCTATGTTCTGTTTTGTTATGGTATGTCCTAGGCTGGAGAATTGATTAGGCTGGATTTTGAAGTATTTTTTCTTCTCTGGGTCATAATAAAACCCTGGTATTTGTATGCAAGTTAAAGAAAAGAGCAATTGAACATTTTTTTAGCTACTGATTACATGTGCATTAAACAAATTTTAGCATTTAGGTGTACATTGGTCATTGTATATAATTAAGGAATTACTGTTTGTTGTTATTAATAGGTTATAATGTCAGCTAGGGAAAGTGGAAACATGGGATAATTTACATAATGGACTGCTTTGAAGAATAATTACTGTATACAGGGTTATTTTCGCCCCTTGTTATTTTCGCCCTATTAAATTTGTAAACAATTTTGCCCCGTTTTAAATTCGCCCATGCAGTCATAGTTCTGTTTAAGAAATTATGCTGTGTAATTTGAATTCGCCCCGTTTTAAATTCGCCCAATCAAGGAGAGGGCGAAAGGGGCGAAAATAAAACGGGGGCAAAAATTTCCCTGTATACAGTAAATTGTTAAAAGTTTCAAATTTCATATTTGTGCCTGGCACACACAGAAATTCAAAGTGCATTTCACATTCATAAGATGCATGCATACTGAGTACTGACTGTTGGACACAACAAATTACTCAAGGAAATTGACATGTATGTCAGGCAATTGGCCTTCAATTGGCGAAATTTTCATTCAAATTGTAAATATCAATTATAAATTAATTTTTACACACTAACTTTAAAAAAAAAATTTAAAAGTTGGGAAATTAAAAAAAGGTTTTAAGATGTACTCTGATAAGAAATGGAAAATTACCTTGAGGTTGCCAGGATACATGTGCAAAGTTCAACCACATTTAATTTAAATTGTCCATAAAAATAATTACAAAATGTATTATGTAAGAATTATTTTGAAAAACATACACAGTTAATTTGTAGGCCTAATGTAAAAAAAAAATAAATAAATAAATAAAGAGGAATTGTCAAACATGGCATTTCAACTGTTCAACAGATTACAGTGATTAGAGTGATACTCCATTGTTTACAATACACAGAAACATAAAAAGATATCATAGTCTGTGGACGCTCTGGTACTGGAGCTGCCCTCTCCTCCCTCTCCTCTGCTATCCACGGTTGACCCTGTTCTTTTACCGTTTGAGTCAGCATTCGGACGTCGATTCGTTCGCCATTTCCTCCTCCCCTTCCCCATATGTCTGTAGCTATTTGAATCATCATCTTTTCCACCTCTGTTCCATTTAGATTTGGGATGCCTTGGTTTCATAGCTGACAACAGACAAGAGCGTGAAGACGAACAGAAACTGTTTACTTTCGTTTTTGACATTCTACTTTCATTTTCAGAGATTGCGCTTTCGCATTTTCGCATCGCATTGCGATCGAGGCGTCTCCTCCTATTTGTAATAATTAATGACAATTTGATTCTGGTTAACTACAATACCCTTATTTGACAATATTACAACAAAAAGAGAGGCAACTATACATTCAGTGAACATTTTCTAGTAAAATATTGTTTCTGTAAAAGGGGGAGGGGCAATCCATTAATATATAATTACGTGCTTGGTCTCTCAAGGACAGATTACTTATTTTCGAATGATCAAGGATACTTTATATTTTTTCTTCATTGAAAAATGTCTGACCCCAAAAAAGTACTCTTAAACTCAACAGTTGTATTTCGGAGAGAGAGAGAGGGCCCGGGGGGGAGTGAAGGACAGATTATTTATTTTCTAGACTACGAAAGTCTATTAGGATCAATCTATGGATTTTATTTAAAGAGGTTAGGCCTATAACATCTTTCAAAAAGGTGTAAAAACGCCAAAAGGCGTGATTACGCGTTTCCCTTTCAAAAGGGTGTTGAATAACGCCTTTCCAAAAATGCGTCAAATACGCATTATGAAAAAGCGTATAATTAATATTAGTACATGGAGATAAGAAACATTTTTCAAGCACAAAAAGTCCATAAAACAATATAACGTAGGAGTAGAAGACACAGACCTCCGAAACATCACCGGTGTATGGGATCAGGTGTCATGGAGGAGTGAGCATCCCCTACCGACTATATGGTAGCTGCAGAACTGTAGCTCTCCGAAAAAAAAATATGTTGACAGATAGGAGAGCTACAGTGCCATTCATTGAGAAAACTGTATATTTATTGCGCACAATAAAGTGCGCTGCTCCTTGATTTATTTCTCCATGTTTTTAAAACTCCAAAATATTTTTTGGAGAGCTACAGTTCTGCAGCTAACTAAATGGAGGCAACGTTAACAGTACCTCTTCTTTTTTCATGCGCGGATCTAGACGGATGTCCGGTCGGAACCCTGGAATTTGCAGAGAAAACGCAGACTTCCCCCTTTTTTAGTTTTGTTTTTTCTTTCTTTTTTTTATTTGCTTGTCAAAAAATGTCTGCGTTGGAATTTTTTTTGACTGGGTTGAACACCCCCCCCCCCCCGGAAAAATTCCTGGATCCCCTCGCTCCTCTGATCCTGTTTTTTTTCTGTGAAAGACAGACAATCGGACAGATAGACATTTAAATCAATTTCACAAAGAGGGGAACTATAAGCATCGCACATGTACCATGTGTCAAAAAATTAAAAAATGTGTGTCATAGGGGCCTTCATATGGGGTGTTCACTGAATTTAGTTTAACCAATAACTGAATAAGCTCGGGTAGTTCAGTTTTTTTTTTTTAATTCAAAACAATTCTATGTTCAATTCCTGTGATATAAATACAAATATAAAATTTAAACACGCTTTTTATATAACAATGAAAGTAGATGTACTGATGTAGCTGAAGTCAAGTCGTAAACAGTCAACGTACAACCATTTTCCGACACTTTGCGTTTTACAGCCGCACCGCACTTGGACGGGGATTTGGGCTTTTTAAACATGATGAGTAATCAAATCAATGCAGCATTAAATGTCCTTGCGTAAGACAGGTTAGAAAATCACTATTGCAGATAATTATTATATATATTCAAATGAAAATCATTAAATGGATTGTTTTGACCCCTATACACACACAAAACAACCTCTTTCGTAAGTTTCCATCATTGAACCATGTGATCATATGTCGACCTCGTGAACGAGTCGTGATTACGTGAATGAAATGTTTGTATTTTCATGATCAGACATTCAAGTTTTAAGATTAAAAATTACGAAATTAATGTAAGTTTGCCAAAGGAACCTGTTACTTTAACTAACAGGGAATGAACTCCATCTTAGATAGGGCCTAGACCTACTTTGAAAGTGTAGCAAGAAAAACAACCATGAAATTAAGAGTGTTTTACTTTAACTGTAGGAAACACGTTGGATATGTTAGAAGTTTCCAAGGAAGTTGGTGTCAGCTGAAAGTAGCCCATATGTCATCAGTGAGACCCAGACCAGTAGAGGTCATTGATTTGACTGAAGACACTGTGACCAGTGAACCCCCACCTATCCAGAGAAACAACAAAGGGAAATTTGTTAATTATAAATCTACCAGTGATGAAAATGGTCCAATTAATGGAGGATTTGGTAACAGAGTGAATGCAACTCAAAATTCAAAAAGTAGCAATATGTTTAGACCATTGCCAACTTTGAAACAAGCTGGGCAAGTTGTGAGGCATTTCAAGAGAGTTAATAAACCTGTTCAAACTCTGGGAGAGGGACCCATTGCCCCAGGGTGTATACAAAGTCAAAGCACTGAAGCACGGGCAGTAAGGGAGGAGAGTCTATCTCAAACAGAAAATCCTAAGCTGAAAAGATCTCGTACTGAACCATCATTCCAAACAGGTATCAATTATATTAAGTACCGGTAACTGAAATTTAGCGCTATCTTATACATTTGCACTTTGAGGAATGCTTTAATATGCTTTATTTATAATTAACTTTTCATTCATTTAATGAATTTCATTTACACTTGCAAGATTTTATATACAGTAAATCGAGAATATTAGGCGCACTATTAATTTTAGCGCCTTTGACGCAAGAGCCCTTTGAACGCTATAATTTATTGTGCGATAAATTTCTAAATTTTGTTTTTTGTGTGTGTTCAAAGCTTTCACATAAGTACATGTAAACCGGAACGCACGATTACGTAATGTAGAAGGGTCATTTGATTGTATAAACACACTAGCACTGTACATGGTAGGTTCGATCGAGAAAGTTCTGCCAATTATAATTTAAATAAACTATAATTGTTTCCCTGGTAGTTTTTACCCGGCCGATTCTTATCATTAGCACCTTCAAAGTTTGGCTTCTCAGTGCGTCAATCATCTATCGCCTTGAGGTAGACAATGCAATCAAGCATGGCGATTGAGCTTGCAGACAATACCTGATTATGATTACCGTTTATCCAAGTAACTTTCCTTCGATGCATGTATTGTATTAATATGAAAAAAATGCATAAATGCTGCACTTCTTTTATTTAAAATAAAATTATACTAAGTTTTAACATTGTGCCACGTCCATGTGATTGCAATTGCAACCACGGTAGAGTTGACGAATGTTTACTTATATAGGGGCCCGGACTGCTATTGTGTTTTTGTGCTTGACTAACCAAAAAGTCAAATACGGGTGGGGATATAAAACAAATTATTATGCTTCCTGTCAGTTTGTCTCTATATAACCCATACCCTACTATTCTCGCATAGTGGTCTAAGGATTTATATAGCGTAAGCATACTATGCCGAAATAGTGCACGGCTTTATTTACTGAACAAAATTCTTCCATGCACATGCCGGGGATCGAACTGACGACCATGAGATTGTCAGTCCGATGCCTTATCGATTACGCCATAGAGACCATCACTGATTGGTATAATTTTATGAAATATATAAACTTAATTTATACAATTGACACAAGAAGGAGAAAATAGACAAATATTATTTGAAAACAGTTATATTATTCTAAGGAACTTTAGATTAATGTGTACAACAAACTTTCAAACTAATTACATACAGATCGTTAGATGAACTGATTTTATAGGGTCATTAAAACGCTTTTTTATATGACGCTTGATTGAAGGATGTAAAAGAAAATTATCAATGAGAATCGACGTCTGCAAACAAATAAGGCTTACGAACAAAACAGAAAATAAAGATGTGTTGCTTTGGGACAGAAAATCCCGACTTATTTAGAGAAAATACTAGTAACCAAAATAACTAAGCATGCAAACAATTTTAGCATGAATATTTTGAATTAGTTCTTGCAGGTGCGCTGTTTAAGCACCGATATTTTCAGGAAAAAGTCAAATAGATTGCCGCATAAATAATTAACAGTCAGCATAATAATAACAATAGTGTTGCATTATGCATGTACTATGCCTAAATAGTAGGCAGGGTTTGACACATAGTGCACTCGCCTCCGGCTCGTGCACCATGTGTCAAACCCTGCCTACTATTTAGGCATAGTACATGCATAATGCAACACTATTATATAAATATCACATTCATATATTTGAATGACAAGTGCAAGCGCTAAAATTTATTTGCGCCAATGTATTCCCACATGCGTTTGCGCTAAAATACGTATGCGCCAAATTTTCTCGTTTGACAGTAGATCCTTTATCATTTATGGTAGGGTAACTGTAAACTTGCATCAAAACTTACCGTAAATGAATGAAAATGTATCATAGAGGCCAATTTGAGGGAATCAGCAAGATTCCAGTTCTCCAAGAGCAAGTCTATTTCCCAGTCAAAAACTCTAAGTGTATTACATTTGTAAAATTAAATAATAAACTGATATTATTAAGAATAAAAAAATGTAATGGAGTGCTTGGATTATACAAGCATTTGACTGGTTTTTAATTACCGGGTATAATCCATGATTGGAACACCACTATATATAGGTTAATATTGTAGATATTGGATAATGGTCTAGACATATGTAATGCATGGGTAAATATATTTTTCATTATTTTAATATCTGTAACTTTAAACAGTATATTTGTAACATTATTCATGCAGTTCAGTATCATATTTATTAAATAGCATAGCTTAATGCCTTAATTATAAAGGTTTATTATGAAAAGAAAACTGGGATCTTGCTAAGAATTGAAGTTAGACTGCACACAAAGACAGAGGTGCATGTTTTGATTGTTCAGTATGTTCAGCATGTTAGTAGTTTTAAGATGTTTTATGATTTAAGTGGGTTGATTTTAGGTCTGTAGTAAAATCAACATTCCAGTGCAGTCTTGATTCGATTCAGAATGGGGAACCGGAGTCGGTTATCTTATCTTGTATCGGTAGGGGGCGCCACAGGAAAATGCGGTCCATTACAAAAGTGATAAAACCTGTGAAGATGGATAATCAGCATCCATTCTCGAATACGATATCGGAAAGCACACACGTTTCAGTTACAATCCTTAATTTACTATGGCATCTAATTGTGGTGATATGACTATACCTGAACTTAAGAACGAGTTAGAAAAGTTTGGAGCAAAGAAATCAGGAAGGAAGTGGGAACTTGTGGAGAGGTAAATAAACATACGATGTTTTCATGCAAATCCAAGTAAACATTATTAATAACACAGTAAATAATTATCAATGGTGTGTAAAAGATTAACATTAAGTCAAATTGACAGTAAATATCAGAATTACCTCGTTTAAGAAACTAATTCTTAAATAATCTGCAACTTTAGCGTGTTAGATTTTTAACTTGAATTTCCTCGGTAATTCTAACATCGATCTCATATTGCTTGGTGCTTGCAGTAAAATAAGAATACTTCTCTACATTTTTATTATTAAGCAGTATTATTATTTCCTGATTGTTGCAGCTATGTTTCACTCAAAATATACATGAAAAAGAATTAAATATGCTTATTTTATTGCAGACTTGAAGCCTACAGAAGAAATGCACATTGTGCTAAGACCGATGTTTATGGACCTGAATTTATGATGATGACGCCAGATCCACAACTCTACAAGGACCTTCATGGTGACAAGACCTTTCCAGGTTGCACAGAGGCAGAAATTTCCACTTTCTTGTCGAAGTTTAATAAGACAACTGATAAGAAAGGAAGGGATATGTACAACGATGGGTTTATCCAGTATGTGAGGGTGACATTTCATGATTCAAATTGGTTCGTTAGAAGTAGTGTAAAAGCTTCAATGATGAAGTCTGTGAAATATGTTGTTGACATTATGATAGGAAAAGACAGAAGTGTTATAGAGTCTCAATGTGAATGTGCGGCAGGCATGGGACCCGATGCACATTGCAAGCATGTCTGTGCTGTACTTTTTTCATGTGCAGATTTTGTTAAGCATGGGACATACAAAACAGAACTCACCTGCACACAGAGGTTACAAACTTTTCATCGTGCTAAGCCCCATAAAGGAAGCCCTATGAAAGCAAGACAGTTGGACATGCCAGGCTGTGACGAAGTATGCAATAATGACTATGACCCTCGTCCAGTTGAATTTAGAGGCAATCCGGGATACCAGTCTTACTTTAGAAATGTGTGCTTGAATTACCCAGGTATTAGTAAGACTCCAATTTTTCAGCTGTATGAGCCTGTAAACATGAAAGCTTACAACCTGGACCATGACTATCTAAAAGACACGTTTAGTGAAAATCATTTGAAACTTTTAAATGTATCAGAAATTTCAGAGGAGAATGCACGTCAAGTTATGATAAAAACAGCTACACAAGCGGCCAACGACCTTTGGTTTGAGGAACGTTGCAAACGTCTTCATTCTTCGGTATTCGGGAGAATATGTAAAGCAACTGATCGAACTGATAAGGTGAAACTTGCTGACTTTTTAACAACAAAGGCACAAAAAATTAATGCTAAACCTATTCTTCATGGAAGAAAATACGAAAAAGAAGCTGTGAAGAAGTACCAGGAAATTTCGGGACGCACAGTTTACAATAGTGGAATTTGTGTCAGTCTGGACTCCCCTCATTTAGCAGCAACCCCAGATGGTATTATTGACGATGACACCTTGATTGAAGTTAAGTATCCATTTGTGGCAAGAAACAGTTTTATTTCCTCAAAAACAGTTCCTTATATCAAGCAGTCCGGAAGTAAATTTTATTTGAATAACCCATGACTATTACTATCAGGTCCAAGGACAACTTTACTGTGCAGAGAAAAATGAGTGTATATTTGTTGTGTATACTTTCAATGACTTTTTGTTCTTTGCAATAGAAAGGGATGATAAATTTATTGATGAGATGAAGAAAAAATTGAATGAATTCTATGAAGATTTTTTTAAGTCTGCTCTATTGGAAAAAACTTTTTTCAAGACATATGATGGAAAATGTAGTTGCAATAAAGAAAAATGAAATAAAGACTTTTTTTCTCTTATTATGTCATTTTTAATACCAAGTTATGCATAAGATGGCACTATGCAATTCTTAAAATTACACAACATGAAACAAACATAGATTATTTCTGAAGAAAGTTTTGTTTCAGAACTATTCATAGGCTCAGTCAGAATTTTGAATGTTTTTGCAAGTCCAATGATCCTCTCAATGTGCACACGTTTGCTGGATATTTTTCGGTCCTCAATCACAGTAGCACATGACATTCTGTTTTTCTTTTTGAAAAATGTTGGTGTATTTATTTGAATGTTCCTGTGTACAAACATATCCTGCACATTGAAACCTTTGTCCGCCATTATTGAATCTCCAGAATTGCACATTTCTAACAGCCTACTTCTTTCAACTATTTGACGGTCACTTGTGGATCCCCCATAAGCTGTAGAAATATAAGATGTTAATCCACCTGGTGTCGCTCCTACAAGAACTTTTACCGTGTTACGGTTTTTATAGGTAGAATACGTTGCTTGCTGTGGCTTTGGTAACTTTGGTCTTTTAATTGGACACTCTGTGCCATCTATTATCACTCTAGTATTTGGAAATTTTGTTTTAAAATCTGATGGACAGTAATATTTTACAAGATACTTTGTAGGCCAAATGTCGATTTCCTGCCATTGCTTACTCATGAATAAAATCCATGTAAAAAATATATTTGATACAGTCTTTTCGGAAACTCCAAATAATCTTGAAAGTTCAAAATTGGTCGTATGGCGCCGTAACTTGCAGAGGACTAAGAAAAATTGGTCAGGAACACTTATGTTTGAAACCTTATGATAAATATAATTCAAACAGTGAGCTGCAGGTCCTAAGGTTCTTAAAACAAAATAAAATTTAGTTAGAGTTTCCAATCCAGTATAGAAATTTACTCCGGCATCATCATTTGTAAAGTTTTCAATACTCATTGGGGGATACCGAGGAGTTTGTGTCTGTACATCAAAAAATTTAACGTCAGATTTCTGAACAGTGACTTGAATTTCTTCAGCCAAAATTTGGGTAGAGTTAGATACAATTTCCTCGGATACTTGCAGATCATCAGCTGATGTATAGATGAATTCATCTATGGAAGACGAAGCAGAAAATTCTTCTGCTAGTTTTCGTTTGATGCCTCTGGACTTGGCTCTGTCGGCTCGTTCATGTGAATGTGGACTTGGCTCTACCCAGGGAAAAATGCTTGGCACTGCAGTTTTCTTCAATCTTTTACTTAAAGGAGTAGTTCCTAAGAATTAAATTATTTAATATATCAATACTTGTTCATAGTACTAGATTATTTATTAAATAATTAATTTATAATTTGAACTAACTTTTTAAAGCAAATAAAACAAATATAAATTTACTAAAATATTTTTATTATTACAAGTATTATTGTTATAAAATTGATGTTACAAAACATGCCCATGTGTTTATTTCAACTAAACAGGTCAAATTTGTTTTTAAGCAGGGTGCTAATTAGACATCAATGTCAAAACACAGTATCTTGTACTGGTAGATATGCATAAATTATCAGGCAACAGCATGTGTTCTTTTAGACATGCCTTGTGTTTATATTGTTAAAAGATAATGCGTTTGTAATAAATGACCAGTAATTGAAGTTGTCAGTGGGGAGTCTGCATGTGGCAGTGTCTGTAACGTTATCAGATTACTTCGTATGAGAGGTAAACAAGGGATTCGATATTTTAGTGCATTTCATCTAAGCAAATAAGGCATAAACATTGCTCAGAATAAAAATCTATTAACATTACTTTGCACATGCTTATCAAAGATTTCAAAATAAATAAATAAATATTGTTACCATGCTGGGTTTCAGTCAAATAGTCGTCTGATTTAAAATGTGCTCTGCAAACAACAGCATGAGTTGACGGAGTCCAGCTTTGAAAATAGTTTCACCACGTTTTATTGCGTGTATCCATGCTTTTCTTCTTAACGGATCTGTTGGAAATATATGGCCACCCCGATTACTACAATTCGGCACACAACAACAAGTTTCAGGCATGTTTTACGAGCATGTGTTTGACAGCAGATTGTTTACGTTTTTCTTCGATCGGTAACTACTGATAAGGCGCGAGGGTGTTCCGATACAGGACCGTGTTTGCCTGTGGCGCCCTCTAAAGAAAAGATAATCGGAGCAGGTTCCTAATTACAAAGCAGACTTTTATGAATAGGGACATAAAGTGTGCATGGTTATTCAGACCATTTTACATGACAGGATGCAGTTTTTTTTAAGTCTGATCAAACTAAATCAAAAACCACAGTTATCCAGTAAAGGAAAACATTACTCATAGTAAAGAAGAGAAACATTGATAATTTCCTACATCCTGACAAAGACAGCACATCCAGGACATCCTTATTTGGTCATTTTTGCAAAAAAATATTTAGGCCACTTAAGTAATCATCATGTACCAAAATTTAACATTACACAGTAATAATATACATTTTAGTAAAAGTCCATTTGCATACAATCAAATTTGCTTGCAATATAAATAATGATCCTTTACAATTTTGTATCTCCAATATTAATATTGATCACTATAAATACTAGTAATGGGAATACAGTGGATGAAGATCCAACCACTTTTTAAAAATGTATTTTTAACCTAATATCTCCAATCCTTGGATATATATTAAAAAAAATGCCTTCCTCAAAAGTTTTTTTTTTTCTGCCCAGACAAGTTTAGGATAATTTACAAGGTTTATCTAACTAACATAAACAAAATATTTTTCATACATTTTTAGGTTCTTCTAGTTTTGGTCAGAGGGAATGGGAGTTAACTCCCTTTGGAAAGGAATATCAAGAAAAAGGCCACAAGGGGCTCCCCTTCTCTCTCATGACTTACAATGTACTGGCCCAGGACCTTCTGTATGATAACCAGTACCTCTACCGGAACCACCCAGAGCAGGTCCTAGACTGGGGATACCGCAAACAGAAACTGTTGCAGGAATTTAATGAACACCAGCCGGATGTAAGTTGTTATAAAGGCATGCTTGTGATGGGGAGTTTTAATATTAAGAAATAAATTATGTATTTTAATTTAAAATTACTTTACTCCTCATGTAATAGTTTGTAAAATTATGCTGAGCATTACTAGGCATTAACTGTAGAAGTACAACCAAAAATAAAATGTAGTACAGGTGAAGTACAGTCTTTACTCATAGCAAGAATTGTGCTGTTAAATCCCTTACTTGGTCAACTGGTTTTATTGAAAGAGATATTCTCTGCTCTAATGAGCTTTTCTGATCATCTGTTTTCTGGCATCTGTCTGTCTAACTGCCTGTTTGCCCATCCATCTGGATTCTAACTAAATGACTGTAAGACCACGCTTACATCCAGTTACTCAGGTGAATGTTGTTGCCCATTGTCTTATTAAGAAGGTCTATTTTCCAAGAAACTTACAGTTATACATTGACCAATGCTGCGGGGATGCTTACCACTGGTCTGCTTTGATACTCAAGCTTTGATAGCCAAGACTAAACTTGAAGTCATCATGCATCTATTCGATAGATTCTAACACGTGTGCTTCAGATACTAATGGAAACCCATGGTTTTTTTTTAAAAAAGTGTAAGCCCTACTTGGACCAAACTTGCATAGAGGATGCAACTATGGATGCATACTTTTATATGTCATGCTATAGAAAAAAGATGCTGCTGCATCTGACAAAACTTTACTGTTTACTGTTTACAAAAGTTGCACAAAACCAAATGTGCTGGCCCACAACCAGATATGCAGTCCATTCAAAAGTAACTACCTAATCGTTCATTTTGTTTAAGACTTTTCCTTACTTACTATAGGTAATGTTCCTATAGGTGAGCTTTATAATACATGTATTAGACGACAAAATAGTATTTTTGTTGAATTTCAGGTATTATGCTTGCAAGAGGTTCAGAAAAGCCATCTAGAAGAGTTTTACAGACCACAACTGAATGCATTAGGTATGCAGTATATGCCTGTTATTGCAAATTTTATGAAAGCATTAAATTAAAAATTAAATGATAGCTTTTTGAGTCGCATTATTTTTCTTTACCTTGAATACATATATTTTGAAGGGTACGATTGTGAGTTCCTTCAGAGAACAAGTGGAAAAGTGGATGGCTGTGCAACCTTTTACAAGCGTGAAAAGTTTCGCAAGGAGGAGGTCAGACATGTTCATTATTTCCAAGTAGGTTCTCCACTCACAAACCGTGACAATGTAGGTCTCATTCTGAAACTCACTCCTCTCAGTGGACAGGAAGGATTCTGTGTTGCTAATACTCACCTGCTCTACAACCCGAAGCGAGGGGATATAAAACTTCTACAGCTGATAAAACTACTGGCTGAACTGGATCACATGGTTCCAGATTTTCAAACGGTTCCCATCATTTTGTGTGGAGATTTCAATGCCCGTCCTCATAGCTTCATGTTCAAATTCATTACTCAGGCATACTTGAGATACCATGGACTACCTTTAGAAGATATATCAGCACAGCGGTTTGGGGGTGGAAGAAAGTTACTGGATACAGGTCTGATTCCCTCAAACTTACCCATTTCAGACCAATGTCGCTACTTGGAAGATCATCATGTAGAAAAGCTTAAGAAAAGCCCAGTGTTGCAAGGTCAGTTCTACAGCTACCAGAGTTCTCCATACCATCATTTTCATTTTCCAAGTGTTTCGCAAAATTCAGGCTTTCTATGGCATAAGTTTCATCTAGTCTCAACATACTCACATTTCATAGAAAGAACTGGGGAACCAGAGGTGACCACACAGTCTAGTGATTACGACAGTTCTGTGGTGGACTATGTGTTTTATTCAGTGCTAGGAAGAGAATGCAAGTCCAGGAGGGGAAATTTCAACAACAGAAATATTATCGAGGGAAGGATGAAATTGTTAGGACGTTGGGGCCTACTGTCAAAGAAAGAAATTAGTGCACTTGGAAATTTGCCAAATTTTCAAAATCCATCTGATCATATGCCATTAATGTTGAAATTTCTGTTAACATAATGACTTTTGTCAATATTACATTACTGTACCTGGGGGGTAAATGTGAAATCTCAAATGAAACAAGGGCATTATTGTACAAATACTTTAACTTAGGTCTAGTTTTTTTTGCAAAATTGAAAATCTCTTGCATTGTTTATACCAGTGGTTGCTAGGAAAATGAGAAACTGAAAGGCAGCTGGTGGTGTAAATGTAAATTCAAACTGTTTTGAACATTGTTACAACATTGTATTTATGTACCAAAGAATAGATTAGTTTCATTGAATAAAGGTTATTTTGAAATCTCATTTTCTTTTTTAACTTGAATTATGTTTTCCCTCGATAGGGTCATGGTGGAGATGCAATGTTTTTTTAAAAGTTTATCTGTATATATTATTAATATATTGAATCTGGATCCATTGACTAGTATGCATCTAATCTTCAGTGTGTTGAATTTGATGAGTCAATTCTGTGCAATGATCTTGATTACCATAAATATCATACTGTACAAGTATTTTTTTCCGCGTGGTATTAATTTACGCTATGTACGTGGTCACAAATAATCCGCTGAAATTTGTCTAAGTGTACTTAACATCAATATAAGGCATATAGTGACAGTCTAGAAAATACGCATTATTTTATCTAAACAGAAATTGAAAACATGACCCTGTGGAAAAAAATCATCTTAAAATCAATTTAAAGATCAGGTCACTGGGGAATGAAATATCAGAATAGCCCCAGACATGGTCTGTTATTGACAAACTTCAATTTGTTTGAAGCTTAAAGATTTGTTTTTATCTCTGAAAGGTCAAAGTCACTTTGATATGCCATCACATATTGGCTGTTGCAAATTGCTCCTCACATTCAAAATAAGTTTTCTTGGTTCACTCTTCAGTGTCACCATAGTCAAGGTTACTGTTTACAGAAATGCAGATTTTTTTTTTTTGAAGGAAGGGCAATGTACATGTACCAATATTTTAACATGTGTCCTTTATAAAATTTACATATGTTTGCTTTACATCCTGATAAAGTCAAAAAAACGTTCCACAAAAATTATGTCATTTCCAGGATTTTGCAGCACATTGGCTTCTCTGCTTTGTTGGTTGAAGCAAGTTAGAGAATTACTAAGTTATGATTTTTTTTTTCATTTTCCTTTAGCATTTCCATTTTCACTGTAAGGTCTATGGCATTTCTATGCATCACAACAGTAAAAAAAAAACATGAGTAACAATATATATGATGTATTCATCACACAACATAGAATCTGTTTGAATGTCAAGTCTTCAAAAAAACAAAAATTGGTTGTTCTCCAATGCATTTCAAAAAATATTTAATGTTATTAATCTGCAGAGAAAAATCCATCTATTTTCAGGTAAATTTATTTTCATATATGTACAAGAATTAACTTTAACACAGCACAGCACCAAGTTTGAGTTGAGATGTGACTGGTAATAACAGTCAAGTTAGACTGTAACTTTGTTTTGTTAGATTTCACATTTTTGTCACTGTTGTTAAAACCATGACCCCAAAAACTTTTTTTGAATGTTATATAATTCTTTTCAAAGAAATGCACAACGAATGGAAGGCTGTTGACAAATACTCCTGTAGAGTGTAGACTGTAGAACTGGTGATAACTGTAGACTGTAGAACTGGTGATAACTGTAGACTGTAGAACTGGTGTTGTCTGGTGTTTAGATACGGAGCTGGTAGTCAGAGGAGTCCAGAGTAGCTGAGGTCTGGGACCTCTTTTTTGTCCCCGTGTCGGAAGGAATAGATGTGTATCTGTAACAGAAAACTCACCATTAAATAACAAAAACAATATCTTTATCTGTATTATTTTTTTCAGTCATCCAGAAATGACATCTGTTTAAATATTTTTAAATATTAGCTTTAGCTCTTCAGAATACTTAGCTAATTCAAATGTCAAACAAGGCAACTGACATTGAAATCATCTGAAGTATGAGACATGGTATATCTTTGTGGCTTTAGTTTTTTCTTACGCCTGGTATATATTTGTGGCTTAAGTTTTTAATTACACCCAGCCAGTATATCTTTGTGGCCTAAGTTTTAATTTAAGCCCGGTTTATCTTTGTGACCTAAATTTTTACTTATGCCCATTATATCTTTGTAGCCCAAGTTTTTACTTTAATATGCTCGGTATATCTATGTGGCCTAATTTTTTTTACTTACGCTCAGTATATCTTTGTGGCCTAATTTTTTTTACTTACGTACGGTATATCTTTGAAGCCTAAGTTTTTACTTATGCACGGTATATCTTTGTGGCCTAAGTTTTTATTTATGCCCTGTATATCTTTGTGGCCTAAGTTTATACTTACACCGCTATATCTTTGTGGCCAAAGTTTTTACTTATGCCAGGTATATCTTTGTGGCTTAAGTTTTTACTTACGCCCGGTATATCTTTGTGGCTTAGTTTTTACTTATGTCCGGTATATCTTTGTGGCTCCAGTTTTTACTTACGCCCAGTATATCTTTGTGGCCTAAGTTTTTACTTATACTCCTGGTCTATCTTTGTGGCTTAGTTTTTACTTACACCCAGTATATCTTTGTGGCTCTAGTTTTTACTTACGCCCGGTATATCTTTGTGGCCTGCTGTAGACTGCTGCGGAGATCTCTAGGGACCTCTGTAGAGGATTTTCTGGGAGACTGGAGAGTTATGGTCCAGGATTTAGCCTGTAATTTATAATCCAGTAGGAAGAATTAATTAAAAAAAAACATACATGTGGGAAGTTGATTAATTTGTTTGACTTACCAGTAATATATTTTATATTCTTACGTAAATTTTGCTTAATAGGAATGTCAGATGTATATGCATTGTAATTAAAATTGTAATCATTTTCATGAAGTCAAATTTTTACAGATTGTGGTAATAACTAATTTGTTTCATAGTTGATGAAGTTTATAAAGCCTTTGTAAAAAAAAAAAAACAGTAATAGTTTGATACATGTACAAATTCTCACCAGAACAGCTTAGCAAACCCTGATTATTAGCAAAACATTTACTACATTCATAATATTTACAAACACATATATAAACACAAAGTTATCAAAATGTAGCACCCCTGTTGAAGCATATAAGACCAAACATGAGGCAAGAGCATCAGCAAAAATACTTTTAAAATCATGTTCAAAATCAGCATATTAACTATACCTGGGATCTTGTTGAATACAGTTTGACCTGTGGCAGGTCATACTGAGCCTGACCCTAGACAGTAATTATCAGTTTATATTAAAATTCTATTCAATTTGGATTTCATTTACTTACTGCAGACAAATGTCAAAGATTTTATACATATTTTTTATAAAATGTGTGCCTTGATGAGTCCTGTAAATTAAAAGGTTCAAGGAGGAAAAAATTATGGAAGATATTTATCTCATTTTTTTTTAAAAGAAAAATATTAAATTAACTGTAATTGTTGAGATTATAAATACATGTAATAAAATTCTTTGCTTACCCTTGTTCTAATTTCTTTGGCCATCATTTCCAGATCTTTGGACATTTCTTTCTTCGACATTTTGTTTGGACTAACGGTCACTGCCTATTATAAAAATTAGCTATCAATATTATATAAAATTTACCCTGACAAATGTTATCTGTGAGTATGCCATTGCCTTAAACTAAAAGAATATTCTGGACCTTCTTGTAAAAAAAAATTTAGTAAGCAAATGCAAATGGGGAGGAGGGGGTTCAGATAAGCTTATTTTTCAAATTTATTGAGATAAAATTGAATGAAATATAAGAATAAGCCTGTAGTTTATGAGTATATAAGGTCAGTAATTATACTGATACATTCAAACAGTTCAACAATCATATTGATTTGAAACAAAATGACTTCAGCAGAATTTGATTCATGTACAGCAAAAAATATGATGGTACCATAATAGTTTAGAAGGAACATGTAAATACATGTATACTGGTACACTGTACATGTAATACATAGCAAAATTGAGTGTGCATTAGGCCATCTAGTTATTCATATGAATATTTTAGGTCTATAGTTGGAAAAAATAATAAAATAAATCAAATCTCAGTCATTAAAGTGATGATACCTTCCAGCTGATGAATTCATAACTGTGAGGGTCATGTGGAATGGGCATGCCGACCTTGACTTTCTTAACATCATGCATAACTGAAAAAAAAAGAAATCTTAAGAATGCTAAATTTATTGACAAGATTTAAGATTGCTAAGCCTATAATGCATTATGGGCTTTATCTTCATACAACACTATGGAAACTCCATTACTCCTTTTTTATAAAATGACATGTTAACAAATGGTACTTACATTTGTTGTATGACTTCTCATAATCAAACACAAGGTCTGACAAACTCTACAATGGCAACAATTTTGTCAATATAAAAATTTGTAAAATGATTAAAATTCTGCCTAATTTATTGAATGTTCATTTTAGATTTGATTAGACTGACCTTAAATACTAGAGGTTTATACATGAGATCCTCCCTGCGACTCATGCCTATTGTTCCATAGCTGCCAGCATAGTAGATACCCAGCACTACATGTCTGTGGACATTTCCTCCAAACACACTCTTAAAACTCAGTGGAAATCTCTCCACACCCAGAAATCCATTTGTTAAGTATCTGAGAGAAAGTGAAACAGAATAGATACAGACAATATTTCTCATACATGTATAAATGTTATAATTCATGAGAAATTCATTGACGTTGACTTAAAGAAAAAAAAAAAAAAACCATGAACTTTTAAAGCAATTGTCCAGCAAAAAAAAAAAAACATACATTCCTAATATGACAGCCTCAAGACATTTGATGGGCAAAGATTCTTTGATCATTTCCTTTGCAGACTCTAGCAAGCTATAAATACAGCATAAATATATTTCAATAAAACTTTTACGTATCGAATATGGATTGTTTTCTCAATTATAGTCAAAGTTGTTATACACTGTGATAATTTTTTTACCCAGATACTGGTCTGTTTTTTCTTATCTCAAAAAACTGTGTTCCTGTGTGATTATACCTGAAAAGAATATTATATTCATTATATTTTAAATCGTTTGATGGCACCATCTATATTTCATTAAAAATGTGAGATAGTCTGATGTTATCATAATTATATCAAATTACTGTTAACTGTATATCTTAAATATACATACTGAAGAGTCCTCATATAGTTCTGAATTTTATCCAGTCTCTCGGATATCGGAACAGAAGGAGAAAAATTTGTAGGTGCCTGAGGAATTGGAACCTTTTTTTAAAAAAAATTATAATTATAATATACCAGTACATACATTTAAAAAGAAATAATTTGCTTTTCATATGAATGTAGATTTATTCTGTATGAAATTTAATGAAAGACCTTGTGGAAAACATCGGATTTATCAGTAAGATACAGTTGCCATAGTATCAGGGACCCATAGACATTAGTATACACATTTAGGTTACTGATAGATCTAATGAAAGATAAAGACTTTTTCGATCCCACCCCCAAAACCTCTTTACACAAAAACTTATATATCAAATGTTCACCTTAATTCCATTAAATATTTGTAAAGTCACATTTTTTCCCTTACTGATTGGAAGAATATCTGAGACTGAATAAATCCATAAAAAATATATCACTCACTGGTGGTAAATCCTTTTTATCTCGTACTTTGTGTGTCACATCATGACCATCTGGATGTATGCGAGCCACATGCTCCCACATTCTGTCCCATGTTTTATTATCGATAGGAAATCCACTCTTGTTCACCCAGAATAAAACTCCATTTTCTTCATGAACATCTTCCTCTTTGCCGGATTTCTTGACTGTCTTCACCCTCACACATGCTGGTCCACCAGATTCCTCTGGCTCCGCCTCGCGCACTAACGTCCCAAACACAGACGTGATTTCTTTCGCTTTGGGTTTTCCCGAGGCCATTGAGGAATATGCAGCTTTCTTAATTCAATCATCCCATTTTTGAAACCAAAAGAAGCGGTCACCTGTCGAATGTTTACATCGTCGTTAATGTTCATCCAAGTCACGGATGAGTAAAATTACAAGCCCTGGCACGTCGAGAGATAAAACGCCTAAATGACTAGAACTGTCGTAAATTGTTCTAATGTCGTAAACTTTTTCTTTTTTCTCTCTCATATTATGATTATTTTTTATTTCTATAAACCAAAATGTTTGACTTTTAAATAATTTCCCAAAATAAAACTTAATAAATGCATAGAAGCTGTTAAAATTTAATGTACACATTTTACGACAAACCGAAATCTGCAAAGGGGCGTTAACCGCAGCTGTTGACAATGTAAACATGAGCAAGAAAGTACCGAAGTTTAACTTCACATATTTTTTTCGTGTCTGGATAATAGTTGTATCGATCGTCAACTTTGGAGATTCTCTACAGTACTTCAAAGACAATTCTCTTTTATCAAGGTTTATATATACCCAAACACCACACTACGGTAAAATATTTTCCAGTAAGTGAACTATGGCAATATCTTTTGAAGTAGTTTACAAGTGCTTTTCACTTTTCTTTTATTTTCTACAGCTAACCCTGCATTTGGAAGGATTTACGGGCTATTTAACTTTCTTCTGGCAGCTCTGAGGTTTTCCTGTGCCCTGGACATTCATAACAAAAGGTTTACACACCATAAAATAAATATTGTATTAATTTCTAGACAATTGTATTTACACCAATCATTAAGGCCATCTTTAAAAAATGTTTGCCTACCCTCTCCCGACTAAGAAAAATTGGTGATAAGGGATATTTTTTTTTCTAACTCATTTATAAATACACTTAAACCAAGTAATCTTTTTTTTTTGTATATACCAAGCCTTAACCTCTGATCAAAAAAAAAAATAATAATGTTTCCTGGATATTCAAAAACAGTTTCGATCAAGGCAGGTCGTTTTCAGTCAGTTGCATGGTCGAGGGCAGAAAAAACAATATTTTAAGGCTAGCCTAATAGACAAAACACTCAAGTGAATGAAATATATCTTTTTACAGCCTTTACAACCTGACACTGCTATCATTTGTTTTAACATTTGGAAACACATTTACGGAAGCAGTTGTATTTAGGACAGCCAGTGCCAATTTTGCAGTCCTATGCAATCTTGTCCTTTCTGGTTTGTATGAACTCATTTTTATCATATAAAAGAAGACACAATTGCTTTAGATGTTTAAAATATCTTAGTGAAAGTAATGTAGATTAAATGAATGATTTTTTTTTTCAGGTATATCTATTATATCCTTGTTGTTTGGATTCAGATTTGTATGTGATGAACCAGCAACAGATCTAGGGTCTGATACGTTTCTGAAGAAGAAAAGATCTTAATTCTTAATGGATGAAGGACATATATTGAATATTCATTTATGATACAGTATTTTGAAAATGTGTATTGCATTTATAAATATAAATACCACTTACATAAAATAAGAAGTATGCACCTCTCGAAAAAACTTTAAGTCACAAAGTCATTGACCTTGGTGTCATTTGAAAGAGCTTGATTAGTGGAGTATGCGTATCAAATATGAAATCTCAATCTCTCATGGTTCAAAAGTTATAGTGAGGGTTCAAAAAAGCTATTTTTAGCATATAGGTCACAGTCAAGGTCACAAGGTCATTGATCTTGGTGTCATTTGGAAGAACCTGATTAGTGGAGTATGCATACATGTACCAAATATGAAGTCTCTATCTTTCATGGTTCCAAAGTTATAGTGAAGGTTAAAGTTTGCAGAAAAAAACTATTTTTAGCATATAGACAACAGTTAAGGTCATATGGTCATTGAGCTTGGTGTCATTTGAAAGAAGTTAATTAGTGGAGTATGCATACCAAATATGAAGTCTCTATCTTTCATGGTTCAAAAGTTATGGTGAAGGTTAAAGTTCGAGACAAACAAACAACCAGACAAACAAACAAACAGACCGACAGACAAACAGGACAAAAACAATATACGCCCTGGATCTATCGATCCGGGCACATAAAAATTTATCTAACTTTAAGGATAGTTTGACTGACTTGACCAGAATTGAACATTGAACCCCTGAAATCTGGACAAATACTCTTCCAAATGAGGTAAATGGCAACCGTTGAAGTATTCTCATGAAAGTGGACAGGCCTTTGCTTACATCCATGGATGTAGGAGAAAGCCTGTCCACTTCTCTAAAGAGAATACAATTTAAGGAGCCCTTCACACTCTCCTTGAATGCCTTTGCCTTCTCAACAAAGCATCAACCCTGACATCCTGGGAACTGCTGTCTCACTCCCATGTTAACTAAAACAATTAATTTATTGCATGTATACCTTATTTCCCATTTTGAATATCAATATAACGGAGATTTAATGCTCTCATTTCTTACGATAAAGTTTCAATTGAGAGTTTGGGTATACACTGTATTGCATGAAATTCAACAAAACACATACATGTACATTTATCTTGAATAAACTTCAATAAAGATAAGAGAACATTCTGATTACTCAAATGGAAGTCTTGTTTATTTCGGGATTCCAGTAGAGCAGCAGCCATAACTATTGTAAAGGAAATAGCCTACATAGCATACAAAGACAAACAGTATTATTATGAATAAAAGCATCACAGAAATAAATTTGTTCACAATATAGGCATTTTTAACCACAGCATAGGATAAAGAATACTGTTATGCATGTATGTTTAATTATGTTCAAAAGTTTGCATACTCAAACATTGCACCAGTCCTGTAGTAACTATCACAGACATTTGTATTATGATTTTATAGATATACATGTTCATAACATGTGATATAATATTCATTTTCCCTATGAAAGATAAAAGCAATAGGCTCATAGATACAAGGTCCCTTTTCTCTGTTGCAGCATTAATACTTATCTTATTAATACACTTGGCAAAACATTTACAATGTTTTATGATTCAGTAGTACTATCTAGGAATTCCATCACCTGATTGATTGCTTGGAAGATGACACATGCTGATGCGTATGCTATTGATTCTAAATGCTACTAATACCTCATATACATGTACTTATGCTGATTCATGCAATAGAAAATGAACCTCATAGTCTCTGTAAAAGTCTTTGCATCCGATTCCTTATGAGTTACCAGACACCAGTTTTGAGAACAGTGAGTTTGGATTCCGCATGAGAACAGAGGGTGTGTCGAATTCAGCCACCTTTCCCTCCCTCATGACCACTACCCGATCACTGTCCATGACAGTGTCTATTCTGTGGGCTATCGTAAGCACTGTGCTATCTTTGAATTCTTCCCGAATGGTCACCTGAATTAAGGAGTCTGTTTTCATATCAACACTGGCTGTTGCTTCATCAATACAAAGCACCTAAAAACATACACAGATAATCATAAATGTATTTCCTTTATACATGTACACTACAAAATAATCAATAAACCTTCATCCCTGTACATGAATAAAAAACATTTTTATACCTCTTTGATATCTTTGATACTAGTAAGATTTTCATTTTAAAGTTACAAGAAAATACACTCATTTGAATTTTTGCATTTGGCATATCAAGAGGAACATGACATTTGAATTCAATATGAAGATCCATTATAAAAAAAAATGCATACAATTTTAATTTTAAATTCTATTTTTTAGCTAAAAGGTAATTGCAATATCATTCATGAAATAAATAATTAAATGTACCGGTACCTTAGTTTTCGTTAAAATGGCTCTAGCTAGACACAGAAGTTGTTTCTGACCCACAGAGAACATTTTGCCCCTCTCCCCAACTTCTGCCCCAAGGCCCCCCAGTCTCTCTACAGCTGACACAAGATGACATCTACTGAGAGAATTCCAGATCTCCTCATCTCCGTAAACATTGGAAGGATCCAGGTTCTCTCTTACAGTTCCACTGAACAGGAACGGATCTTGTGGAATGACTGCAAATCGACTCCTGAAAAATAATCACTCTCACAAATGTATAACTAAATATAATCTTACATAAATAATTCTATTTTGTTAATAAAGTGCCACGCCACAGCATGATACGCCCGTCAAAAAATTACAATTACAATGTATCTTAAACAGTTAAAGGTGCAGGAAAATCATGTCAACCTTGATTTTAAGATTTCAATGATTTTTCACACCTTAAAAAATTTGTTTATCCATCTCCTGTGGTGTAGGCATTAATTATAACAAATATTGCATCATTCGTAGATTTCTATACCTTGCCAAATGCCTATCATATGAAACAATATCAAATTAGTCTTCACAACTTAATCTATACCTAATTAATTTTGGAAATAAAAGGCTGGCCATCAAATATAAACTGACCAACAGTTCTTCTGTCTAATTCCCGAAGGATACAGATAAGACCATGCTCTGAAGTAATGAAAGAGAAATGCTTCTAGCCTTCCTACATTGAACACATTAATTAATCTCTAACTGGATGCTTGTCTACTCATTACTCCCCATAAGAGATTATTGGATCTGCATTATCTACCATAAAACATTTTTAAAACATATAAAACATCAATGATTTTTTTTTTTTAGATTTAATGTCAGACAGTTAATTGTTAATATGCAATTCATATGGACATGCAGATTCCACACCTACCCCCATTAAATTAATTTTTAAGTTCATAATATTATGTAATATCAAAATAGTTTAAATAATATGCAACATCAAATTAGTTTTAATTACTTCTCATCAAATTCATTTTAAAACTTCGGCTAGCCAACAAGAGCTATTTTTAATCCAACAGGCTTACCCATTTGGCCCAATACTCAAGGGATATAGATAGCACCGATGCTCTTACAGCTACTCCTCACACTAAACTCATTAATTTCTCTCTCTAATTTGACATGCAATTTTCTGTTATCAAAATTCTTCTTGACCAGTGCTTGATAATTAGACTCATGGGAGTGGTGGAATTTCTCTAACATACATTATATTTGTTATAGATTGCTGTCAAGTATATGCTAAAAAAATAAGTATTTTCTTGATTTAACATTTTTCTAATAAGGTTAGTGCAATAGTTTTACATTTTTTTGAATGTGTAAATGAATAGAAAAAAGACATTTTTTTTTAAATTCCACTTAAATTAAAGGTCACAGTGACCTTGAAATAGGTCGCGACACACCTTCTACCTAAGATGCATAAACTGGCCAAGTTTGATGATTCTAAGTCGAATAGTTTTCTAGTTATGGACCGGACAGGATTTTTCCATATTTGGCTATAACTTTTTAATTATAGGTCAGAGTGACCTACTTTTTGTGCGCGACACACCTTCTACCCAAGATGTATCAGCTGACAAAGTTTGATAACTCTAGGCCTTATAGTATTAAAGTTATGAGCCGGACACGAGAAAAGCTAACAGACGGACGGACGGACAGACGGACAGACAGACGGACATGAAGCCTATAACATAATACGTCCCGTCTTAAGACGGGCGTATAAAAAGATATTTAACAGTTTAATAAATGTAAATCATATTCATAGTTCCAATTTATTAAAGAGAGAAAACAAGAGAAATTACTTCCAACAAAAACAAGAAAAAAAATATTGAAGACCTTAAACTTATTAAACATCTTTCAAAAATTGCAAAAAATATATCGCACCAGATAGTGACTTATGAAAACTGACCTGATTTCCTTGAGATCTAGGAATTTGATGCTCATATTGTCTACTTTGATGTCTCCCTGATGGATCTCTACAATTCTGAATAAGGCTTGAAACAGACTGGATTTGCCCGACCCAGTTCTGCCCACAATGCCCACTTTTTCACCGGGCTGAGTACAGAATGTGACTCCACACAGTGCATCAGACAGGTCATTCCTGTATCTCAGGTAAACATTCTTGAAGCTTACTACACCCATAGTGGGCCAAGATGGAGAAACCTAAAAAGAATCAAATAAAAGAATGTTATAGCCGATGCATTAAAATGATGATAAAAACATCAACTAATGATAAAGAGTGTGTGGCTGAGTAGAGTAAGCATTCATCTAAGTTAGAGATTTGTCAGCTGAGTTACAGTGTAGCAATATACATATCTTAGTTAGGTGACTTGGAATATTTTAACAATGACAATTCCAAACAAGAGGCCCATGGGCCACATCGCTCACCTGAGAAGCTTTGACCATTCTGTTCTTTACCAGATTTCCCCCTTAATACATAATGCATCCCCACCCTACCCCACTGATCATAATTTAGACATTTGAAATCTACACTCTCCCATGATCCTTCCATGTGCACATAAGTTTCAGCTTTTCTGGCCTAGTGGTTCTTGAGAAGAAGATTTTCAAAGATTTTTCCTATATATTTCTATGTAAAACTTTGATTCCCCATTGTGGCCCTGCCCTTCCCCCGGGGGTCATGATTTTAACAATTTAGAATCTACACTACCCTAGGATGCTTCCACATAAGTTTCAGCTTTTCTGGCCCTGTGGTTCTTGAGAAGAAGATTTTCAAAGATTTTTCCTATATATTTCTTTGTAAAACTTTGATTCCCCATTGTGGCCCCGCCCTACCCCCGGGGGTCATGATTTTAACAATTTAGAATTAGACTCTAGAATGCTTACATAAGTTTCAGCTTTTGAATGGCCCTGTGGTTATGAGAAGAAGATTTTCAAAGATTTTTCCTATATATTTTATGTAAAACTTTGATTCCCCATTGTGGCCCTGCCCTTCCCCCGGGGGTCATGATTTTAACAATTTAGAATCTACACTACCCTAGGATGCTTCCACATAAGTTTCAGCTTTTCTGGCCCTGTGGTTCTTGAGAAGAAGATTTTCAAAGATTTTTCCTATATATTTCTTTGTAAAACTTTGATTCCCCATTGTGGCCCCGCCCTTCCCCTGGGGGTCATGATTTTAACAATTTAGAATCTACACTAACTCAGGATGATTCCACATAAGATTCAGCTTTTCTGGCCCTGTGGTTCTTGAGAAGAAGATTTTCAAAGATTTTTCCTATATATTTCTATGTAAAACTTTGATTCCCCATTGTGGCCCCGCCCTTCCCCCGGGGGTCATGATTTTAACAATTTAGAATCTAGACTACCCTAGAATGCTTCCACATAAGTTTCAGCTTTTCTGGCCCTGTGGTTCTTGAGAAGAAGATTTTCAAAGATTTTTCCTATATATTTCTATGTAAAACTTTGATTCCCCATTGTGGACACTTCCCCCGCAAAGGGGTCATGATTTTAACAATTTAGAATCTACACTACCCTAGAATGCTTCCACATAAGAAAAGCTTTTCTGGCCCTGTGGAAATATCTTCTTCTACTTCTTGAGAAGAAGATTTTCAAAGATTTTTCCTATATATTTCTATGTAAAACTTTGATTCCCCATTGTGCCCCGCCATTCCCCCGGGGGTCATGATTTTAACAATTTAGAATCTTTTACCCTAGAATATATAAGTTTCAGCTTTTCTGGCCCTGTGGTTCTTGAGAAGAAGATTTTCAAAGATTTTTCCTATATATTTCTATGTAAAACTTTGATTCCCCATTGTGGCCCTGCCCTTCCCCCGGGGGTCATGATTTTAACAATTTAGAATCTACACTACCCTAGGATGCTTCCACATAAGATTCAGCTTTTCTGGCCCAGTGGTTCTTGAGAAGAAGATTTTCAAAGATTTTTCCTATATATTTCTATGTAAAACTTTGAAATTGTGGCCCCGCCCTTCCCCCGGGGGTCATGATTTGAACAATTTAGAATCTACACTACCCTAGGATGCTTCCACATAAGTTTCAGCTTTTCTGGCCCAGTGGTTCTTGAGAAGAAGATTTTTTAATGACCCCACCCTATTTTTGTCTTTTCTTGATTATCTCCCCTTGTGAGGGGACTTGGCCCTTTATTTTAACAATTTAAATTCCCCTTCACCCAAGGATGCTTTGTACCAAGTTTGGTCAAAATTGGCCCAGTTTTCTATAGAAGAAGTTGAAAATGTGAAAAGTTTACAGACAGACCAGACTGGGACAGACGGACAGACAGACTTATGTGGAAGGACGAGGTATAATGGATTCTAAATGTGATCAGAAAAGCTCACTTGAGCCTTCGGCTCAGGTGAGCTAAAAATAAATGTACCTGATGTACATGGGGAGAACATATTGAGTAATAAACTGTACATTTCAATTTTAATATTTAGTTCTTGATCAAAGGGCAGATTACTCTACTACCTGCATCAAAACACCACAAAATCAGAACTTTTTTACCATATAGGTTCTGAGCTAAAATTGGACCAATAATGCCATCCATCACTTACCAGCAGTGACCCCTGCAGGTTTTCTGGTGGAATGTTAAGGTACTGCTGGGCCCTCTCTACACTGACCAGCTGTTTCTCTGTCTCTGTGAAGGAACTGACCACTCCACTCAGAAGATTGGTCACGGAAAGAGCGTAAGATAAAGCTAAGCCAACTAAACCTGTCAACAAATAAAATAATCCTGTAGTACAAGGAAATCAATCCATTTATTGTCTACTTTCTGTGAATTTGAGAAAAAAAAATAAAGAAAATCAGAGGAAGAATGTTTTTAAAATTGTTATTTCAAGAGTTGTCGCAAAATTTTGGAATGAAAAGTTTTCTCTTTGAACTTCAAATATACTGAATTATTCCCATTTCATACGTGTATTTTTATCTCATATTTTTGAGTCAAAATCAAGAAATATGAAATATTAAACTATCAACATTACACAGTCAGCCAAATGATGCTCTGTCTGAGAAATGGTGCTTTTAATTTTTTTTTTTACCTAATTAATTATTTTTAACCAATGTAACTGAATGTAAATACAGTGTACCTGCATTAACTGCCTGGAAGTGATGCTGGAGAACAGAAATGAAAGCAATGCCTGTAACCATGACAACCCCCATCATCTGGAGTCTGAATCCTAGCCAGCTGGCCACAGCCTGTCCACAGAACTGAGCCCTCAGGTTCAGGTCCAACTTCTCAAGGTTCTCTCTTCTGAATCTGATGTGGTCAAAAGTAAAATTCATTGATACAAGTATATGCAAATCAAATCCAGGGGGAATAAATCTAGTTAAAAGGTTATTACTTGAGACTTTCTTCATGCAGATAGATGATTGCCAATACTAACAATAGAGGACAAAAGTTTGTACTGTAAAATCACATATTTTCGTGGGGTCAAAAAAAGGTTTGAGGAAAAATATTGGTTTGTGGGGATTTGATTTCGTGTTTAGAGAATGTTAAGTAGTAATGCATATGTAATTTTACATTTCATGGTGTTCATCAATTTGTGGGTCTCTCCATGCCTCGAAAAACAATTGAAATTAAACCCCATAAAACTTAGTGATTTCACAGTATTCAATGAGCAACTGATTAAAGGATTAAAAAGTGACTAAACATTACATATTGAATGTTATCTATTAAAGAGCAAAAATTTCCCAATGAATCAGTTGTTCAGTTTTCATGCTACAAACCTATCTGATTCTCTGAAGGCCCTGATTGTTGTTAGTCCAGTGACAGTTTCAGAGAAATGAGCATAAACAGGAGACAGGGAGACACTAGAAATCCGCTTCACTTCTCTCGAGGTGTGTCTATAGAAATGCTGAAAATAACAGGTGCTAAATTAAATACAGTACACTATTACTTTTTCACTATTTAGTATTCTTCCCTTTGTGCTTGTTTCTGACATTACTGAAGAGGTTAAAATTTGGATTAAGATATACGTATATGCATTTGAAGAAATACACATGTTACTCCTAAGATTCTAAAGCATGCACCTCTTAGCAAAGACAGTGTACATACGGTACATAGCAGAAACCCACAATTAATTTCCCAAACTCTTACAGGTGGAAGACTAAAAGTAAGCCTCTAACAATGGTACAGTACATGAATAAATGAATATACATGTATATTTCAGTAGTTACCTGAATTTTATAATAAACAACTCCGAGTGGTAGAAGTAGAAGTGTGAACCATGGGAGTCCATAACAGATGACGACAACAGTTCCCAGAATTCCATACAGCTGGGCCAAAAATATGTTAAGGATGAAGGGTAAGGAATCGTCAATGGTGTAGAGATCTGAGGAGAATCGGTTAATGATGCGTCCAATTGGATTGGTGTCAAAAAACGAGACAGGTGCCTGTAATAACATAAACATGTACATGTAAGTTTGATACATTATTTAAATGCATTTGAACAAAATCAGTATTCAAAGACTATTGAATCATTTTTCTCTGGTAATCTAAATGCAATGCAAGTGAAAAAATGAATGAGGTAATGCTAAAAAATATCTATCCAAAAGAGAAATCGGATCAAGAAGGACACACCTATGTAGAACATATAATAAAATGTATACATGTAAACCAATATTCATTATTGATTACCTTCAACATCACAGATAAAAGTCTTTTATGTAAGAACTGTGCAGCACAGATTCCTCCATAAGCAAAAAGGAAAGCCCTCAGTAGAGTGAACAAGGAATTGGCCCCCGCCAGGGCCCCATATACTGTTAGATAGAACTGGATGTCATCTGATGTCGAGTTTCTAAAGAAATTCATACATACACTTTATACAAGCATATCCATCCAGAATTTACACAGTGAAACTTTCAGATTGGGAAAAAAACTAATGTACAGCACAACAATAAAAGAAGTACTTAACACTTGTTCAGGGGAAAAAGTCTCTGTTATGACAAAACTCCATGAAAAGCTAATTCTGTGATTCGATTCATTCAATTTTCCTTTATATTGTGCTTTTTGTATTTTAATCCAATATTTTGTCTAACATATAGAGCACATAAATTACCCAGTGTCATTAGCACTGCTGTGATTGGTGCTGGCTGAATCACGTGAATTAGTTACCCAATAGGACAACCACCAGTCATTCACATTTCTTGAGGCTACAAATGGAACACCAGTATTTAATTTTATAATCTCTACATGAATTTCAACTTTGAGTTTTGACATTTTCAGAATATGACAAACTGATCTTTGACTGAGAAGGTTCAGTCCACTGAATTAATCTTGATTTAAGACCATTTCAAATATAAATGTACATGTATCATCACCTTGCATAAGAAACAGAGCTGTGAGGATACTGGGAGCTAGACAAACTCCTACAGCTGACCAGTATGCCTTATACACAGACAGACGTACAACCCCCTTCTCCATCCCTTCCTCCTCCACCTGCTCTGATTCAACATCTCCACCTTCCACATCATCCATTTCCACTTCCTCTTCCATCTCAAGATCCTCCATTTTGTTTTCCTTCATGAAGTCCTGATCCAACACCTCTGAAGGGCTACCTTTTAAAACACACCTTTATAAATGTATTAACTGTTGATGTAGATCCCTTGTAAAAATTATACATTAAGCCTCTTTTTTTGCTTACATATTCTTTAGCCTTTATTTATCTCTCTATAAGCAAAATCTTCCATCAATCTATCATATTATGCATAATTATTTACAGAAATATCTTATATCTACATTAAAGATCAAAGTCAAACTAATTTAAAAAGCTCAATATGTAAAATTTTAAAAGTACTTGTATTTTTGTGGGATATAAAACGTTTACAAAACTGATCTGCAAAAATTACTCTTTATCCTGTCTTACCAATTCTGGAAATTTTTCCATCTTCCATCACAACCACTACATCAGCTGATGACAAGAACTTTACATGATGAGTGCACAGGATTCTTGTCTTCTTCCTTAACATTCCCATAATGCATTTGTCATATAACTGCTGGGCAACATAAGCATCCACAGCAGCCAAGGGGTCATCCAGTAAATAAATACCTTTATCCTACAGCAGAAAAATTAGAATTAATATAAGTTGTCATAACTTCTAGGTAATTGGTCCATGAAAAACTTACAAGCAAATTTTAAGACTGATGACATGCATTTCTAGTCCTCATTTAAAGAAATACCTGATAAAGAGCTCTTGCTAGAGCCACCCTAGCTTTCTGACCTCCACTTAAAGTCACCCCATTTTCTCCAACCATTGTTTTATCTCCAGCAGAAAAGACCTGAGAGAGAAAAAATCAGCATATTGAAAAATCCAAGACCTTTTTCAGTGATTCATGGTAAAGATAGAATGAGGAGAATTGGCAGACTTACTCTGAGATCCTCGGTGAGTGCTGCTGCATCTAAAACTTTCTCATACTTCCTGTGGTCATATTGCCTTCCAAACAGAATGTTGTCTTTGATAGTGCACTGCTGTATCCAGGCCTCCTGACTGGCTAAGGCGAAGCCCTCCTCCAGATCCCTGACCCAGATCTGACCCCCCACACGCTGCATTTCTGCCAGGATGGCACTCAGTAGAGAACTCTTCCCAGATCCGACTTTACCTACCACCCCTATAAACTGCCCCTGTAATGAAACATATCTATTACTGCCCCATGTAATGAACCACATTAATCTTCATACAGCAAATATCCCAGATATCTACATTTTTTATGAAAAGAGTATATAGAAAAACAAAGAATTTCATCAAATTTGTAAATTTCTTTGTTTAAGTTTTAGTATGTAATTGTGTATAAAAAAGATTTTTTATCCATTTGAACCAAAATTTAAAATTTTAATATAATCAAGTTTCTTTACTGGTTAAAGTTAATAATGTAATACTTGGTGTGTTTTCTGTGATTATTCTTGTTTCATGGAAATACTTAACCTTTTCTACTGTAAGATTAATATCTTTGAGGAGCATAGTCCCATGATGATCACTGTCATCAAAATGGTTCTCAACAGACTTCACTGAGCTTTGTTTATCTAATTCCTCTTGCCAAGAGAAAGTACCAGCTGTGATAACTAGTTCCTCTTCATCATCTGGTGTGCCTATAAGAAACAAGTTGCACAAAGTAAGGCAAAGAATATATAATAACAATGAAACCTTTTCAAGACCAATGAAAACTGCAGCAAATATGCATTTGCTTTCATTATCACTTTGCTAATAAATGATATTTACCATTTATTTGTGCATAATATTCTTTGAGATCAATGTTTTGGAGTGAGACAAATGACTGCAGTCTTTTGAGGGAGACCCAGGCCTCCATGAGACCATTAAGGACCCAGGGGAAGGCATTCAGGGGACTGATCAGCATCAGGAACAGAGAGAGACTGGTAAAGACCTATAAGATACGATAGACATCAGTGTCATATTCATCTCTACCGACTTCCTAGTCTTAGCCCTTAGTTAATATGGAAGAAGTTGTATAAGATAATCATAGTGCTACATTCCTCGGTACAATACCATAATATAGAAAATAATGAGGAAGTAATTTTTTGTAAAAGTTGTACAATGTATTTCAATAGTTTTTTTTGTGATTAATTCAATTTGGCGGAGGCAAGAACATAAAATAGATTTTCAAAAAAAAAAATCATCGAAAACAAAAGCACACACACATCTAGTAAAACTCGGTTATAACAAAATCACTGGGACCTACGAAATTACTTCGCAATATCCGTAATTTGTTATATCCATATTAGGATTTCGTTTATATATATATAATTTATAAAGCTGGGGATCCAAGATATCTTTGCTATATCTGTGAATTCGCAATACCCATATTCATATTAACCAAGTTTTACTATATATATCCATTTCACTATTCATTCTAATAATTTTAATAAAGATTTTAAATCTACCTTAGCAGCAGTGAGAGTGTTTCCTAGTAAAGTGTATGTGGTGAAAGTCAGAATGGATATAAGCACCGGTGTAGTGGCCCAGAAGTAGACACACATTGCATCCAAGTACTTCCTTCCTTTCAAACTTTTTAACTCAGCGCTTCGTAACTTTTCTATTTTGGTCTGGAATGTATCTTCCCAAGCATAGAACTTGACCACACGGATACCTCTGAGAATTTCTGTCATTAGCTAAATTTTAAAAAATACATTTCTTAGTATATAATTATTTCACCTGTATTTCATAGAAAATAAGTAATGTTTCTTAGTACATGTCTAACACACCAAATTTAAAGTTGAGAAATTTGTAAGTTTTAAAATAGTTTTGACTGTTTTAAGAAATTACTATTTTGCTAACCGTAGTTTGTTCATAAATAAATTGCAATACAAAGAAAGATGTGACAGTCACAGAACCAATATTTGATTTTTTTTTCTTTACAATTTGTAATTCCACTGACCTTAACCCTTGCATCCTTTTGAAGCATCATCTCTGTACTGAGCTGCCCAATTTTGTTAGCCAGCCATTTATTGATAGGAATTAGAAGAATAGCAAACCCCAGACCTGCTAAGAAAGCTAATCCAACTTGAGTGTGGAGCAGATAAAGAGACACGCCCACTTGAAATGGTAGGCTCCAGAAAGCATGGAAACTAGGACAGAAATTCACAACTCTATCTGTATCTGTACTCATAAAATTAACAATTTCTCCGGTACTGAACTTTGAAGAGGACACACTGCTGACTCTTAGAGCCTTTTTATACACTGTTGTTATGATAGAACATCTGATCTTTAGTCCAACCACCTGCATATTGTAATCAAACTGGGTTGAACACAGTGATCCGATGAGTGTTGAGACAAGAAGTCCAATCGCATAATACACACCATGTATTTCTGGTTCATTTTTATTCTCTACATAGGACACTAAAAGGTTAAGAAGTAAAGGACCTGCAAATCCTGCAAGATCAGCAAACAGCTTTAAAAGTCCTAGAGAGTAGTACTCCCATCCAAATGTACTATTCAATGCTTTCAGTAAAGTTTTTCTGTTATTTTGGGCTTTTATTTTTACATCTGGTATCCTATTCCTTTCATCTATAGATTTTCTCTGAGAGAAACTTTTACTTTTTTCTGAGACAGCTGCATGGGCATTAGTTATGAATTCTAACATTAGGCCAAATTTGTTTTCTATACTTTTGGTATTCACTCTTCTAGGTAATGTGAAGAGATCTTCTGCAGTTGATATGTCATGTTGAGCTCCTTTTACCATTAGTGGGTTCACCCAGTGAAAAGTCAATCTAGATAGCCACGATTTGTTATCCTCCCCTTCAAGGGGGCTAAAGTCTTGTCTAATTGCACCATATGATGTCCTATAACCATTTAATAATGACTCTTCTTCTGATTCGTTTATGTTTAAACTATGACTTAGTAATTGCACATTAATCCCTCGTTGAGTATTAGGCAGTAACGAAATTATATACACACAATGTAAACCAAAATTCACAAATGAACACACACATAAATAAGGATTAAAATCTTCTGGTCTGTGTATCCACAGCAGAATAGCAGTATGTAGCATAAAACAAGCAGATATAAATGTTAAAATGTATGACAGAATATTCAGTAAAGGTCCTCTATATGTTCCCAATATTAAATACTTTAACTTCCAAATGTAAAAGGAGTGAATAAACCAACAAATACAAACAACACCAGAAGTAACAATATCTATAGCACTAAGTGAAAATCCTAACAATATTTTTGTCAAAAGTGGAGCTACAACTGCTGTTAACATAAGGCCTATGGTACATAACAGTCTCAGCTTCAGAAATATGGGAAAAGGGTACACATAACTGCTAATGCCTGTGCCCCCAGCACTAGCTAAATGGTAGACACTGATTGCCAACAGGAGAATATGAGGGGGAAATACAACAACCAGCTCCTCAAAGCAGAACCCAAAATCTTGTCCGTTCCATGCTGATATGTTCCCGTGTGGCCTGCAAAGTGCCTTCCAAAAGTCATCCATGTCTGAGCTTGTATTGATCAAGTCATCCAAGGTAAAATATGAATCCACAACAACAGTGGTCAAATATTGATCGACTACAAAGAAAGTTTGGAATAATTTTAAGGCAAGCATATTATTTAACCTTATATAATTTAAATTAAGTCTACACATAAAGTACCTCAATATGAAAACATGGACTTTTACTGTCAAAAAAGTTTAAGCTGCTTAATGACAATTTACTTTTAAGTTTTTTTTTAATGTGTGCAAATCTGAGTCAGTGAGTGTCGTCTTAAGTATATGAAGTTAACGTATTTGGCAGTTTGAATAATGCATGCCTATCAAATTTCTTACAGAAATGAATTGCTCCTTGTATTCCTCATTATAATTAGGAAACAGGCTCCCTTCTTGACACGCGACTAATAAATCAACCTTGCAATCAGATGCACATCCAGAAGTAGCATATCTTGCTCGGGATCGGAAAACCGCCACCAAGGAAGCTAAACTGTCGAAAAGGTCTCATAGATGCCTGTTTTGAAGTGCTCCAACGAGTATTGCTTCAATGTATTATTTAATTTATTTTCAATTATTTGCCCTTATTTCTTTTAGAGATTTAAAACTTCCAACCATATCAAAGGCTAAAGTTTATTTAAATTTATTTGTATACGATTAGCAAGATTACCCAAGCGTTATTTTCATTGAAGTGATTTAAAAATTAATGTCAATTTTTCTTAAACTTTATAAAATTAATAGCAGAAAAATGTACATCGATATATTAACCATAAGAGTTCATTTTATTCTTTTATTCTAACTTTAGTTAGTCTCATTTCTTTTCTTATATTAGGAGAACCTTTTTAAGGAAAATTTGAATATTATACCCGATCTATTTACTTTAGGTAAACCTGGGCAAGAGAAGACATCCGGCATCCGTAACATCCTCAACTTACCCAGTGAATCCTGGCAGATGCTAAAACAACTCTGAATGAAGCCCATTTGATGTTCATGGTTTGCATACATTAAATATTTGCATATATATGTAATTCAATGAAAGAATTTTAACAAATTTTGGTCAGGAAATATCAGCATTTCCTCTGTTCATTTCTAATGTTAACTGGTTAATACGAAGTACCGGTAGAGGTCTAGATCACAAACGATTTTAACTTGATTTCTTCTTATTTTCTTAAATTTCATTTTAGACAATCCTTAGAATGCAGAGATCTGGTGATGAAGCCTCTACATACACTACTATGGCTAATCCTCTTGTTTGTTATAACCTTTACATTGATAGTACCACCAGTGTGCATTAGTCTGCCATTTTCCAAATTCTACTACCTTTATAACAAGCAGGATGATGTTACCAAGAAAGCAGAGCTTCTCAATTCAGAGCGATACAAGAAATCTCTTGCCTATTTCTCCTCACTCCATTCGGAGTCATCAAAACTTTTCTATCTCAACATGAAAAAATCAGGTCACCTTGACCTAGTCGTGGCTATTATTACCGTCAAGAGAAACGATGGAACTCTGGGATATCTTACGCAGTCAGTCGCAAAAATGGATAAATTACTAAAAGAAGATAGAAATTTTGAAAGAAAATTCATGTTCATTTGCAATGTTGATCAGAATCTATATGGACATGAGGAAGCCAGGAATTTAGAGAAATTTATACCTGTGGAATATCGCTTTGAAAATTTATCAGGAATACATCAAAGCAGTCCTCACAAGGTGCTATATCATCTTCATAAAAATTTTGATACCTACCAAAAAGAAACCATAGACTACATGTTTTGTTTAGAAATGGCATATTCTATGAATCCTGATTATGTGTTACTGGTGGAAGATGATACACTTCCCCTCCCAATGGCTCTGGATGTGTTGACCACTAAGCTACGATGGTTAACCTTATTCAGAAGTGAACCTATGAAAAACTATGCATTTATTAAGTTATACTATCCTCCGAAATGGCAAGGTTTTGGAAATGAAATGAGAAGAATTCTGGAGGTGATAGCCATTGGAATGGTAGGAGGAGGGTGCTTTTTTATTTTTGCCATCAGGAAAAAGATATTTACACAGTATTTATATTTTGTATTAGGTGCTATATATTTTATAATTTTTGCACTGTTGCTGGATCGACAAAATGTTCTTGAGCTACGCAGGTTGGCATCTCAGTTGTATTCATTAAACATATCTCCTGGGTGTTGCACACCAGCCATGTTTTATCCGAAATGGATCATTCCTAGTCTGCTGAATTATTTAGCCAACGATAATAACAAGCATCATACAGACATTGCTATTTATAATTTCATTACAAGCAACAATCTCACTGCTTATCAAATAGAACCCAATCTGTTTGCTCATATAGGAATGTATACTTCTGTTCATCAAAATTCTCGTAAAGATCCACAAGAGTTCATATTTAGTATGTAATGAAACTAAGACAGTGTACATGTATTGTATTCAGGTTCAAAAGATCTGTGTAGACTCTTTCTGTTTCTCATCTGCTCCTTTGTATTCTTCTTGTACATGTTATATGTACATGGATTTACAGAAAGAAACTACAGTTGTATTGCATTACTCAGTGCAATTTTATATCTTCAAAAGTTTAATTTACATTTGACATTTCTGTTTAGTAATTTATATATTGTATATGCATGAAAAAAAATTGAATACAGGACCATCTTTTAAAATTATTTGGTTGTCCTAATGGCCTGACTCAAAACTTTTTTTACATTCCAGGACATGATATTTTTTTTCATTGAGTTGGCTCGCGTAGCGAGCTACTCCCTGTCGACATAGCCGTTTCAGAGCTGTAAATTTTTTTACGCATTTATCAAGGTGATCCATACGCCAAATATAATAGTTCTAGCAAAAAATGCTTTGGTTTGAGTGATTGAATAAACTTAAGAGGTAAAAACTGTATAAAATTTCATACTGTAACATTATTTATGCCTTCATGCTTTTAAAGAAATTTTTGATTAAATACTTGTACGATGTACAATTACTGCGTATGAATATATGTTCAAGCATATTAGGCGGATCTAATCTTCCCATCTGAAGTTTATTTATAATTGACCTAGAATACTCCCTAACACAAACACCTGCTGCTCTCATTAGCTGCAGCTAGTTGTTGTTGAAAATCTAGTTTTAGAATCCAGATTTGCTGTGGGAATATTTAACCTAATTATTCCATAACACTGACCACTTCAGCTAGTGTGCTGAAATTCATTATAGAATCCAGTCAAAATAATACGGAAGCCCATTAGTGCCAACCTGTATATATAAACACCCATTCTCAATATAAGGGCACAAATGCCTCTCTGATTTTTTAAAAAATGAAGTTCAAGATAACAATTTTTCTATTAATTACCTTTCAGAGAAAGTATCTGAAGATTTTGTTTCCAGATTTTTTTTCATCAAATTATAATACATGGAATAATGATAAGACGATTAAGTAGAGGGTGATTTTATTCAGAAATGTAGCTTGAAATGTACGTTACTCTTTCTTCAATGTCCAAAAAGATATGTAAAAAAAATGTAGTCATTAAAATCACAATTGGAATATCTCATCTTAACACCAGCACACCCTACCAACTCTGTCAGCAACATATTTTCTCGGCAAACGAACGTGCGTTTGATTTTTCCTTTCAAAAAACAAAGGTCACTTTTTGATCCAGATGTATAATTTTTTTTAGCTCTACTGGTCAGAGACCAGAAGAGCTTATGCGATAGTAATGCGTCCGTCGTCCGTCCGTCCGTCCGTCTGTCTGTCTGTAAACAATTTTTCAAAATGCTACTCCTCCTACAGTTTTGGTCTGAATTCAATATTACTTGGCACATAAGTAGACTACACTAAGATACAAAATTCTGTGTATCGGTTTTTGATTTCGATGAACGGTGTTGCCATGGTTACTAAAAATAGAAATTTCTGTGAAATTCTTTCAAAATGCTACTCCTCCTACAGTTTTGGTCTGATTTCAATATAACTTGGCACACAAGTAGTCTACACTAAGATACAAAATTCTGTGTATCGGTTTTTGATTTCGATGAATGGTGTTGCCGTGGTTACTAAAAATAGAAATTTCTGTGAAATTCTTTCAATATGCTACTCCTCCTACAGTTTTGGTCTGATTTCAATATAACTTGGCACACAAGTAGACTACACTAAGATACATAATTCTGTGTATCGGTTTTTGATTTCGATGAAAGGTGTTGCCATGGTTACTAAAAATAGAAATTTCTGTGAAATTCTTTCAAAATGCTACTCCTCCTACAGTTTTGGTCTGATTTTAGTATAACTTGGCACACAAGTAGACTACACTAAGATACAAAATTCTGTATATCAGTTTTTGATTTAATTCTGTATATCGGTTTTTGATTTCGATGATTGGTGTTGCCGTTGTTACTAAAAATAGAAATTTCTGTGAAATTCTTTCAAAATGCTACTCCTCCTACAGTTTTGGTCTGATTTCAATATAACTTGGCACACAAGTAGACTACACTAAGGTACATAATTCTATATATTCAGTTTTTCACTTCAATGAACGGTGTTGCCATGGTTATTAAAAATAGAAATTTCTGTGAAATTCTTTCAAAATGCTACTCCTCCTACAGTTTTGGTCTGATTTTAGTATAACTTGGCACACAAGTAGACTACACTAAGATACAAAATTCTGTGTATCAGTTTTTGATTTTGATGAATGGTATTGCCGTGGTTACTACAAATAGAAATTTCTGTGAAATTCCTACAAAACGCTACTCCCCCTACAGTTTTGGGACTGATTTCATTATAACTTGGCACACAAGTAGACTACACGAAGATACATAACTCTGTATATAGGTTTTTGATTTCGATGAACGGTGTTGCCGTGGTTACTAAAAATAGAAATTTCTGTGGAATTCTTTCAAAATGCTACTCCTCCTACAGTTTTGGTCTGATTTCAGTATAACTTGGCACACAAGTAGACTACACTAAGATACATAATTCTGTATATCGGTTTTTGATTTCGATGAACGGTGTTGCCGTTGTTACTAAAGATAGAAATTTCTGTGAAATTCTTTCAAAATGCTACTTCTCCTACAGTTTTGGTCTTATTTCAATATAACTTGGCACACAAGTAGACTACACTAAGGTACATCATTCTATATATTCAGTTTTTCACTTCAGTGAATGGTGTTCCCATGGTTACTAAAAATAGAAATTTCTTCTAAATACTCTCAAAATGCTACTCCAAATACAGTTTTAGTCTGATTATAATATAATGTGGCATGAAAGTAGACTACACTAAGAACATAAAGAGACTTAATCAAGGATCATTATTCTATTTATTACTGTTGAAAAGTTTCAATTTCCAACTGCCTAAGTACTTTTATCTTCCTTTGCTATAAGTACAAACCAGTAGAGCTTCAGTCTCGACAGGGACTTCTGGTTTAAATATATGCTTTAAATTCTTCTCTCTGTTTTGTTTAGAGCGATCACTTTGGAATCTTGTCATTTTCTATAGATACTGGAACCTAACATGTACATGTAGTAAAATTCTATTTTGTAGTTACTGTCTTTTTTAACATATATCCATGCCGATTTAGAAAACTACGTAAATGTAACGTACATTTCAAGATATATTTCTGTTTGATAAAAAGCTTAAAATTCATCTAAAAATCAATCGTTTTGTTTCAGTTTATTCCAAAAAAGATTCTCTATGTAATCACATTGTGTTATATGTCACAATCACCACTTTAAAGACACGATTGCTTCAGAATATGAGTAGGTAACGTACATTTCAAGCTTGTAATAATATGTAAATTAGTAATAAGAAAATATTTTTTTAAAAAAGCAATTATTGACATAAAAATCATTTCAATGAAGCGTTTTAAGGCAGTAATATAAGAAATCATAATGTAACAAACGAGGTTATTTGTACGGAAGCGTATTAGGGCCGCAGCAGTATTTTTTTTTAATTTGTTATAACAAATTGATAATTTGTTATAACAAATTATTAATTTGTTATAACAAATTACTAATTTGTTATAACAAATTACTAATTTGTTATAACAAATTACTAATTTGTTTAAACAAATTACTATTTTGTTTAAACAAATTGCTAATTTGTTTAAACAAATTACTAATTTGTTTAAACAAATTGATAATTTGTTATAACAAATTGATAATTTGTTATAACAAATTGATAATTTGTTTAAACAAATTGATAATTTGTTTAAACAAATTGATAATTTGTTATTACAAATTGATAATTTGTTATAACAAATTGATTATTTGTTATAACAAATTGATAATTTGTTATAACAAATTGATAATTTGTTATAACAAATTGATTATTTGTTATAACAAATTGATAATTTGTTTAAACAAATTGATAATTTGTTTAAACAAACTACTAATTTGTTATAACAAATTGATAATTTGTTATAACAAATTGATAATTTGTTATAACAAATTGATAATTTGTTATAACAAATTGATAATTTGTTATAACAAATTAATTAGTAGTTTGTTATAACAAATTATCAATTTGTTTAAACAAATAAGTAATTTGTTTAGACAAATTAGTAATTTGTTATAACAAATTATCAATTTGTTATAACAAATTATCAATTTGTTATAACAAATTATCAATTTGTTTAAACAAATTATCAATTTGTTATAACAAATTACCAATTTGTTATAACAAATTAATAATTTGTTTAAACAAATTACTTATTTGTTATAACAAATTATCAATTTGTTTAAACAAATTATTAATTTGTTATAACAAATTATCAATTTGTTATAACAAATTAATAATTTGTTATAACAAATTGATAATTTGATATAACAAATTATTAATTTGTTATAACAAATTAAAAAAAAATACTGCTGCGGCCCTAATACGCTTCCGTATATTTGTCATCAACTACATGAATGTCACGTCACTTCGGTAACGTTCATTTCACATCTTATGGGGGGGGGGGGGGTCCCCTCCACCTCAGTTCATTACCATTCTTTTATGCTGTTTCGCTGAAATTGACACCGGTCGTAGCCTAGTTAATTCTACCTGTGTGCAAGGGTACAGACAAAAAAATATAAGAGTCAGACGTATTTTGCTATGATCTAACAAATGCTCGTGTTTGGCCATTGAAACTTAACACAAATCTATTCCGAATATATCCATGGACAGTCTTGTTAACAATTTCATTAATTATGTTGCAACATCGTTTTTCAAAACACTAACATACGTGCTTTTCAGCAGATCTGGAAAAATATAACCCAAAAAGCAATGATTCAATCAAAACTGAGTATTGTGTGCCTTTCAGTATTTGAAATGTACGTGACCGTCTTGTGTTCTGAGTTTATTTGTATTGTTTCTTTTTCTTCTTTCTTTTCTTTCTTTCTTTTTTACCAATTATAAGCCTATGCATATACCTTGTTTTAAATTATCAACAACAATTAAATTAATATTGACGAAAAGTCGCATATTAAAAGTAAACAAACTGCAAAAAGGTTGCCAAAGATGAATTTAAGACACTTAGCCTGAATAAATTTTTTAGCATGTGGTAACAGTCTAAAACATTTACGAGGATTGGGGGTGCATTTAGATGGATTTATGTGGCCAGTTGTCAAATGGATTGTAACGATAATTTTGTTTCGTTCGTGTAAACGCAATTCATTGACCAAATAAAAAAATGTCAGTTAGAAATACATAAAATGTACGTTACCATACGTAACGTACATTTCAAATATAAAAATCAATTCTCTTCCACAAACGTACGTTAGACACGTAATATATTGATACTATTTGAACTTGCATATCATAAGAAATGCATCATACAGGTTTCGTATTCAGAAATATATACCAGGTATCAAAATTATATTACATATAATTGACCTTAATATAGTTTTTTTCCTCAATAGAAACGTTTCTTTTCATTAATTTTGGGATTTAGCCGACCTCCAACCTTTGAAACTTTCCTTTGTGTACACATTCTTAATTCGAATTTCATGGTAACGTACATTTCAGTCACGTACATTTCAAATGATCACTTTTCATGTAAAAAATAATTTTTAATTGTGTTAAGCAAAACGTCTTTGCCAGTTTACAGGATACAAGGGGTTGCTTATTCAGAGTCGTCTCATATTTTCTACTTAATATATATTCTTAATGGAAGAATATAGGTAACGTACATTTCTTTCTTATCTCTACGATTGAAAATGTCTTTCATTCCGTAAACATATTTATAAAAGTTGCTCAAATTGTTCAATTTCATGTTAAATTATCTAAGTAGGAGTAATTAATCCTTTGAAATTTCAAATTTAGCCTCATCAATAAATAAAGGAGAACAAAACTATCAGGTGTATAATCTTTGTGTTTGCTTGTAATGTGGTTGAAATAGAATTAAGCGACAGGGACATTGCACAATAAAAAATATTTATTATCACAAAGAAAATGTATTTATTGTTATGAAAAGGAATATATATGATACAAAGTTTAACTTATCAGAAAATTTTTACTTGAGAATCAAAACTATATATTACACAGAGGGGATTCAGCAGAATATTTGCCTCGGCGACAGTAACGTACATTTCAAATAGGCTACTATATTTGAATTTGAAACTCCTTAAATACCCTTTCAGATCGATAATTATATGAATTCTTATTCATTGTTATATGACTATTTATAATGTTCATTTAAAAATTACATCAGTGGTATTTCTTTTAAATGAAAACGAGGCGACATTATTTGAGCCCTTATATTGAGAATGGGTGAAAGGAAAAGCAATATACACTTTATTTATGAACCGAACATGGATCAGACATATAATATTCAATCTCTTAAGATGCAAAATAAACTGAATATAAGGTATGGTGTCCAGATGTATGAAAAACCTCAATTAACTCGAGCCAGTCAACTCGCAGGCCTTTCAGGCCTTTGATTTTATTCCTCTTATCATATCAATAAATATGTTCAAGTTTTCTGGAAAAAAGATTTTCCCACATACATACCGTGCATGATCCATAAATTTTACCCTGAGTCAGGAGAGGTCAAGCAAACATTACAATATACAATGTATTTATAGGTGGCTTAGGCTGTTTTTGTTAAGATGTGTTTTAGAAGTTATATTTGAAAAACCAGACAAAATGAAATGCAACATTTTTGGTACTTTATTTTATCTAGTAATGGTACAGAAAACCTTTACCTTTACCTAACACTGTATGTATTAAGTGATGTTCATACAGTAATGAACAGTTTCAACTTAGCAGAAAAAAATATATACTTGTAACTCATATATAAGCAGTTATAATTTGTTTTGTTGCAATCAAAGAACAACAGTCTTGTTTATATATATCATGGATGGAAGAGCCAAAACAGTAAAATTTGACACTTGAGGATGACTTTAAAAAGTAAAAACCAAGATGGTGTCTACTGATGTGCTTTTATTGCTTCTGAAAAATTGCAATCATTCAATTTTTATTAGAAATAAAGGAGAAAAAAAAATCAGTGTATGTATAAATAATTTATTAACACTTAAAATTGTGAGCAAAAAATCAGAAATATAGAGCAATACTGAAAAATATTATGAAAGTTCTTGTGTAAAGTGCAGTGTATATGTAATACTGTCTGGTATAAAGAAACTAGAATGTACATCATAATACTGGTGCTATATATTTATATAGATACAATTTCATTGTTTTCTTCTTTTAGAATAAAACAAACTTAATAAATAGTCTCCTTATTTTTTCTACCATGCACACATGGAATTACATAATAATGAAATATTCTTTTAAAATGAAGTATGATTGCATGATAAAAAAAATACAAAATTAATGTAGATATGATAAACATTGGTTATGATTTCATTTTCCCAGGCATAGCCATTGTAAAAATATTAGAATGCCAGTGTTGTAATATATAAAAAGAAATTAAATGTTATAAATGATCCATAAAAGTCTCCTTTTTTCTTCTCTGGAATTTAACTTTTAAGGATAAAAGATTGTTTCCCTTCTCACAGTTTCAGAATATTTAACCTGGTTTATTTAGATTTTCAGTTGGCATTCATCTAAAAAATAAAAGTATGCATATAAAAAATATTTTACACAAATAAAAGTTCATCTATTCCTTATTATTCAAGTCTTTATAAACTTGACTAAAAGTAAGTAACATACTTTAATTATGAAAATGTAACATTTAAATGTAAGATGAGATGACTCTCTGCTGCAAGATTTAATTGTAAAGACCGAAAAATTACATTCACATAAATTCAGCATATATATATTTCCGTTTTAAAAAAATTATCTCAATCTTCAAGATGTGAGCAGAGAGTAAGACATAGTCTTCATTATCGTTAACTTATGGAAAATTAATTTTATAAAAAGAATAAACTAAAACTTATTTGAATAAACAAATTGATTTATCGTAATATGTTCAACTACAATATTTGCTATTCTATATTGTTCACTAAAATATTGCTATTCTACATATTAAGCAGTATGCTACAATATAACAGTTATTTTTTTATTAGCATACAATATGAAGCAAATGGGTATTGCACATATTTTTATATGGTTAATAAATTTAAAAACTATATTATTGTTGTTTTCCCCCTCTATTACAAGCAAAATTTAATACATTAATAAATTAGTTCTGTTAACATAAAAAATTAATCCATCTACATTCATTTTAAATCCCATATCTCCTTTCACCTTCCCCACTTCTCTATCTCATGCAAGTTATTTGCATAAAGAATATATGTTATGTTTAAAACTAAATACTAGTATATTTATACCATTAGCAATCATGCAAAAAAGGTATATATGCGAAGTTATTTTTCAAAATTTTTTAATACATTGGAAATTCTGCTGAAATGCCTACACAAAGCAAATGAATGAATATTGGCATTTGCACTGTGACCTAAATTAGCATGTCCATTACCGACTGGCTACAATTGACCTAGAATAAAGCCAAAATATACAAATATTTAAATATTGGTTCAAAGTTTTATCAAAATGAAAGCAAATAAACTTTTTAAAAAAAATTCTCTTAAATTAATTTAGTATGAGATTATATAGAATGAATTGAACATTGTGTATTCATTAATTTATTTCCAAGCTGTTACATTGACCTCAGAAGTATATAATGATGTACAGAGAATTACTTTTCTCTGTCCAAAAAAAAGTGCATTAGCCTGATAAGTATATTTTTGTATGTATAAGGCCTAAGCATTCAATCAATCAGGACTGCAATATATTTAATCTACAGCAAATCATGCTTTACATTTTAAAAAGGGAATAGATTGTAACAAAATAAATACCCCTGACATGCTTTACTACATATGATGTACTGAAGTGCACAAATTAATTTAACATACAAACGAAATAAGATTTTAATTTAAACTTTGAAATTGAGTTTTTTGCAATGATATGGAAGATCTGTAATATTTGGTTTATCATTGGGTTTTTAACAGCTTTATAGCCAAAATATTTTGAAGAGCTTGATAAACCTTTCTAGCAAACTCAAGCCAAATATGTTGATTCAAATCCTAAACTGAGCATACATAAAATCACATTATGTAAGAATCCAGGTACATATAAAACCATTTCTTTTGTAAGACATACCCCCCCCCTTGTCAAAAAAATAAATTTTAAAAATAGCAAATAATATTTTATTTAGATACATACATTTATCAGGGAAATGTTTGCGCTCTCTGTGTGTTGGTGCATCTACTTCAAAGGTACAGCGAGGCTCATATCCAGGTATCTGCTGCTCAAACACAGTGCTGCTGAATTGTTCTGGATAGTGCTGTCTCTGTTTTCTACACCAGGCTTGCTCTTTTTTCATTTCAACTGCACACCAAGATTCTCTTGATTCTCCCAGTTGAATCAGATCAGCTTTCGACAACGGTTTACCCCCAGACATTGTGTATCTTCCTAAAGTTTTCTACAAGTCTTTTTCGTTGCTATGTAAAAGCGTCCTTGATCTGGGTATTCAGTGTCACTGCTGTTAAAGAGCAAAAAACTGTTACCGCCAAACACTTGACTGATGCAACGCGTACTTAGAAAACCAAATCCGAGTAAATGCTTTTATTCCGGAGAAGTAATACCCCTCTTTTTATAAAAAGTAGTTTTCAATACGACTGAGAGTATATTAACTATTTATTATTTGTCTTTTCAATTCCATTTAATCAACACTCTCATTACTTGTTGATCTCTATGAAAATTCAAACTTCAGATGTATAAACATCTCCAAAGACAAAATCAAACTGACAATATTAAGTAGAATATTTCAATTTATCATTCATTATCTTCTCTCTCGAAAAAACAAAAAAAAAAAAAATATATATATGTTGAATTTAAGGGCAAGGGTTAAGGTTAGGGCATTATCAGATACCCACGGGTGATCTCATTTTTACTCATCTCAAAGAAATATAAATATAGTTTCACGATTTGTGAAACTATGATTAACAACTCTTAACTATAGTTTACGATTGTTAATCTAAGTTTATCTGTATGAATAAAGCGTTAACAAAAGATTTTGTTGATAAACATAGATTCACTTTTGTAAACTATAGTTTACAGTCGATAAACCTAGTTTATCAAATGTGAAACTAGGTTTATCTCATTTTTGTGAATTTGGCGTGCCATAGATGTAAAATATAGATTAACGTCGTTAACTATAGTTTACAGTCCGTAAACTATAGTTTACAACCGATAAACCTAGTTTATCGACTGTGAAACTATGTTTAGCTCATTTTTGTGAATTTGGCGTGCCATACATGTGAGCTTAATAATTAACAGTTCACTAAAACCTATAAATTCCTGACGACTATAAATTCTTCCAAATTTAATTAAATTAATTAAAATGTTTCACCGTTGATCGATTTAGGGTATTTTAGATACATAATTTTATTAAGAAATACGGAAGTGTTCTAAAGATCTTTTTAATTAAACTCTGCTTTGGCAAAATTGCATTTTTTGAAGTGGAAAAATAAAACCGGTTTTCGCTGCTTCATTCTTATAGAATATCTGATCCTAGAGACCTATATATACTAATTATACTAATTATATACATGTACTAGTTAAAATATAGGTCCCTGTTGATGCTTAGCACGTGTAGAGGGATAATATGGAATTTGTTCAATGTCAAGGCTTAAAATGATTTAAAATCACAAAGCCTTTTTGTTTTTAAAAGTATTAAATAAACGTTCAGATCCAATCAAGACATTTTGTTCACATTGAATACCTATGGTATCGGTAGTGTCCGTTACTCTGTGTTAAATTTCTTTGTGAAGATTTTTTTTTTCGAAAGTGCTACTCGGTCGATAATTTTGATTCAATACCCGTAACTTGCTTCGCTAGAATTTAATACTCTTCTATTTTTTGCGTTTGAACAAAAACAAAAAATATTTCTGTAAAAAATTTTTAATTTTGATGTAACAATAATGGAGAAAAATAACTTTAATACTTACCAGAATTAAGATGTAATTATATTAATAAATGACTGATGCATAGACATTAGAACTCTGAAGCAAATTGAAAGGGGAGGATATCCAGTTTTAAATGTCTATCTTTTAAAAAAAATATGGATGTGGGCTATAAGCCCCATCCATTCCGACGCCTATATGCGATGTAAGTGAATTATCAAAATACACATAGGCCTATTTTTGGAAAAATTGAATTAATTGTATTTTTAGTCCCCCCCCCCCCCTTTTAATGTCTGAAATAAAATTAAGACTTAATAAATTATTTTTATAAGTGGATGTGGGCCCCCTACCCGACTTGCCCCCCCCCCCCCCTCGACTGCCCTTTTTTTCAAAATTTCTGGAACTGCCATTCCTAAACAATTAGTTATAAGTACTTAAGTACATGTATGTGAATTTATTTTACAATTTTTATATGAACTTGAAAAATATTAATACTATAATAAAGAAAATTCAGAGTAGACATGTTTGAAAGCAAAACAAACACACAATATATTGTCAATCCGTGCAGTTATGGTGAGCAGACTTTGACGATTGAACGCACCCGGTGAATCGTAAACATCAACAATAACGGAGCTCGTGCCCTGTTTACAAAACCTGTGTACATAACACAAACTCTTGTGATCGATTTGCTAAATGCTGTACACAACACTTAGCTCGGAATGACGAAACTTGTGAAGGAGTTTTGCTTTCTAACATCTCTACTCTATCTGGATTAGATTTTTAATATATCTCATTAATTCACAACAAGATTGCCACTTTTCCTAAGGATTAAGAATAAAGTTAAAATTTGATGTGTCAATCAAACCCGCCAAAAAATTAGAAGTTTTATAAGTTTTAAATGAAATAAGATTACCGGGTATTAATTAATTTGTGAAATGCTATTAAAATATATAATTCGTTATATTATAGAGAAAATATTAACTTCAAATTTGTGTCCAAGTACCTTTAGATATACAGGAAAGATATTTCAAAACAAACCTGTCTTGAATTGATGTTTATATCTGCCACGTGCTTTTCTATTTTTAGCAAAATCAATAAACTTCCGTTTAGAGTGGAGGATTGTGGGTAAATTTTGCGAAAACGAGCTGAGTTAATCATGGACCAACGTAAACACCTGTAAGCTGTGGACAGGACGGAATTGTCACCACATCAGAAGATGGAGACCGTTAACCCTCAGCCAGACGCCCAAAATGGGGGAGGCACAGTTACGCATGAATTGGTTAACGGTAAGTGATTTTTGGAGCGCAAATGTCCCAGTTTCTGAGTTGTTTACCACAGCTTGGACAGGAAAAACAAAAACAACGTAACGCTACGTAATCTGCAAAAAGTTTGCACGCTTGACAAAATTATGGATGCTGAACTAATATGATTGAGATCTCCCCCAATTAAAACGAGCAAAGAGAATAATCTTGAAGCTAATTAATTCGATGTTGGTAATCTATATTGGTTAAAAATTATCACATCGCAGAAATCTGACAGATCATTGCACTCTCGACTCTGGAATAAGAGATTTAATGTGATTGAGGTTATTCACATCAGAGGGCATTCGGATAAATAAATATTTTGTTAAATGGACATTGTAAAAATTGATAAAAATTAAAATTAGACTTGAGATTCATGTGACTGACTCAGTTGGGTAAATAATTTTTTTTAATTTAAAAAATGCATGCTAGACTGACATCATTTAAAATTTCCAGATGCTAACAATGCCATGGGATTTCATATTTACTAACAATTTTAGTATACATGTAAACAAAATTTAAATTTAGAAAACTATTAAAGTGAAAGTACAGATTGTTAGAAATTCTATTTTTAAAAATCTATGCAATATAAATACTGTATTGATACTATGCAAGTGATACTGATTACATTCTTGTAATTTTTTATGATCAATAATGATTAATTATATGGGTAAGTTCTTTTTTATTTTCCTGTAATTTGTTTGCTTATGAACTGCATGTTTAATAATATTGTATACATCATTTTTATCTTATAAAAAAGTATAGGTTACATCATAGAAGCCGAGTAGTATTTGATTATACCGTTTTCATGGGGCGTGAAAACGATATAACCAATAGTACGAGGCATATATGATGTAAGCAACTTGTCGCATGTCTGATGACGTAAATTTCATTGAGAGTGTCAAAATTAAAAAAAAATATTCAGAGTCATAAACTTAAAATTCATTTCAAGCCAGCTCTCCAACATGTCGGACGTTCTTAGTGAATTTGTCTTTGACTTTTTAACTGAGTTTGAAGATTTTGACAATTTATTTTTGAGGTTAGCACTTGACAAATGTGAAATCACAGAAGCAAATATCAAGGAGTTTAACGATAGAGATTTTTCCGTAACTTTCAAAATTTCAAAATGGATTAATCTTTTGAACGACTGGGAACTTTCAACCGAGTTAAATACATGTGTTTTAATTTAGTTACAGGCTAAGAAATAGCTTAACATCTTCATTTTTCTGTAGTTATGAACTTGTGAAATCAAATTATTTTTTTTTCTCATGACCTGATTTCTGCCTCCTACAGTGATATATGAAGAGGTGTGGAAAGTATTATCACATATGTGATATGGGATATATCACCACACAAAGATCAAAGAAAATCACCGCAGATATGCGACAATGAAGGATTATCTTTTGAAACATGCTCTTTAAGTTCTATTACATCTTATTGTAGTTAACATGGAAGGACAAGACAAAGTTGGAATGAAAGATTTTGAGCTTTTAAAAGTGTTAGGAACTGGTGGTAAGAACACACAGTTTAAATTTAGAAAACTATAAAAGTGAAATCCACACTTTGCAAAAGTTGTATTTTTAAAAATATATGCAAAAGGTGATACTGTGCAAGAAACTGTGTATTTCTTCTCTTTTGCTAATCAATATTAATCAGTTAATTATCCACTGTGTTTAATTTTTTTCTGTTCAGTGTGTGATTAGAACTTCTTGGGGCAATCAGTACACAAAAGGCAGAGCTTTTTTAAAGTCAAATGACGAAGTAACAAACCTGCAAACTACAAAGGCTACTGTGTGAATTGTATGAGTTTATCCCCTAAGATGGCGGCCAAGGGACATAACTTTTGCAAAGTGTTTATTATTGACATCAGTGCTATGTTCATTTTTTGATAAAACAAGTTCATGATAATTAAGCAAGCTATTTGTGTAATTTTTTGCCCATCAGTGAATAAAAGTGATCAATACATGTAATATGATAAAATTTATTATCTACTGTATGTATACACAATAATTAATGTTTGGCATTTACAAATCAGTAATTTTAATCTCAAGTAATTTGAACGGAAGTGCACTTGTTCTTATAGCTATTAGTACTGAAGTTGATATTAATTTATTCAGCATATGGTAAAGTTTTCTTGGTGAGAAAGACCACAGGCAAAGATCAAGGAAAACTGTATGCCATGAAAGTCCTAAAGAAGGCCTCGATTGTACAGAAAACTAAGACAACAGAACACACTAAAACTGAGAGACAGGTGCTAGAGGCCATCAGACAGGCTCCATTTCTAGTCAGCCTTCACTACGCCTTCCAGACAGAGGCCAAGCTGCATCTTATACTGGGTAAATTACAATTCTTGTTTTTGTGGATAAGTTCATGTGTATGATAAGTTCATGTGTATAACAAATTCATGTGAATAGTAAGTAGACTTTGTCAAAAAGCAGTAGTTGTACACACAGTTTTGTATTTTTAAACCTGAATTCAATTTTGAATGAAAACTAATTATTATTACTTGAAGAACATAAAAGTTAATGATATATCAAGTCTTGCAAACTGTATAAACATATCCGCATTAATTTGTTAGGCATGGAAGTCTACATATTAAAAGACGATTAAAATGGTGTCATTAAGTATGCTAATGAATGAAATTTCCTTTTAGATTACGTAAATGGAGGAGAGTTGTTCACACATTTGAATCAACATGAGCAGTTTACTGAGGATCAAGTCCGAGTGTATATTGGAGAAATTGTTCTGGCGTTAGAAAACCTCCACAAAGTGAGAAAAACACAGAACCTTATATCACAAAATGTTGAGATTCAAGTGAAATTAAAGTCATTTGGACTTAAAAACACTTTTTACATACTTCTTGGAAAATTTAATAATCATTTGTATAAGTTCACTGTGAAAAAATTATCTTCTGACAGTGACATCCAGGATTGTATTTGTTTAAATGTGTCTAACATTTGATGTTTGTTTTAAAGTTGGGCATTATCTATCGAGATATAAAACTTGAGAATATACTCTTGGACTCAGAGGGGCATGTAGTGCTGACAGATTTTGGCCTCAGTAAAGAATTTCTGCCATCAGATAAGGTAAATAAAGACTTTTATATATACAGTTGAATATTAAATTATTACCCTATTCAAGATAATATACTATATCTACACATGTATTTCAGAACCACAGAGCCTATTCATTTTGTGGTACCATAGAATACATGGCACCTGAAGTGGTAGAGGGTGGAAGTTCAGGACATGACTTTGTAAGTAAAAATATGATTTTATGTTTCATAGTTTTGTCTAACCTGAATAAATGTATACAAATGCATAAAAGGATTTCAATGTCCTAGAGTGGTCTTACTTGTAAGTGTAAAAAGAGCTGTCTATAATATCAAAGACAGAGCTGCAAACTCCTGATTTGGGTAAGGATGACAAATTAGGTGTCTAAAATACACAAGATTTCTCTATTCTTTCAATTTTCATTTTTCTCACTTAAAAGTACCTGGAATTTTTATAGCTGTTTACCTTCAGATTTCACTATTAAAGTAAAAAAATTCATAGTTCATACAGTGTTTGCTTATATTGCTATTGTCCACTTCTATGGCAATCATTTTAAGTAAATAAACTGGGAAAAAAATCCATTGGCAAAACATATGTTGACAAAAAATTTCCAGTAACTTAAACATCCATTTGATCCATCCCTTATGAGATTTATATACTGGTCTCCAATTTGTTAAATTTTTAACAAGAATTGACTTTGAATACTTACATCACACATGTGTAATATTGTATTTGAGAATGAGGCTGATGGTTTCTTTCCTGTTACAGGCAGTGGACTGGTGGTCCCTAGGAGTCCTTACTTATGAATTGTTAACTGGTGCTTCCCCATTTACAGTTGATGGAGAAAGAAACACACAGTCAGAAATATCTAAGTATGTCCAATTTCTTTTGTCTTAAAGATAATGATTCAAACCCAAAACTCGTTGATACTGGAATCTGTATTGTGTATGCCTATCAATTCTCAGACTTGTTTGCAGAGGAATCATGTTCCTAGTACTAATTCATTAGAATATTTTGTGTTTTATTTTAAAATTTATTGAAAGCATGATTTATACATGTACATGTGTATTTTTGACATTACAGACGAATTCTTAGGGCTCAGCCTCCCATGCCTAGAGAGTTTTCTCCAGAAGTGAAAGACTTCATTCATAAGTTACTCACCAAAAACCCAGAAAAACGACTCGGTGCAAAAAGTGCTAATGAAGTTAAAAATCACAAATTTTTCAAGGTAAATGTGCAGTTAAATTAGTTTAATTCTAATTTTAAGTACATTGTATCCCAAAATCTTGCTTAAGGGAAGAATTATGTAGATTTGATAATTTAAAATACTCTGCATGAATCGAAAAATGCAGGAAAGATGCAAACTTTTTTGAACTAGAATCAAATTTCAGGGTCTGTACATATGTACCAGAACCAGATGTAAAGGGGTGGGGCTTATTCCCACACTTATTGTGCAAAACATATAGCATTGATGTTGCCTGTACATGTAAATTATGAATTGACAGGATCTCAATTGGAAGCAGTTAGCTGAGAGGAAAGTGCCTCCACCATTTGTGCCAAAAATCGCCCATGAGCTAGATGTTGGTAATTTTGCTACTGAATTCACAAACATGGCTCCCCAAGACTCACCAGCAGCGATTCCTATGAATGTGGAAAAAATGTTTAAGGTATATTCTTGAATTTCTTGATATGGAATTTTTTAATAAGTTTGATAAAATTTTTAAATATAAAGCAGACAACTATTAGTACTTTAATGTATGCATGCAGAGGATATTCAGTGTTTTGTAGTTGGATCTGGAATTTATTTTTTAAGTCGGACAGTAATTAAGAATTATATTTTCACTAGTACGAAGCTCCCTTTATTGTGTGTTATTCCGTATGTGATAATGTATCATTCCATGGATCCTTTACAGGGTTATACTTAGGTTTCCTGTACTAGGCCTCTTTTACAGGGTTATACTTAGGTTTCCTATACTAGGCCTCTTGTTATATGACAAATTTCATAGATTTCTTTAAAACCGTGCAATATCCATTTCTTTTCTCATTTTCAGGGTTATTCCTATGTTGCTCCGTCTGTCATATTCAGTGAGAACACCATCAGTAATAATTTATTATGTCCTGACAGTTCAAATCAACCAAAGGATATTCAAATCAGATATGCTAGTCATTTTAAGGTAAGAGGGCTTGATGACTATTGCAAGCATAAAATGCACTTGAGAAAAAGCTTTTCTTGGATATGAAACAAACTAGTCTTGTTGTGTAATTTATTAGAGTAAACTGTATTTTACAGAATTCTCTGTTTTTTCAACAATATGAGATTGATTTATCTGAGAAACCAATTGGAGATGGGAGTTTTTCTATATGTCGGTAAGATACCTAAAGTTTTTCATCAATAAATCCTCATTATTTATTACAGGAATTAACATTTAATAACAATCAGATCCACTTGCCCCTTTGGCCAAGTAAACTCATATTTTGACTTGTCATAATCTAAAACTTGGTTGCCCCAAATTTTGAATGAAGAAACAAAACTTAACTTTTATTGAAATGTGAATAAGTTCAGTCAATTTGATTAGCTGAGATACCAGTGAAAAACGGGATGCACTGGTGTTTCTTGACACATTATCTTAAACAACTGTCCTTGTCAAGCTACTGCAGTAAATCTTGGTTTCCTTTCAAATATATTACTAGCTCTTTTAAATTAGTTCTGAAGCATTTTGTGCATACTTATATTTCTGTCTACAGGAAATGTCTCCATAAGGCTACTCAGAAGCAGTATGCAGTGAAGATAATTTCCCGGCGATTAGACTGCTCACAAGAAGTGAACCTTTTAGGGAAATGTCAGGGTCATCCAAACATAGTCAATTTGCATGATTACTTTGTAGATGAGGTATGTAACATAAATGTCCACATTTCAAGAGTAATTGAAGTTCTAGCAATTTCTTTCCATATTTTACACACTTTGTTAAATGCTAGAGAAGAAAGAATTAAAAGAGCTTTCTAAAAACGGTTTTTGAAAGTTTAATTTTTGATTAGGAATTGATCAGGTTGTTTTCTGAATCTGTATGAAATCGTTCTTTCGTTAAAATAATTTATGCTGTATGTACAAATGTATTTTAAACTTCAGTTTCATAGTTATATTGTACTGGAATTACTAAGAGGAGGGGAGCTGTTAGACAGAATTAGGAAAAAGAAGAGCTTCACTGAACCTGAGGCCAGTAAAATTATGCTCAAATTAGTGAATGCTGTGGACTTCATGCATTCTAAAGGAATTGTCCATCGAGATCTCAAACCAGAGGTTAGTTGGAGGTGTTAATCAAGGACATGTAAACCTCATAGTGTTAAACAATTGCAGTTTAAGCTCACCTGAGCTTGAAGTTCCAGTGAGCCTTTCTGATCAGCATCTGACTGTCTGTCAATCAGTCTAACTGTCAGGTGGTAAACTTTCAACATTTTTTAACTTCTTACCTAGAAGCAATAGGCTAATTTCAACCAAATGTTGAATTGTCAAATTTTGATAAGAAAAGAACGCTTGCTCGGGTGAACTAAAAAAATACAACTAAGATATATTCTAAGGCATGATTATTTCGGTGGTTACCAACTGTATTTCATTGGTAATCAGAATTTTTGGAAAATGCTTATACAATATTCATTCCCTTTACATATTTAGGATAAGTAAGATCAATAATGCTTCAGTAACAATTTATTGTCACATATGTGAGTTACATGTAACTCATTTGGTTTCAATCTGAAAAAAGAAGGAAAATTGAACATGTATCATAGCATATCTTTTTTTTCAAATCAATAAATGTATCATTTTATTGTCTTTTCTGGTAAGGGCTATTCCAGAAAAAAATGTATGGGAGGGTTGGAAGGCACTTCAGATATTTTTGTATGGGTAATGGGGACTGGAGCAATTAAATTTGCATGGGTGGTTGTCCTCATCCGTTATATTTTTAGATGGGTGGTTGCACTTTTTTATTTAAAAAAAAAACTGTCATCCTAAACACTTGTAAAGTGTGTTTAACATTTAACCCATTATTACAATTAATTCATTAAAAATGAATTAAAAAATATATATTTCAGAAACAATAGCCTGTAGTTGTTAGGTGGGATTTAGACTTCGTATTTTTTTCACATTTTCACTAAATAGATAATGCCCTACATAACTTAAGTGGCCTCCCCAACCCCCCAACCCCCCCAAAAAAACCCAGAATTTTTTGTTGTGAAGAAGGTATAAACACCTATATACTAAGATTACTTAGTATATAGGTTCCTGGTATAAACAATGTAAGGATAGGCTATGATTCACAGTATATATTTTAATTATTATAGGAATATCATTTCTACTAGTGCATGTTAACATGTATTAGTTTTACTCAAACTTTACAGATTACAAAGTCAAGCATCAGAACAGATAAATACAACAAGCATCAGAACAGATAAATACAAATCATTATTTATAGGGCTTTCAGTGGTATGTATAACAGACCTGAAGGGGTACATTTTTTAACCTAAAGGCTATAGCAGGAACCCTGTGATCTGTTTAAAAAAAGAACCTTGGACTTGAACTAAAAAATTTTAGTTGATTGTAAAGTCTTAAAAAACTTTCAAAATTTATTTGCATAAAAATATCTTTCTAAATTCTTTTCAAAAAGATTAAATCATTTTCAAAGTAATGAAAAAAAGAAAGTTTTGTGCATAATATTTAGATTTTCATCATATTTATTAAGTTTTCTCTTTTTAAACGAGGCCCTGGTTTGGATAGATCCAAAAAGCGAACACTCAATTCAAGTCACATGAAGTGCAAATGCTAGAAAAAAGTACCACTACATAAAATTTTATTTTTAGCTCTACTGGTCAGAGACCAAAAGAGTTTATTTTACATACTTTGTGTAAACAATTTTTCAAAATGCTACTCCTCCTACAGTTTTGGTCTAATTTCAATATAACTTGGCACACAAGTAGACTACACTAAGATACATAATTCTGTGTATCGGTTTTTGAGATGAACGGTGTTGCCGTGGTTACTAAAAATAGAAATTTCTGTGAAATTCTTTCAAAATGCTACTCCTCCTACAGTTTTAGTCTGATTTCAGTATAACTTGGCACACAAGTAGACTACACTAAGATACATAATTCTGTGTATCGGTTTTTGATTTCGATGAACGATGTTGCCGTGGTTACTAAAAATAGAAATTTCTGTGAAATTCTTTCAAAATGCTACTCCTCCTACAGTTTTGGTCTGATTTTATAACTTGGCACACAAGTAGAATACACTAAGATACATAATTCTGTTTATCGGTTTTTGATTTCGATGAAGGGTGTTGCCGTGGTTACTAAAAATAGAAATTTCTGTGAAATTCTTTCAAAATGCTACTCCTCCTACAGTTTTGGTCTGATTTCAGTATAACTTGGCACACAAGTAGAATACACTAAGATACATATATCTGTTTATCGGTTTTTGATTTCGATGAATGGTGTTGCCGTGGTTACTAAAAATAGAAATATCTGTAAAATTGTTTCAAAATGCTACTCCTCCTACAGTTTTGGTCTGATTTCAATATAACTTGGCACACAAGTAGAATACACTAAGATACATAATTCTGTGTATCAAATTTTAATTTTGATGAACTGTGTTGCCGTGGTTACTAAAAATTGAAATGTCTGTAAAATTGTTTCAAAATGCTACTCCTCCTACAGTTTTGGTCTGATTTCAATATAACTTGGCACACAAGTAGACTACACTAAGAACATAAAGAGACTTTATCAACGATCATTATTCTATATATTGCTGTTGTAAAGTTTCAAATCCCAGCTGCTGAAGTACTCTTCTCTTCCTTTGCTATAAGTTCAAACCAGTAGAGCTTCAGTCTCGACAGAGACTTCTGGTTATATAGATAATTTGGAACACAATTCTTAAAAAAATTATTTTAAATTTAGATGGGTGGTTGTATTAAAATCATTTTTATTTAGATGGGTGGTGGGGGAGAAAGCAATTAAAAATGTATGGGTGGTGGGGTAAAAATAAAAGTGCCTTCCAACCCCTCCATACAATTTTAGCTCTACTGGTCAGAGACCAGAAGAGCTTATGCAATAGTAATGCGTCCGTCGTTCGTCCGTCCGTCTGTCTGTCTGTCCGTCTGTAAACAATTTTTCAAAATGCTACTCCTCCTACAGTTTTGGTCTGATTTCAATATAACTTGGCACACAACTAGACTACACTAAGATACACAATTCTGTTTATCGGTTTTTGATTTTGATGAACGGTGTTGCCGTGGTTACTACAAATAGAAATTTCTGTGAAATTCTTTCAAAATGCTACTCCTCCTACAGTTTTAGTCTGATTTCAATATAACTTGGCACACAAGTAGACTACACTAAGATACACAATTCTGTGTATCGGTTTATGATTTCGATGAACGGTGTTGCCGTGGTTACTAAAAATAGAAATTTCTGTGAAATTCTTTCAAAATGCTACTCCTCCTACAGTTTTAGTCTGATTTCAATATAACTTGGCACACAAGTAGACTACACTAAGATACACAATTCTGTGTATCGGTTTTTGATTTTGATGAACGGTGTTGCCGTGGTTACTAAAAATAGAAAATTCTGTGAAATTCTTTCAAAATGCTACTCATTCTACAGTTTTAGTCTGATTTCAATATAACTTGGCACACAAGTAGACTACAATAAGATACATAATTCTGTGTATCAGTTTTTGATTTCGATAAATGGTGTTGCCATGGTTACTAAAAATAGAAATTTCTGTGAAATTCTTTCAAAATGCTACTCCTTCTACAGTTTTAGTCTGATTTCAATATAACTTGGCACACAAGTAGACTATTCTACACAATTCTATATATCGGTTTTTGATTTCGATGAACGGTGTTGCCGTGGTTACTAAAAATAGAAATTTCTGTGAAATTCTTTCAAAATGCTACTCCTTCTACAGTTTTAGTCTGGTTTCAATATAACTTGGCACACAAGAAGACTACAATAAGATACATAATTCTATATATCGGTTTATGATTTCGATGAATGGTGTTGCCGTGGTTTACTAAAAATAGAAATTTCTGTGAAATTCTTTCAAAATGCTACTCCAAATACAATTTTAGTCTGATTATAATATAAATGTGGCATGCAAGTAGACTGCACTAAGAACATAAAGAGACTTAATCAAGGATCATTATTCTATTTATTGCTGTTGAAAAGTTTCAATTTCCAACTGCTTAAGTACTTTTCTCTTCCTTTGCTATAAGTACAAACCAGTAGAGCTTCAGTCTCGACAGAGACTTCTGGTTTTCTGGAATAGCCCTAATATTAATGCATAATTATCATAATGGAAGAAATTTGAATTATCATTGATTATGTTTTACTGATTTTTATTGAAAATGGATATCACAGGCATTCCATAACATCTTAAGTTGATTTTTTGATTAATTAATGGAAACCAGACAAAAATCTACATTATCGGTGCTTTACCTGTACAGCTACTCTTTGCAACCAAGACATTCACAAATAGACCAAACTGAAAAGTTGATACATTGTCCACCGCCGCAGCTGAGCTGGCGCTGACAATAATCACTGCACACTGTATCATTGTAATATCCTGGTTCTGGACTGAAACACCCATGATCTGACAGGGCAACTTGGACAGAGGCTTACAGCAAAAGAATTCACAATTTAGAGTCCATTGATATTGAGTTTTTTCTAAAAACTTATATAATACTCCAGATCATTTGAAATTTAATTTTTTATTGACTTAAAGACTTCTGGCAGATATATGTCTTTAAGTCAATAAACAAATCAAATTTTAGGTTAATTCAAGCATTTTATGAAAATTCAGTAAGCAAAACATTAGATTATTATGGACAAATCCATTTAACTACAGGTGACTCTCGATGGCTCTTCCGATCTCTAAGTTAAGTGAACCTCCGGTCCCGTTTTTTTCCTCTATATAACTAAGCAAATTTACTCCTGATCTCTCGAACTTCTATCTCTCGAAACTCTCTATCTCTCGAACCAAGACCTGGGTCCCGTTACACATATTTCATTGATTTTTACTCTCTATTACTCGAAGTTTTGATTGCGCGTGTATACACGCCAATCAAGCGTAAAATTGATGCAGCCTGGACTTACCTGGAAAACAGGGAACGCCTGGGGCTAGCATGGAGGTGTTAATTGGATGTTTACATAGATGACACTACACCTATGGGTCGTCCATGTGTTGATAAAATTTATTGGTTATTTTAGGTAAATTATAAACGAATTGACAACTAATTTGGACTTGAATCCGAGACGATAATTTTTAGAAAATAATTTATAGACGATCGTTTCAATGAGTTCCCATAGCCTAGAGTCTACATGATCCAAGAAAGGCAAATATTGCACAATAAATTCATTTCTCAAGGACTGAATACCTATTATTAAAAATCTGGTGTCAGTGGTGAACACTTGTGAAGGACCCGATCAAGCCGCGGAATCGCAAAACCGACAATTGTTTTTCGGGATTCATGTAGTCATGAAATAAGAAAATATATATTTGAAAAATTAGGAATTCGTTTTATTTATTCGAAATACGATCATTGTTGTTGAAATCAAGTGAATTACCTGTAAAATACGATTAAAAACGTGCAACAACTTTATTTACATATACTTATCTATAACAGTAAATATCGAATCGGAACCTGTTGAATGACCCCTCGATCTAACTTGCGGTCCCTTGAACCATACACTTTTTAAGTTAAGATTAAAAATAAGTACATACCACATACACACAGCATGATTAAAAGAAAACCTCTCATCTTTGGGATCTGTGATTGAAAATATTTTCAAAGATGAATTTGGTTTCTAAAAATCAAAATTCTTTGAAAGATTTCTCTAAAATATACATTTCAGACTAGCTAACATCTAATTATACATACCAGTCAATGTTCAAGCACCTATAGATAGTAGAAGAGCTTCTATTGATGCTTAGAGGACACAAGTTTGACTGTGATAAATGTATCTAATATATATTCTCATACAATGGCAGATGTTAGCTTATCACAAAATAATCTTGATTGAATGATAACTCTAACCATACATAGGTTTGCTGTAACTGAAAAATGTGGAAACACTGATAGAAAGAGAACCCTTCATGTCTCTCTTGCACACAGCATGAACAGGTGACATGTGGCATGGGTAATTTTTAAAAAAAAAAATGAAATTGCATAGTTACATAATATGTATATACAGTAGTTTGTAACCTTGTAAAATCTCCCTGCTGGTTCTTTAACCTGAGCTAATAGCACGTGATCTTTCCCGATCAAAACTTGTCCATTGTTTGTGGTCCTTGTCATCATAATTTTTTTTCACAATTTTTTTTCTTCTCCAGAACCATTGGCCAAGTTTAATTTAATTTGCCTCAAAGTGTCTTAGAGAAAAAGAGATTTAAATGTGTTCGAGTGAAGGATCACATCTTTGAAATTCTTTCAAGGGACATGGGTGTTGGAAGCAAATTGAAAGTGGGGGGTCTAATCGAAAGTGGGGGGGGGGGGGGGCTAAACCAACAAAAAAAGGTAAATCCCAATTTTCAATGCCTATATAATGTCTATTTTATCAAAAAAGTGGGGGAAGGCATGGGCCTCTTGTTTAATTTTCACCTTGATTTTTGCTGTAAAAAAGTACATATGCATATAACTTCAGCATAAACAAAACAAATTTAGTTGCATAAAATATTCTCTGACAAGGAACTTAATAGTGTTGTCATGATGATCGATTTATAATCAATGATCAGTCGGAAAATTTTAGACCGATTAGATTTTAACAATCGATTAATCGGTATTTTTCAGCACATATATTTTTTTTAGTTTTCTCACTTTTATTTAAAGAACAGGCTCTTGTTATCAAATTATATATCTTTCAAGAGTTGTCCTTTACTATTTTAAACTACATGTACTTAAAATCTGTTTAAAATAAACCATAAGATAATAATGTTTGTATTTCTAAACTGAAGAAACTAAACTACTTGTATAAATGAAATATATTAGTTTTCAGTATTTGGGGAAATTCACCTGTCATTTCATAAGGAACACAAGGATTTGCAATATTAAATGTCTTATAACAGTTTAAAAAATTAATTCCATACATGTATACATATTATACATTTTAGATGATCATGTAAAACCTGATCTGTCAAAGCTTACTTTTCCCAGGCCAAGTAATTTTTAATCATGCAAAAATCTGTATTACTGAAATTGTTACTCAAACTGCATAAATACTGTCTTTAGAATTTCAATTTTTACAATGCACCTTTACTTACATTATTTAAAAATAAAATTCTAAATTTTATAAAATCTAATGCCTATTTAATGCAAAGGGTTACAGATTCGATTATTGGCCGATGATCAGTTGGTTAGGGTCAACCGATGCTACCGATTAATCGATTCTAATTTTCAACCGATTTGACAACACTAGAACTTAACCATTAAAAGTAAGTTAATATTAAAGCAATAATTTTGTAGAACTTGCTGTTTGTTGATGACACAGAAGATGCCGAGATAAAGATTGTGGACTTTGGATTTGCTCGACTGAAGCCAGAGAAGCAGCAGCTACAGACACCATGTTTTTCCTGGCCCTATGGGGCCCCTGAGGTCCTAAAACAGATGACAGGAAGTAAAGATGGATATGATGAGGCCTGTGACCTTTGGAGTCTTGGGGTCAACCTTGTAAGTTTCTGAAAACTAGTCCATATTTTATTTTCCGTGTGTAAGAAGAATTCCAATACCTCTCCTCTTCCCGTTCAACTTCTAATAAAGCCCTTGGAAAAATTCTAAAATATTTTGCTGATAGGTTGATAAAAAAAGAAAAAAATTATTAATGGACAAGAAAATCCTCTCAAAGATAAAACCAGAAGATTGGCATTTGAAACATCCCCAATTCTTTGAATGATTGAAATTTGTTTATTTTTAGTACACTATGTTATCTGGAAAAGTTCCATTCCAAACACGAGACAAGAGTGATAGTGCTTCTTCAATCATGAAAAGAATAAAAGATGGACAGTTTGACTTCTCCTCATCAGAGTGGAATGATGTGTCACAGAAGGCAAAGGATCTCATTCAAGGTACTACATGTATATTGTATTTTATTCTTCTCATAATAATAATTTTTCCAGAGAAAAAGTTTAAGGATATCCACTCCCCAGCCAGGAAGGATAACTATTAAATTTGTTATCTAGTTTAAAAAGTCTCAAAATGAAGCTTGAAATTGAAATCTTTTCATGCAAGAATTTTCCTATTTTGCATCTCAATATGTTTAAAAGTTATTTGAGGTTTTAAAATGAGTCTTGTAAAAAGTTGACATTTACAATTTGACATTGATTAGCCCTGTGGACCATATAATGGCTAGAAATTAGATAATATATCTCTGATTTTTGCAGGATTATTAACGGTTGATGCCAGTAAAAGAATGACAATGGAGGAAGTCAAAAACAGTGAGTGGCTGACGGGAAATGACAGTCAGGTTTTCTCTGTGACTCCACTCAGGACCCCGGGGGTATTAAATCATAGTAACACCATAGTTCATTCACAACTCTCAGCGACCATGGATGCATTCAAAAAAGCCACCATGGAAGGGTTTCGACTGCAGGATGTGGAAGGTGCCCCCTTGTACAAGAGACGAAAGGAAAAACGAAACTCAGGCGAGGGAAGAAATAACTCGACAGATTCGTCAAATTCCAATTCCAGTACAGGGGCAGGGACTCAGAACAGTGTATCCTCACCGCTGTCTGTGCGTAACATGTCAAATAACTCAAGTACTTCTCACAGTTCTGCCTGTAGCATGGGATTCGTTCCAAAAATACCTCAGGATGCTAATTTGAATGACTCGGGTCAATTTGATGTCTTTGAGAGCAGCCAGAGTATTAGTCCTCCCAAGTTTTCAGGTAGTCAAGTCAGCTCGGTCACACTGAGGTCTTCTTCAGGAGATTCAGACTCTGAGGGCAAAACACACACTCCTCTTCCAAGGGGCACCAAGAGGGTTCACAGTGAATTACTGGAGAGTGTGGAATCTGACGATGGCGATAATGATGAGGATGAGATTGAAGAGGATGAGGATGAAGATGAAAATGGAGATGATATCATCGTGGTGTCAGATGATTCGGATACTGAAAGTCCTCACATGAATGTTAAGAGAGCAAGGACAGACACTATAGTGATTCCAGATGACTGATGAATGAATGAGTTAATCCTGTGAATCAGAATTAGAATCATTGTTTTGAGTGTATAACTGGGCTGTGATTTTATTTTATAGTAAATTGAGCAGTTTGAAAAAAATCAGGATTTTAAAAACAGAAGTAAAATGTGTTTTGTTGAGCACACTTTCAGCATAAATGTTTCTCACATGTGAGTCTTCACAGTATTGACACTCCCCTCATGATAATGTCGACAAGTACACCTGATGAAAGCAATTAATGTAGATTTACCAGTACTTGTTATTTCAAAATTTCATTGTTTAAATGCTTTTTTAAAAACATTTCATGGTACCACCATTATTATGTCTTTGACTTAAATTTCATGTGTTTGTTTAAGATTTTTTTTTTTTTTTAAAAGTATATACACATCTTTTGAAAGTTTTTAGATAAATTTCTTCACAATTTTTCAGCAGGTAGTTAAGTATACAGCAAAACTCGTTCAGTACGAACACGGATATTTCAAATTTACGGATATAGCGAAGTCATCTCGAATCCCCAGCTATATAAAATTAATGACTGTCTTATACGGTTATAACGAATTACGGATATAACGAAGTAATTTCATAGGTCCCAGCAACTTCGTTATAACCGAGTTTTGCTGTATTAATTAATTAGGGCAGTTTTATGAGCATGTTTATATTTTATAACTTTTTAAATATTTTACTGAAAAAAAATTTAAATAGAAAAAAAGGATTATACTTAAGATTTGTTAAAATAATGCATGTACATGTATATGTGTTAATGCTTTTGATAGATTTTTTTTTAAAGAAAATGGCACTTTTAAATTTCCTGAATTCTATTGATTGTTTCTGTGATTTAAAAAATAGAATGAGGTTTTAGCAGCTTTGAATTTTATGTAATTCTGGCTTTTTTTTAATGTGGATTTTGATGTTTTGATCGTTAAACTTGTAACACTATTCAACTGACAAGAAAGATTTGACCTTGTCATAATGATTGTAACATCATGTACATGATAGTCTTATATCTTTAATGACATACATTTGTATAGATTTACATGATGCATTAGTGATATCACAAGTTTGTTCCTTCCCAAGTGTACTTGTAAAGTTTTTGTCTTCAGATATTGGTTTTGTGATGTGCTTGAGATCAAATTAAGTTTTGAACTGTGTTTTATATCTTTTAAAAAAAAAATGGCCAGTGTAATGGTATGTTGTGGCTTTATTATATCAGACAAAATATTTTTCCATGTAAGAGGCAAGTTTAGAGATAGGGCTTAATGGCAAATCATGGAGAGGAGATGAATACATGTATTATAAAACCATGCTCTGTACTTTAATTTGAAGATTAACATGGGATTTAATTGCTGAGGGATTATAACATCACTAAGAGTGTGTACATAATACCAGTAATATCTCCTTTCAATGTTCATGTTTTTTCAAATGAAATCTCGTAATGATAAAGTTTTAATTATTGGGGAATACAACATACTTCTTGTTATTTCAAGAAAAGTTGCTCAATAGAATTTTAAAGGAAAGCATATTTTGTGCAACGTGATCCAAATTGGCAGCTTGAAATTTAACAAAAATTACTTGATTATTTTCACCATATGTGTGATTGACTGTTGATGTGAACAAGGTGGGCACAATTATGTTTCCTCATGTAAATTTTTTTGTGTGCAATGTCTGCCTGTGTACATGATTTTGTTCTTGTATTCAGTACACATTTTGCCTATGTATATTTTAGTAATGATTTTTAAAATTCAAATCTCATAATGTATATTACATGTGTAATTCTATTAAAAAAAGGAACTCCCAACATGTATGTGTTGGAATTAGTTAAGGGATAGAATTAGACACTGGGGCAAAGTGTTTTTCTTGTTTACTTAGCTCTGCAGTATATCATGTTATTGACTAGTATTATTAGTGTACAAGATAAGGATGGATTCATTTGGTGCAGAATATAAAGAGAGTTTAGTTTTTGTGTTTGTATTCCTCTCATCATGTGCAATATAAGGAGTTAAGCTAACATGCAGTGAATATGTTTGTTTAGATACAATATAACTTAGATTATTGTACTAAAGTGTTATTTTGATGTACTTCATTGCCCAAAACTTCTCATCAGTTAATTTTTAACTTCTATTAATAGATGTATCAATAACTCCCAAAGTTTTCTTTTCATACAAAGGAAGAATTCTGTGTGGGCTTAGATTTGCTTGGAAGAAATTTGAGATGGAAGTCAGCTTTGTAAGAAGTGTTGAATATATTAATATTTGATTTTGTATATTTGTATGTGCCATTCTTATTTGTGTTTGTTCAAATGAGAGTGAGGTAAAAGAGTGTGATATGAATTTTACTGTTTTACAGTTAAGTATTTTATGTAGATTCACTAATAGTCAAGAATTTCATCTGAGCCTATGGTTCAAGTGGGTTTTCTGAGAACTTGTTTTTTTTTTCTACCATCCATAGGTCTGTCTATCCATCAATTAACTTTGAATTTTACATTTTTAACTTTCTCCAAAGCCATTGAGCCAATTTTGAACCAAACTTAGCAGAATTCTTGGGTGAAGGGGATAAAATTCTTTGCCAGTTTTAATCCACTTCCAGCAAAGAGATTATTCAGGCAAAAAGAAGGGGGTTAAGTAAAAATCTCATTGGGCCAGAAAGAATAAAACATTAAAAACTTCCTTAATGGGGGTGTGGGGGTGTGATGCTACACAATTATGATCTCTGTGGTTCATAGGCATCAGTTTATAAACAACAGATTGATATTTTAAAAAAAAAATCACATCAATTTTCTTGAATTAATATGAATATTTCACTTGCATATCATTAAAAATACACCTAAACTGTATTACTGTACATGCATTTTAATTTGAAATAATGAAATTCATCACTCATTTGTTGATCTCTGAAACACAAGTTTTGTATTGAGTTGATCTAACTTGACTAAGGCACTAATGAACAGTGTCCTTTAATATTGAATTTCTAAATATCTGTAATAAATAGACTTGTATGTGTAATTATGACATATAGTTAATATATAGAGTAGAAATATTCAAGCTACAAGGAGACATAGAGCTTTTGTTATTAGAATTTTTATATATTATGAGAGTTTTATTGTTGTTGATCTATAGACAATTTTTTTTTTATATATCTCGCTAGATTATTCTTAAATAACAGATGGGAATTGTTATTGTTACGTGTTTGTTTATGTTGATTGCTGCGAGTCTATGTTTTTCTGTGATATTCTGGGTTATATCAAGGAAAATGTTTCCATTTTATAGGCAGTCATTCATGGAATCTTCGTTTTGTAAGGTATACACTATAAAGTACATGTATTTCTCTTCATGTGTAATACTATTTGTTGAACTTGTCTCTGTTATGGATGTATCTTTTCACTCATGTATTTTATGAATAAAAATTCTAATAAAAAATGTAAACTTGAAAGACTTTATTTAGTTGTGTATTCGACGAAGTAGGTAGGTGCCAGGTAGAACAAAAATAATTTATCTGGTGGCCACATAAATTTATCTGGCAGCCACCAAATAAACAGTTGTTTTTGGAGCTAGGCCACCAAATTATTACAAGTATCTGGCAGCAACTAATTATTTATGTGGCAGCTTCTAGAATCCTGGCACCAGCTAGATAAAATATTTTTCTACCTAGCACCTGCAGGCTGTCATTCAGAGCAACATAAATTGGATTATATAAATATTTCATTTCAGTAGGTGCAAGAAAATTAGTGAATGGAAACTGCAAATACATGTAAATTGGAATTTTTTTATGTCCATGGAGCATAACTGTGTCAAAAATTCCTCCATCGTACCTGAAACAAAAGTTGACCAAGATATTCTTATGATAAATCTGTATATCAAATTTCATTTCAGTCAATCTAATTAAAATTAGATCTTTGATCCGCTCCAGTTTGATCGCTACACTTTGTGTAGCAATCAAACTGGAGTGGATCAAAGATCTAATTTTAATTAGATTGTATTTCAGTAGGTGCAAGATCTGCAAAGAAAATAAATAGAAACTTGGTGGACCAACGGAAAGACCGACCGACACAGCATCAAACAAGCAATATGCCCTCCCTTCTTCAAAGGGGGGCATAGATAATACATTAAAATGTTTATTGAGTTTGAATGTTTATACTTGTTTGCACAACTAAGCCAAAGACTCGAGCTTTTACAGTTTTCATTAATGCTGCTTAAACTTTTTTGAAAGGAGGCCATATTGTGACACATAAATTTTGATGCGAGTTTCAAGCCAAAAACAATGGTAGAAATATACGTTTAAAGGATTCCAAAAATCCTATATCCAATATTGATCATATTGGTTACAAAGTATTCTTTAGGTAATATAGGGGATAAAAGCTTTGTGATTTTAATGATGGGGAGATAAATTGAGATATCACAAAAATAGAAGTTGGTAAAATATCTGCAGATTTCAATTAATTTATACCCTTGAATATGAAATCATGCCATTAGGCATTATCTAAGGACAAAGTTCATGGTTTTAAGGGCATTTTGAAGTTGCTGTATTTGGGATGTGAATTCAAGGGTAATTCATTTATACTCATTGATACAATGAATCAACTTGTTTACAAAATTAAATTCGATGGGGATGTAAATTCATGGTTATCAGTTATTGATTGTATATTGTTTAATGTCCCTCGAGAGAATTTTTCACACATATGGCGACGCCACCACTTGCCAGTGGAAAGTTACAAATTTTGTCCTATACTCGGCACTCAGGGCCATCGAGCAGAGAGGGATCTTTTTCGTGCCAGCACCTACTGCGACATGGGACCTCGGTTTATACGGTCTCATTCAAAGGGCTGGTCTCCACGTCCCATAGTGGGATTCGAACCCGCCACATAAGGATCAACTCCTTACTTTCTGACTCTAGAGCAGATGCTCTTACCACTGCGCCACACAGGCGACTGGATATCAGTGACCCAGTAAATCCATGAACACTGCTTATGAAAAACTATAGGTCCTGTGAGCAATGAGCTCACTAAATGATACCCCCCGCCTCCCATAATGTCCATGTGTTGCTATATATTGTTTTACGGTAAAGTGTAAAGAGGAATAACTCGTCATTTCAAATGTTATCCAGAAGCTTCTATATGTGACGTCATAGGTATGCATATAATGGCAATGTCCATGTTTTGCTATGGGAAACCTAAAATATGTGCCGAATAAAAAAGTAAAATAGGAGATGCACAATGGCAATATGTAATAAAGATTCTGTGCAAGTTTCATTAAATTTCACTTAGTAGTATAAGAGAAGTTGCGGATAAGAGCTCGGTACCCCAAAGCGTAACAGACGGACGGACGGACGGAAATACCAATTACTATATACCCTCCCACTTTTCAAGCTGGGGGTATAATAATGATTCCACGGTAATATTCCTCTAACAAGTAACATTACGTTCACACGAACACTGTAAGGTGTATTTTCATAAACCTTTGATGAATCTAATGATGAATCCAAAATTGCTGCAACTAAAACAAGAGGCCCACGGGCCTTATAGGTCACCTGAGCATTATGCAACAACTTTCCAGTAACAGTGTATTGAATTTGATTCATGTTTTAAGCCAGATGCTATATGGCATTCACAATTTTGAAAGAGGCACCATTGAACATCATAACAATAAACTTAGCAGTTGCTTAGCTTGGTTACTGAATACCCATACACAGGGTAGGGGAACAAAAAATGCATTCCAACTAATCAGTAATATTCATCAATAATCAGTAGTGCCCCTAAAACACACATATACCCCTGACCCTAGGTTGCACAAATTTTTAAAAGGCATCCTTAAAATTGCCTATAAAAAAAGTAAATAAATGTTTTATATATATAAAGGACCATATTTCAAACAATTAATTCATTTTCAGTATATAAAAATACCCTGGGGCCTTGAATTCACAATTCCAAGGGGCCCAGATCTTAACTATATAGGTAGTTCATCTGCTTCATGCCCAGAGACAGAGAAGAAAATTTTCAATGATTTAATGTTTTTCACTATATAATCAATAAAGCCCCACCCTAACACCAGAACCCCAGACCCTGGGGCAATGAAATCCATAATTTTGAAGAGGCATTCTTGCTCATCATAACTATCACAGTTTATTTAATCTAGGAGCAGAAAAGAAGATTTTCAAAGAATTCATGTATTTTAGTTTTATAATCAATAAAGCCCCCCCCCCACCAGAACCCTTGACGCTGGGGCCATAAAATTCACAATTTTTGTAGAGGCACTCTTGCTCATCATAACTATGCACTCAGTTAGTTTATTTAATACCTAGGAGCAGAGAAGAAGATTTTCAAGGAATTCATGTATTTTCACCTATATGATCAATAGAGCCCCCCCCCCCCCCCAACACCAGAACCCTTGACCCTGGGGCCATAAAATTCACAATTTTTGTTGAGGCACTCTTGCTCATCATCACTTTGCACTTAGTTAATTTATTTAATACCAAGGAGCAGAGAAGAAGATTTTCTAAGAATTCATGTAATTTCACTATATAATCATTAGCGCCCCCCAACACCAGAACCCTTGATGATAGGGCCATTAAATTCACAATTTTGGTTGAAGCACACTTGCTCATCATAACTATGCACTTAGTTAGTTTATATAATACCTAGGAGCAGAGAAGAAGATTTTCAAGGAAGTCACATATTTTCACTATATAATCAATAGAGCCCCCCCCCCCTCACACACACACACCAGAACCCTTGACCCTGGGGCCATAAAATTCACAATTTTGGTTGAGGAACACTTGCTTATCATAACTATGTACTTAGTTAGTTTATTTTATACCTAGGAGCAGAGAAGAAGATTTTCAAAGAATTCATGTACTTTTACTATATAAGCAATAACCCCCCCCCCCCTCCCCCACCAGAACCATTGATGCTAGAGGACATAAAATTCAAAATTTTTGTAGAGGCACTCTTGCTCATCATAACTATGCACTTGGTTAGTTTATTTAATACCTAGGAACAGAGAAGAAAATTTTCAAAGAATTCATGTAATTTAACTATATAATCAATAGAGCCCCACCCCCCAACACCAGATAATTTGACCCTGGGGCCATAAAATTCACAATTTTGGTAGAGGCACTCTTGATCATCATAACTATTTACTTATTTGGTTTATTTAATACCCAGGGGCAAAGAAGAAGATTTTCAAAGAAATCATGTATTTTTACTATATAATCAATAGAGCCCCACCCTAACACCAGAACCCCTGACCCTCGGGGCATAAAATTCACAATTTTGGTAGAGGCACTCTTGCTCATCATAACTATGCACTAAGTTGGTTTATTTAATACCCAGGAGCAGAGAAGAAGATTTTCAAAGAAATAATGCTTTTTCACTATATACTTATTTAGCCCCGCCCTAGCACTAGAACCCCTGACCCCAGGGCCATGAATTTCACAATTTTGGTAGAGGACTCAATGCTGATTACAATCATGCAAACAATTTCACTGCTTGATGTCCAGGAGTAAACCCCAAGATTTTTAAAGATTGCATTAATTTTAGTGGTTTTGGCCCCACCCCTCAGGCCCCAGGGGGGCAGGGATCATGAAATTCACAAAATTTGCTCCCCTTCACCCATAGATGCTTTGTGCCAAATTTGGTTGAAATTGGTTCAGTGGTTGCAGAGAAGAAGCTGAAAATGTTCAAAAGTTTAACGACGTACGACGCACTACGCACACTGCACGACGACGGACGAAAACAGATAGCAATAGGTCACCTGAGTTTACTCAGGTGACCTAAAAATACAAAGGGATTTTGAAAATTTTCTTCCTTTTGTGGCCTGCTTGCTCAGTAGTTTACCACAGGAACATTTTTATCTCTTGAAGTCTCTGGTTAAAGAAATTTGGAGTGGTATCTTTGTCAACAGAACTTCATCAAACAAAAGCATGAAAAAGCATTGGTTTAAGAATCAATTTACTTAATATCAGCTCAAATTTATAACAAGAGGTTCATGATTGGTTTTGTCAATGAAGGTTTTAAGGTCACTAGGTGTGATGCTGGTCGTAGCACTGTTGACCATTGGATGGAACCACACCTTAGGGTAGGTTTGATCTAGAAGACGCTGGTCCAACACAAGCTTGACCTCGTCTTCCGTGTCATTAATTATCCCAAATACTGTGACGGATCCTTCTAGAATTCCAAGTTTTTCCTCTAATACACTGGAGTCCGCAAATCTCAACCCTCCACTTGCCCCAACCATTTTAGCCAGGTCATTCAGTTTTACCTCGGCATCATGTGGAGCACAGAACAAGTAAAGCCTCTTCTTCTTGTCTTTGAGAAATAAATTTTTGGCAAATTTGCCATCTTTGTTTTCAAGGTGTGGTAACGCTTGTTCTACTGTGAACACCTATAAAAAAAAAATGCTGTTAAAGAATATACTGTAAACCAACTTTAATTCGCAACAACTTTATTTTGCGATTTACTAAGGATAAATTAGTTTGCGACAATTAATTTTCACCATGAAGTCTTTCTAGGATATGCTTTTAATAGACACAGAGACTTTAAGGACCAGTTCGCAGTGAGAGATATTGGTGATGACGTGGCTCTTGCAAACCTCTTGAAAATTTCTCACATGTGAATAAAAGTTGGTTTACAGTAATCTACTTTCATTTTTTAGCTCTAATGGTCAGAAACCAGAAGAGCTAGCCTATGTGATATTAAGATGTCTGTATAGCTGTCTGTTTGTCCATCTGTCTGTAAACAAATGTTTAAAATGCTACTGAAAAGGTTTTGTCAGTATAAGTTGGCACAAAAGAAGACTAGACTCATAATTCTATTTACTGTCGATTCCTTATTTTTCATGAGTACTTATTTTCATGAAAGGCCTCTTCAACATCAAATCAGGAAAATAATAATTCAGGCATGGACAGTTGATCAAGAGATTTTACATTGATTTTACCACCATAAAAATAAAAGTACCGGTAATTCAAGTAATTTTATTTCGCGAGTGGTGCTTCATACGAATTACGCGATAATTAATTATATTATACAATATCTTAATCTTCATACACATTTCTGTCGGTCATATACATGTAACTCATTTTACTGGATAGTGATGTTTTAAAATATAAATGTAAATAAATCAGAAAATTATGCTTAAGTACCTGACTTTTCCCACCTGTGTTTACCTGTTCATACCTGTGGGTGTTCTATGGTCTCTGTCTGAATATTCCACTCGGCTAGCTTTCCCAGCAAGTCTTCTTTGCCGATTTTTGTAGAGGACATTTGGTAAATTTATGTCTGTGTCCTAAAATGAGAAAAAAATAAATTTTTAATTCAGTCATTCGTGTTTACACATTTGTTTATACACTTTAATGTCTGATTTTTTAAGCCCTCTTTGAAAAAGGGAGGGCATACTGCTTTGCTGCTGTCTGTCGGTCAGTCAGTCTGTGTCGGTCTGTCTGTCTGTCTGTCAGTCCACCACCAGTTTCTGTTCATTTTCTTTGCAGAGGTGCACATACTGAACTGAAATGAAATTTGGTATACAAATTTATCCTAAGAATATCCAGTTCAATTTCTGTTTTGGGTATGATCAAGCAATCTTTGACAGAGTTATGCCCCTTGGGCTTAGAAAAAGGAGGAGGGAGACATGAGTGTTTCACAAACATATCTCTTGTTTTACCATGTTTACAAATAGGTGATCACAATTTTCATGGAAATGAAATTATTACAAACACATTCAAGGAATTTTTTCCTCTGCTTGTGGGTATAGAAAACCTGAAAAATGAAGATGGAAAAAGAAAAAAAAATTGATCGATCACCTCCTGGGCTCAACTTTAATAAATATTTTTCAAAAGATGGAGTCTTCTCCTTAAACATCTGAATCAGTTTAGAAACATTCCACAAAAACTGGAGTTATCACCTGGAAACAATACAATCACTCAATATATGATTTGATTACCTTGAATGTTTGACCTTCAAACCATAGATCAAGGTCTTTAATAATTCCCAGGAAATTTCAAAGATATGTAAAATTTCATTGCAAGAGCTAGAGAAAGAACATATTCCAGTTATCTGAAAACTTATGTACTGATGACTTCAAAGACTGTCTGGACTCAAAATCAATAGGGGTTGTCTGAAAGTAATAGGAAATTATAATACATGAATATAATTTACCATGCTTACTGCCAGAGCTTAAGAAACCATTTTATGCAATCTACATCTCCTAGTATTCAAACTGATAACAATGATTCATTTTTTCATTTCATTTTTCATTTCATTTTCTTTTTAAAAAGTCATTTTTAAATTTTTATGGCCACCCATGGTAAAGTGAACTGCCTATATAGGCAGTTACTAGGCAGTTCTTTAGCAGTTTTACTAATTTTTAGCAGTTTTCAAACAGTTTCATGCAGTTTGATTTTTACTGCTCCCTAGTAACTGCTAGGACCTTGGGAGTAAACAGTTTTCCTTAGCAGTTTTTAAGCAGTAATCAGTTTCCCTAGCAGTTATATCTTAGCTGCATATGCTTGAGGACAAGACAGTTTCCTAAACAGTTTTGTAAGCAGTATATAAGCAGTTTCCTTGTATAATTTGATTGGGTTCAAGAGAAATTTAATGTTGGGCTCAATGTTCCAACAAATATAACACAAGAGGCCCATGGGCCACATCGCTCACCTGAGCACTAAGGGTAGGAAAAAGTAGAAAACGGCTTTTTATTCTAAAGTTTAAATCCAAAAGTAGTCCCATGACCAATCGGATTTGTTATTTTTTAGAAAATGATTTTTAAAGAATTTTCCTATATATATCTTTAAAAACTTTGGTCGGCCATTTTGGCCCCGCCCTACCCCTGGTGGTCATGATTTGAAAAAATTTGAATCTACACTACCTGAGCATGCTTCCATATAAATATGATGAATTATGGCCTTGTCATTCTTGAGAAGAAGATTTTTAAAGAATTTTCCTATATATTTCTATGTTAAACTTTGGTCGGCCATTTTGGCCCCGCCATACCCCCGGGGGTCATGATTTGAACAAAATTGAATCCACACTACCTGAGCATGCTTCCATATAAATATGATGAATTATGGCCTTGTCATTCTTGAGAAGAAGATTTTTAAAGAATTTTCCTATATATTTCTATGTTAAACTTTGGTCGGCCATTTTGGCCCCGCCATACCCCCGGGGGTCATGATTTGAACAAACTTGAATCTACACTACCTGAGCATGCTTCCATATAAATATGATGAATTATGGCTTTGTCATTCTTGAGTAGAAGATTTTTAAAGAATTTTCCTATATATTTCTATGTAAAACTTTGGTCGGCCATTTTGGCCACACCCTACCCCCAGGGGTCATGATTTGAACAAACTTGAATCTACACTACCTGAACATGCTTCCATATAAATATGTTGAATTATGGCTTTGTCATTCTTGAGAAGAAGATTTTTAAAGAATTTTCCTATATATTTCTATGTTAAACTTTATTCGGCCATTTTGGCCCCACCCTACCCCCACGGGTCATGATTTGAACAAACTTGAATCCACACTACCTGAGCATGCTTCCATATAAATATGATGAATTATGGCTTTGTCGTTCTTGAGAAGAAGATTTTTAAAGAATTTTCCTATATATTTCTATGTAAAACTTTGGTCGGCCATATTGGCCCCGCCCTACCCCCGTGGGTCATGATTTAAACAAACTTGAATCTACACTATCTGAGGATGTTTCCCCATAAGTTTCATCTTTCCTGGCACAGTGGTTCTTGAGAAGAAGATTTTTTAAATATGCCACCAAATTTTCATTAATTCCCAATTATCTCCCCTTGAATGAGGGCGTGGCCCTTCATTTGAACAAACCTGAATCCCCTTTACCCAAGGATACTTTGTGGCAAGTTTGGTTGAAATTGGCCCAGCGGTTCTTGAGGAGAAGTCGAAAATGTGAAAAGTTTACAGACAGACGGACAGCTAGACAGACGGACAGACGGACGGACAGACGGACGCCGGACAAAATGTGATCAGAAAAGCTCACTTGAGCTTACAGCTCAGGTGAGCTAAAAACAGGAAGCCAACAACTGACCGCCAAAATTGAATTCTGGGTGCCAATTTGTATTGTTGGACAAAGGCTATATAAACCAATGAAGAGGGAGCCTGCTGGCCATAAGCTGCATTTAGATTTAATGAAGAAATGATGTAGTCATTTAACAATTGGTAAGTAATTACTACAATATAATTATGTGGCCTTTAATTAATAAAGAGATAAATTGAATACATGTTCTGTTCTGATTTTTTGTTTGAAGGGCATATATTAATAATTGCAATCTGTTTCATGATTAATTCCTTTCCATTTACAGACTTTTAGAAGAGGAGTGGGACAAAATTCTAGTTGGCATACACAAATTTTTGTGTCTCTTTCAAGAATTAATACATGTAACAACTGAGATCAATGGATGGGGAGCTAGGTCAATGGCACCAAATCTAGCTGTAACAGGAAAGGAGAAAATGTATGGCTGGACCGGGAATCGAACCCGGGACCCCTGTATCTCCAGTCAGGTGCTCTACCAACTGAGCTATCCAAGCCGATATCCATGGCTCAAACCATTACAAGTGCAATAGGACTGCTGTATAATCAGGACTTAATGTGGGATGAAGTGGATATTTATTGGTGTTACTTAATTTTGACATTTTAATTATAGTATACCTTCAGTGTTGAATCTTGTTGAGCATCATATGCCCTGGGATATATAAGTTTTCTAAAAAGTCAGTGAGTATAACTGCATGGTTGTTTGTGTTAATAAGATACATGTAAAATTACAGATGCATAAAACAGTACTAGTGTTTAAATTTTTTTTAAACATTCATCATAGCAATCTCTGATTGCTTGATTGTGTAGTTAATCAATTGTACAAAATACAATAAATTAAAATGTAACAATTGATCTATTATTGCTATGTATTAAAAGTTTGATACGAGAAAACCTCTTCGTGACTCATTAATATTTATGTGATAAAAGGGAAATAGATAAGCAGTATACTGGAAGTCCACAAGCAGTTAGCAAAAACTGCTAAAGTAACTGCCTATGAACTGCTTAAGTAACTGCCTATGAACTGCTAAGAAACTGCCTATGAACTGCTAAGAAACTGGTAAGGCTAAGAAAACTGCTTATAAATTGCAAAAGGTTTGTTCATCCATCAGCAATCTGGGGAAGGTTAAGTAACTGCTCTAGGACTGCTTAAATGTTTAAACTGTTAAGGCTAAGAAACTGCTTAATAACTGCCTTCCACTTTGCCATGGGCAAACAGTCTCGATCTTCATACTATATAGCTTCCTACACACACAAAAATTATTGATTCAGTGATTCCTGTAGTATATTTTTTTTTTAAATCTGAGCTATAGATGTACTAGGCTGGCCTAAGATTGGGATGCTCTACTAACTCCTGTCTGACTCCCATGCAGTGTACAAACCTACTTGACTACCACATTGACACATTCCCAGCCCTTCAGTGTCTTTGACTTGGACTGCTTGTTTTCTGTCATGATCGAGTCTCTGTAGCATTTTGATATTGATGATCACAACTACGGTACTCACTGGAGCAGGCAACAAGCAAATTGAAAGATCAGGGAGAAGCAGCTGACTAGCATTGGAGAGGGAGAAGGAATATATGTTATAGACAAGTAACAGAAAACTTTAAAGCTATAAGGATCATGATACCTTTCTGTGCAGGAAATTAATTAAGTAAATCCATCACGTACATTTGCTCAAAACAAACTACTATTGCAGTATAATAATGGTTTGGATATCTTCAGGGACAAATTTAATTAAGAGATTTAAGGAGGGAGGGATGTGGTGGTGAGCAAGTTTCCATGAATTACCAATGGCCAGATCTATAGCTCTATTGCACAGAATTTAACACCTGACTAGTGGTTCATGGGGCTCAGATTTGATCCCGGGCTGGTCTGGTTCTTTGCATTTTTCTACTTACCTGTTACATTTGGTGCTGGAAATGACTTAATTGTTAAAATATGGACCGGCCAGACTGCCAGGGAAGAGCCTGGGTTGGTCCATGTTTATAAAGATTAAATTCCTTTTTGGGATGAGGATATATGGTGGACAGACAGGCCTGGTTGCTGGTGGACAGAAAGCTCCGTTGGTAATCAAGCATTTGACTAGCTATATTCAGAAGGTTCGTCATCAGGTTGGAATTAGTGGTAAGTGCATGGTCCGACACATCTGTTGTCCATTCTTGAACTTGTATGTGAAACTCTTGTCAGAGGAAAAAAGAACTAATTGTGTCTTTGAATCTTTGAAAGCAAAAGCAACAATATAAGGATGGGGAATACCATGGTTTTATTATTTATGTGTGATCAATGAATGTTGACATACTAGTTTGCTCAGACCTATAACTTCTACTCCAACTGACTACTGTGATATTGAGGGGTCGGGTAAGCCATATAAACATGTACATGTATATTCTCCTTACCTGTACATACGTATACTTAATTTTGAAGAGTTTTACCTTTTGTTGATTTCTTTGAATTAATTTAGCTACTTTCAATTTTCAGACAGGCCTGGATGCTGGTGGACAGAAAGCTCAGTTGGTAATCAAGCATTTGACTAGTTATATTCAGAAGGTTCCTCAAGTTGGAATTAGTGGTATTTTAGTGCATGGTCCAACACATTTGTTGTCCATTCTTGAACTTGTTGGTGAAAGTCTTAATTGTCAGAGGAAAAAAGAACTAATTGTGTCTTTGAATCTTTGAAAGCAAAAGCAACAATATAAGGAGGGGGAATACCATGGTTTTATTATTTATGTGTGATCAATGAATGTTGACATACTAGTTTGCTCAGACCTATAACTTCTACTCCAACTGACTACCGTGATATTGAGGGGTCGGGTAAGCCATATAAACATGTACATGTATATTCTCCTTACCTGTACATACGTATACTTAATTTTGAAGAGTTTTACCTTTTGTTGATTTCTTTGAATTAATTTAGCTACTTTCAATTTTCATTATTTAACCCAACACCGCCACCACCCCCTCCCCACTTCTTTCCACACAAACTTTCCTTAACATACACTCTATAATCAAATCTCATTGTCATTCATAATAACAAATTACACATGTAATCAACCGTTAGTTTGTAATACCTACCTTAACAATACACTACACGGTGTATAAACAAACGGATTACGTGCTGCATGTGGACTTAATCCGGATTGTGGTACGGGTTGGGTTTTGAATAGTACAATAACCTTGATGTGATCGGCAGGCCAAGGACGAAGGGACGTAATCTAAAGGAAGCAGACAGCAAAAGGGGTTCATTACCGTTCTGCCATGGCCTCTGCACCACAATCAGACCACGAGAAGCGCAAACAGATTAGCATTCGTGGAATAGCACCTGTGGAGAATGTTGTCGAATTCAAGAAGGCATTTAATCGCCATTTGCACTACACAATCGTGAAAGATAGAAATGTGGCCACACCACGCGACTACTACCTTTCGCTGGCACACACTGTCAGGGATTATTTGGTTGGACGTTGGATCCGCACCCAGCAACATTACTATGAGAAGGACCCTAAGGTAAGTTATCTTATATGTTGCAGACAAGTGCAACACCACGCACCTGCTCAGTGCTGGCATGTGCAGCAAGCAGAGGGGGGTGGGGGGAGGGTGTCATGTATGAAAATTATTCATCATTCCATGAAATAAAGTCAATTTTACTGATAAAGTACAACAGAAGAAGTATGAAAGCTTGAATTCCAATCAGTATGAACTTCCGTGGTTTGAAAATAGCTTTGTGCCGATGCTGATACATGTAATTGAATTAATTCAATTAATTGTAATGAGCCAGTCCTGATGGTTTTCTTCACTGATTACCTCATTTGGTAGAGCAACTGTCTAGAAATCAGAGGGCCTGGGTTCAAATCCTGTGCTGGTCTGTTCAGTTACTGTTTGTTATATTAATTTTGGTGCTGTACGTGCCTGGAAGTGACAAGTGGAAGATCGGCCATGGGTGGTATTTTCCAGTTCATGGAATGATGGATGGTCAGAGTATAGATCGAATCTCAAATTCTGTCCTTTTTCTTCTTTCTTGTTACATTTATTAATATCATTTAAATTCTGATATTTACTGAAAAAAGAGTTTTTATATAAGCTGTAGCTTAGTAAAGTATAATCATATATTCTGTCCTTTTTCTTCTTTCTTGTTAAATTTATTAATATCAAAAAAGAACATCTGGTCTCTTCTTTGACTGGAAATGATCTTATTACAAAATCAAGGGCCACAATTCCAATTTATATTTAGTTTGGTTTCATATTTTGTATTTTAATAGGAAATTTTTAGAGGCAAGCGGGTTCATTCTCAAGTCATATTTAGATAGGGATTGCATGTATGAATGATCTATCAATATCAAGGGATGCTTACTACCAGTTAGGCTGCTGATACTGGGCCATATTAGACCCTTTCTGTTCCAAACTTATATACTGTATACAGGGTTATTTTCGCCCTGTGTTATTTTTGCCCTTTCACACTTGAGAACAATTTTGTCCTGTTTTAAATTCGCCCAGTCATAAATTATACTGTATTATTCTTTGAAATTGTCCCATTTTAAATTCACCAAAAAAGGATAGGGTGAAAGGGGCAAAAATAAAACAGTGGTGAAAATTTCCTGTATACAGTATTACAGTGTTACATTTAGGTGAACCTTTGCTTCAGATGTTAAGCTTCCTAATGTGTAATTTTAAACAAAAAACTTTGTTTAATGATGAAACTATGTGTGCATGAAATATGGAGATAACAAACATTAAGTTCAAACGTTGATTGAAACAATGGAGATGGGAAGTAGAGCAAGCACGGCCCTCTTAAAACATTAGACTGAGGGACAATCTTAAACGTCAAGAGAATTCAGTATTACATGTATCAAAACAATAGAGAGATACCGTAATGGTATGTTATATAATACAGTGCATACATTAAAAAAAAATATATTAAATTGTAAATTAAGTATTGCTTTAAAAACAGAGGGCTAGGCTTAGATTTTTATTCTGTCTATGCTCAAGCACACTGATGTAGTGAAAGCTTTCATTTTCCTCAGAAGTGGATGATATGCCACCCATGTAAGGATTTTATACTTAATATTCATAGAGAATTCATCCACATTGCCATAATCCAGACTTATTTATCTGTAGGAGATCTGTAAGAAAAAAAAGAAATAAAGGATTATGGGTAATTATGGGTAATGCATCCAGGAATTGCTTTATTTGGAGTGAATCAGTGGAATCAATTGGTGATTGAAATCAGAAAAGGAAGGATATTGTTGTACTTGACAGAGCCAAGGAAGCTAGTCACAAAACAGCCCACATCAATATTGTCCCCTCATACTAGAGATAGGAAACTGTAAAGAAAATGTTCACATCTTAAAATTCTACAGACGTGAAATGTCACAGGAACTGGGGAGTTCCCATTATTTATATTGATTTATTGACGTAAAAGTTATGATTTGGAAATTGCTTGACAAAAAATCAGAGTTGAGATTGAAACATCTATTCTTACAAAATTGCATATATTTTGACTTAATCAGCTTGCTTTTGCAAATTATTTGAAGGCTTTGCCATATTTGTGCATTCATAAGACAGAACATTTTAATGATTAAATGTCAATATGTCCATTATAGACCTGTGCAAAGCATTTAATTTCAGTTTAAAGAAAAAAGTGTTGATTTTCCCAATAGTAATAGACTTTGTTTTTTTCTGCTCATCTTGCACTCAAAAACATACCAGATTTCAAATGTAAACACTTAATGCAATAACCTACTGGTATAAACCTTTGGTATAAAGTTTCTTTTGAACTTTAACAGAAAATAAATTTTATGCTTATACTTGCAGGAAATTCAGGTATTTTAAATCTCATGTTGTAATGAAATGTGAACATGTCCATAAATAAATGTTATCAAATTCCTGTTGCTCAAATTTATAAAAATCAGTTAGTTTACTGCTTTCCCTAACACTGCCAATTTTTCATGCTAGTGTAAATGAAACAAATTTGATCAGGATCAGATACACCATCAGTCATTCTATATAGAAGTTATGATGTTAAACATGTTAAATGTTTTTTTGGGGGGGTGGGGTGGGGTGGGGATACAAGACACACACTAATACCAGACAAAAACTAGATAAATTGTCATAAACATAGTTTTCTTATCCTATTATATGTTGCTCTCAATTTGCTTTCCAGGAAAACCAGTCAAGGAAATGTTTTTTTCTTGCATTTGTGTCCCATTGATTCAATTGACACATATTTAAAAAGAAAAAGCTAAGATAATCTGGAATTTTTTATACAGCTTATTATCAGTTAGTTAAGTACATGTACTTTCAGATTATTATATAATTTCAAGTGCTTTCTACTTGGTATTTGTAACTATCTGCAGATACTTGTAAATCTTTTATTGGATGTGTATGATAGCACATGATGAAAAAAAATATATGGATGCTATACCAGTATAAGCCCACACTTTACATCAAAGTAATATAAAAAGGTTTTTTGTCTGCCCACTATTGACTTAGACAGTCAAACATTATCTGTAACACATCAACAGTAAAACAAAGATATCTGATGATTTGAGATATTGAAAGTGAGATGAATAAAGGAATCACTGTCTAGTTAGTGTAGTATGCCAGGGCATCAACGATAGTGGGAAACATGGGATAATTTGCATAACGGGCGAAGCCCTCTGACGTCAAACACATAGGCAGCCGCACAAGATTTACATGCATATTTGGCCTTCTTAGCATCAGACACAGTGACAGATGCGCACAAGATTTGCATGCATATTAGGCCTCCTTAGCTCCTGACCTATCGACCTGCCTAATTTACATTCCGGCAGAATTATCAAGAAATAAACTCCAGAAATAAACTCCGACAACTTTCAATGAGATATAGAGAAAAAAATTAGAAATGGAAATATTAAAGAAAAAATGGAGGTGACTTCAACCAACTCACTATGACATGCCCATGTCATAATGATGTTCAAGTCACTGAAGATATTTGTAGTCTTTTACTTCATACATGTATTGGTAGTGTGCTTTTACAAAGCTGCAAGAAAATAATCTGATAGCAGAAGGAAAATGGTTGCCAGCATGGCAAAGTGGTTAGTGTCTGCTCCAGAATCTCAGAGTAAGGAGCTCATTCTTGCGTTGTGGGTTAGAATCCACTGTGGGACTTGGAGAACAGTCCTTCGGAAATCTTGTAAACTGAGGCTTTGTGCTGCAGCAGGTGTTGGCTTGAAAAAGATCCCTCACTGCTCAATGGCTTTGAGTGCCATGTATTGGTTTAAATTTGCAGCCTTCCACAATCAAGTGTGTTCAAAGGAGCAATGCCCTATTTAAGGGGATAAGACAATGCATGTAGTGTACATTTAAGTTTGTTCAAATTATGACCTCTTGGAATAGGGTGGGGCCACAATGGGGGATCAAAGTTTTACATGGATGATATAAGAAAAATCTGCCAATGAAGAAAATTGGGATTACATTGACAAAGTCCATGGGCAATATAGCCTCTTGGCCTCTTGTTTTCATTATGTTTTCCTTATTAACAATAAAATATTTATAATTTCAGAGGGTGTACTACCTGTCCCTGGAGTTTTACATGGGAAGGACCCTATCTAACACCATGGTGAATCTGGGCATTCAGAGTGCCTGTGATGAGGCCCTCTATCAGGTAAATAGCCATGTATTACTAGCTCAGTGGAGCTTTCTGACAATCATTATCATTTGGCATATATAGATTTAGAAGGAATTATTCAATAGTTTATGTAGATTTTATCAGATCCTCAGAAATTTCATTGTTGTGGAAAAAGGAAGTTAAGACACATAAATTTTATTTTTTGTTCAGAACTGGATGTTTTATCATTGTTTTTTTTCACTTATACAAGTGTAATAAAAATCTTTGACAATGTGTTCCTTGACCTTGATCTCTTGCTGACTTGGTAGAATGGCATTGACTTTTTTGGCGGAGGTGTGCTAGCCTTGACCTTTTGTTTCATTTGACAGATTGGCCTTGACATTGAGGAGTTGGAGGAGATAGAAGAGGATGCTGGTCTAGGAAATGGTGGACTTGGCCGTCTGGCCGCATGCTTTTTGGACTCCATGGCCACTTTGGGTCTGGCAGCTTATGGTTATGGTATCAGATATGACTACGGAATTTTTGCTCAGAGGATTGAAAATGGTTGGCAGGTAGATTTGAAAAAAAAAAAAGAAACACATCTGTTACAAAACATAGTAAAATCTGTTTCAGCATTACTGTAGAATTGTTGTTTTATTTTTTGTCTCGCACAACCCATTTCTGTCCCATTAACACATATTTATAATTACCGTACTTCTTATGTTGCCCCATTTTTGGGAGCTTGTAGTCAAGTTAAACATTTACTCTGAGTATAGTACACTGATGCCTGAACTTCGACAGGTGGAGGAGCCTGATGAGTGGCTAAGATACGGAAATCCTTGGGAGAAGTCCAGGCCTGAGTATGTTTTACCAATCAACTTCTACGGCCGAACTGAAAATACTGACTCAGGGGTCAAGTGGGTGGACACACAGGTCAGTCTATGTTTCTGAAATTTTCAGGTAAATGTGTGAAGAATACAAGTGAAATAGTTATTTGCATGGATAGAAAGTTGAGAGAGTTTGTACTTGGCTTGGAGAGAAATTCGAATTGAAGAAAAATCAAGGAGAAATTAATTGTTCTAGAGATCAAGGTGCAAATTGCTCTGACAAACTGTGCAATATCAGTTCTAAAAAAAGAGATTTGTACTGGTACGTGGAATTCAGCCAAGAACAGAAATTGGATCAGTATGTACTGTAATCAACTAACTGCAAATTATAAAATTATATAATAAATTACACAGATAATGAAGATACAGAACAGACCTGGCTACCCTTCCGCTTTTGGCATATTTTTGCTGCTTTTTATTAATTACTGTAAAACAGAAATATTTGTTTGGAGTTTAATTTTGTTTATTTTGTTGTTAACAATTCTCAATGAAGTTAAATCCTACACAAAATTTTTAATAAGGCTCCATATAGAATAGGGTTACCTCTAATGCTTTGACTTCTCAACAATGACTGAGCTGATTTCAACTAAACTTGCCAAAAAAAGCATTCTTGGATAAGTGAGATACAAGTTAGCTCAAAGTGTGGCCAATCTCCTTATCAAGGGAATATAAGGAATGTGGAGAAAAAAAGGAAAATTTCAATTTCTTCTCAAGAAACCTGACCAGACAAGACAAAACTTATGTAAAAGCAGATTTTAAAAATCTTATCTTCCTTAATTAGTGTTTGTGTTTGGGTGTTCTGTTGCTTTATCTCATACCTAACTAGTGCTAATTGTAACGGGAACCGTTACAGATGTTCCCCAAACGCTCCCCAACTCCCTTTTGGTGCCATATTCCCTGTAAGCCTTATAAAATAAGACAACATCTGTGCATTTTTGACTTTAAAAACGTTTTCCATGAAGGATACCAATTATATTCAAATTTTAACACTGCACGCGTGTGCATGTGAATGCACGGGTGCAATGATCATATCATCTTGTCTACACTTTCTATATATTTAAATATACTATATATTAAAGCATCTAGTCCAAAAGTATTAAAAAACACTCATTAAAGTGTAGTTTTAGTTTCACTCGTTCCAAATGCACGCACGTGCGTGCACGTGCATGATGACCATACCTTCTTGTAGGAGGGCCTTATATCTATCTAGATTCTAAATCCCATCCTGTTTGGTTAAAAAACAAGGGAGTTATAACCATTTAAAGTTTCAGCCAATCAAATTGCAGCATACGTCCACGCGCATGATTTCTTGAACTTTTTTGTACATCATATTGTAGGATATTCTAATGCATGACTATGTTTTAAATTTCAAAGCATTTCGTCAAAAAACAAAGGAGATATAGCCATTGAAAGTTTCAGCCAATCAGATTAAAGCGCACGTGCATGCGCGTGTTTCATGAAAATTTGTATATATCAAATTGTAGCATATCCTAAGGCATGACTATATTCAAAATTTCAAAGCATTTCGTCTAAAAACTTAAGAGATATTGAGATTTTTGTTTCAGGCAATCAGAGCGAAGCGCACGTGCATGCGCGCGAGTTCTTGCTGATTTGACATTGTCATATTATCTACACTATCAATATATCCTTATATAATGAGTTTCAAAACATTTCATTAAAAAATGTAAAAGTTGTGACTATTTTAAGTATATCTGTCATTTCACTCATTTCACGCGCCCGCACGTGCATGCGTATGCGCGCAAAATGACCTTTGTTCCGCACACCTACACTACACACCTATTAACCCTAAAAAGGTTTTAGCTCAGTTGGGTGAACAGTTTCTCAGAACACTTCCGGACAAAAAAGTACCGGAGAACAAATAAGAAAAAAAATAATAATAAGAAGAAGAAACCGAGTAAAAACAATATGTTCCCAAACTCCGTTTGGGGAACATAATTATGAGAAAGACAAACAGAGATTATCAGATAGGTAATTTATTTTCAAATTTATTTGTTATAGCTCATACTTAATTATATGAGAAACAAACAGAGACACTACGGTAATTTATTTATAAATTTATTTGTTTTCTTCTGCAGGTTGTGTTTGCTATGCCCTACGACACCCCTATACCTGGCTATGGCAATAATACTGTCAATACCATGCGCCTGTGGTCAGCAAAGGCCCCTAACAGCTTTCATCTCCATTTCTGTAAGTCACTAACTCAATCAGGAAGTTAAGTTTGGTTAAACAGGAAGTATGTATCAGCTAAAGTTTAGATGTCAGGATGTGTTAAAGATCTGACATGTCATCGCGGTGTATTCTCTAATGAGGTCTGTTGGTTAGATCGTGTGATTAATCGGAAACAACTTGTTTGTAAACACAATACTGTTACAAGTGCTTATTTTTTTAAAAAATGCTTACAGCTATTTAAAAAAACAAAAATGAGTCAATCAAATAAAAGTGATGTTTATCCAAGGAACAATGTCACAATGAAAGGAGACATTATTTACTTTGAACCCTTTTCCTACCTCCTTTTAAAATTTGATTTTTGAACAAAAACCTACTGAGATTGAAATTTTTATTAGATTTGAAAAATCATCAATTCAAGCACACACACAACACCTCAGACAGTCAATCTTTGTTTTTTGTTTGAGTTTTTTTTTCTCATTTTCAAGTTAGCTTTATGTGATAAAATGTAACACGAAAAAGAAATTCGGCCCTGAGTGACGAGTATAGAACAAAATTTGCAGCTCTCCACCGGCAAGTGGTGGCATCTCCATATGAGTGAAAAATTCTCGAGAGGGATGTTAAACAATATACAATCAATCAAAAAAAGTTTTTTAATTTGTATAACTCAGATTTCAAATGTGTAACATTTAAAAGACATTATGAAAAGATCACATGATTGAATCAGCAAGATAGTAGATCAACTTTAATGTCCTAAGTCAATGTGCAAAGTATAAGCCATCTGTATGAGTTTCCTTTTTTGAATTGACATTAACCTTTGATGTGTGCACACATATTTTTTTTTATACGACTGCAAAAATTGAATCAACATTGCTGGTTGCAGGTTGGAGTCATTGCAGATCTTTATATCAGACACTTATGCTAAACATTTGAGAAGGAATCTGTTTATTACGTGTAATAAGTGTATATTAAATGAAAATTGTTTTTTAATCAATTCATTTGTAATTTCAGTTAACAATGGTGAATACATTAATGCTGTGTGTGATAGAAACCGGGCCGAAAATATCTCTAAAGTGCTCTACCCTAATGACAATGTAGGTATCTTTATGTAGACTTAATAAAAAATATTCAGGTGGGATTAATTTATATACAATAACATACTGTTGGTTTTTTTTTTTTTTTACCAAATATTACTCTATTCAGAAATGCAAACGTTTAATCTTGCTTATGTAAATTAACAATATTTTGTCTCAGAGAAGTTAAGTATCATGAAACATGAGCAATTTTAAGTATTTAAAAGTTCTGCATACACTAAGGCCATATAAAATTGAAATCTTGGTTCTCAGGCCCGCGCGCATCCGTTTTGAGGTAGCCGCATTACCGATTTTATTGTATTTTTGATAAAATAAAAAGTTGCTATTGCGGAGACCAATCCGGGAGAAAAAAAATTCCGACCTCATTTGTTTCGTAGTTTAGTATTCAAATATCACTTCCGGTAGCCATTTACAATGAGATTTTGGCTACTTCATTTGAAAATAAATTCGAGGACATTACCTACAATGTTTACACGCTGTTAAGCAATGGATAAAGCAGAAATTTTGACCAGAAATGGAAAGTACATGTATATCTGTGATTAAAAAAATTATCTTTATGTTAAAAAAAATTCGGAAATTAAAATTAAAAAAAATACCTCCCTCATCTTCTTTATTGCCAATAAAATGAAAAATAAAATGCCGCCCTCCCGCATCTGTTTTGGAGAAAATTGGCCTGAGAACCAGGGAATTAAATTTAGATAGCCTAAGAAAGTCTTGATTTGAATAATGCTGTTATAAAATTTTCATAAGATTTGAAGATGGGAGATTCACTTTTATTTGCAGCAAATTTATAAAGACTAAAATTAAATTATGTTATCCCTTTGACATAGTGGATGCAAAGGAAGGGATGGTTATTTTTCTCTGTATTTCATTGTGAATACTTAATAATTAATGGTTATTATATTGCTTCAATGAAATTTATAATAAAATTGCTCTTTGAAAAAAAAACATACAGTAGATTATGTAGTGCAAATCTTATGGAAAAATTTTCCATATAAGGAGGGCCAACTTGTGGATTCGTTTAACTAGCAGTATTATCAATGGACAACCACATGTACCAACAACAAAAGATTTAATATACATCGTCAATTTGATTTGACAGTTCTTTGTGGGAAAAGAGCTTCGACTGAAGCAGGAATACTTCCTCGTGGCAGCCACCCTACAGGACATCATACGCCGCTACAAGTCTTCCAAGTTTGGTAGCCGCGATCCTGTCCGCAGGACCTTCGAGTCCTTCCCTGATAAGGTAATTTTAGCATCACGTGATTCAGCAAATGTATTCAGTAGATATTTAATGTTCTAACAATGTGGTTCCTCAACTGATGCATATCCCCTTCTGTGTTGTACAGGAAAACTTGCTTATAAGGAATTCCTCAAGACCTTAAGATCAAGATCATTTTTACAAGGTCTCTTATCTTTTATAAGGAAGTTCTTATGGTGGTTTAGAATAAATACACTGTATATTTTTTTGTTCAAGAAGGTTTACAGAGTTGGCACCCTCTATAAAATGTAAGACTCATTTATGCAAACTATACGTCATAGAAAAAACAACTCTATAGAAAGGAAATAATTCAATGAAAACAAATTCAAAAAGCACATATCTCCTGAACATGCATACTTACATATATGTAAACAAAGAATTTTTGCTTTAAATTTTAAATAATTAAATTATTGGGAATGCTTTTTTTTTCTTTGTTATATCCCAGAAATGAGTTAGAAATAATGATTTTTCATCAAAGACATTATACATGAAGGGAAATATTGATGACTACCAAGTTCTTTGTAAGCAAGTTTTTCTGTAGTTGATATGATCCTATGTAAACAACTTACAATTCATTTATACAAGTACTAAGTAGTAAATATCTGATACAGTAAAACTCATGCAGTACTAAATATGGATATAGCAAATTTACCGATATAGTGAAGTGGGTATTTGGCCAAAATTCTTGACAATTTCTTATAAAATTTTACAGTTATAATCGAAATAATTTATGGATAAAACAAACAGAATTTGATCTGGTAGAGTGAAAAATTTGTCTTAAGTATTAATATTTGAAGTTCATCAACTTTTCCATGGAGGTACTACTCCATTGTAAGTTTTGTATTTAATGCTTTCCTGTGCTTATTTGGTAGTCCTACTTGCAGGAAAATGTATACTGGTATTATGAATTCTATATACATTTATATATTTTAACAAATTTATTATTAAAAAAAGCGAATTACAGAGATAGCTAAACAAAATCCATAGGACTTAGTTTTTGCTGTTATTGAGTTTTACTGTATATCGATTTACAAAGTATATGGGGGCACCTGCATATCTTCTCTCTAAAATATTCGTAACTGGTAAATGGATTCAAAAACCTTTTTTAAAAAAAAGCACTTGATTTCCTGTTTATGTTCCTAGGAGAATGAGACAAATCATTGTCTGTTGGGATTTGCTGAGAAGGTTGGTCTCCTTGAACTTTCTACTAATAATTTTACTAACTGGGTGGATTCATTAAAGTGACCACTTAATACACCAGTCTTTTTTGTTTTTGTTGTTCTAGCTGAAAACTTTTCACATTTTAGTTCAGACTTTCTCTGAACAATATACAATTTTGACATATGAATTTTACTGTTCATATACATGTATTTCTCTTATGTATTAATTATAAAGTCATCTGAAACACACAATATTGACCTATTGCTATCTGTTTTTATCTGTTGTCATGCATCGTCCATGGTCTTTGATATTGGTATGTCATGCACCATGTGTCAACATTTGAACACTTTCAACCTTCTCTAGAATAGCTGAACAAATTTCAACCAAATTTTGGCATATGTCATTTATGGGTGAAGGGAGTATAAAAATTATGAATTTCATGATCATTTTCTGGGTTACATAATTATGTAGCTGCTCTGGTGGAGGGCAGGCTCTTTTGATATCAGCTTTAAAGTAAAATACATGTGTACTAGCACTGGCTATTACAGGCTAGTCAATAGATTTGTTCATTGATTTGTTACTTAGTACTAGACTGATTTGTTACTGAGTACTAGACTACTATTTTTGCTGATCTTTGATCATAAGAATTTCCCAGTATTTTGGGGTAATCTTCATCTATCAGTTCTTGTTTTATTTTATATTTCTGTGGATCCTTTACAGTCATTTATTATACTCAGGTGACCCTTATGGCCATTGGGCCTTTCATATATATTTTTATGTTATGCTACATCCTGTATATATACAGCTGTATATTATAAAGTATATATATACATTCATTTTCCCCTTTGCATTTCTCCAATAGTAGCATGCTCTTTGTTGACATTTTAAAATACTTCTGTAATTGAATTTCAAGGTTTCTGTTCTTTTTTTTTAAATAAATATTTCTTCCTTGAACTTATGCATTTAAAACTTGAGAAAAAAAAAACCAAAAAAATGCAAAATCTTTATTGTAAATAGGTAATTAAAGCATCATACCCATACTTCAGATGAATTTTATTATTTCAGTCTAAGGATTTGGTAATAAAACACTGTTCCCATGGTTTTATTACTGTAACACTTTTATTTTGACCCTTTAATTGAAAATGAATTAACATTCAGCCTAATTGTTGTTAGTTTCTAAAAGACCAGTATCTCACTTACACATTTTTTTATAACACAGTTTATGGGAATCACTGTGTAATATATTGGCCATTATGCCAACACACAGTTGTGATTTCAAAGTTTAATCTCACATCAATTGTAAAATCAGAAAAATTTAGTCAATGAGATGAATGTTGACTAAAAGATGTGGTACTCCCTTAGACTTTTTAAAATACACATTATGAAATTGAAGAATATTTATATGATGTAAGTTACATCTGTAAACACAAGCTTATTTTACTGATGACAATATGTCTGTTACAGGTAGCCATTCAGCTGAATGACACCCACCCCTCTATGGCTATCCCTGAGCTGATGAGGATCTTTGTGGACATTGAGGGTTTGCCATGGGACAAGGCCTGGGACATCACTGTTAAAACCTTTGCCTACACGAACCACACTGTCCTCCCCGAGGCACTGGAGAGGTGGCCAGTAGCCATGTTAGAGCAGCTCCTCCCCCGACATCTACAGATCATGTACTACATCAACTATAACTTCCTACAGGTAAAATAGCTCCTCCCCCGACATCTACAGATCATGTACTACATCAACTATAACTTCCTACAGGTAAAATAGCTCCTCTCCCCCGACATCTACAGATCATGTACTACATCAACTATAACTTCCTACAGGTAAAATAGCTCCTCCCCCGACATCTACAGATCATGTACTAGATCAACTATAACTTCCTACAGGTAAAATAGCTCCTCTCCCTCGACATCTACAGATCATGTACTACATCAACTATAACTTCCTACAGGTAAAATAGCTCCTCCCCCCGACATCTACAGATCATGTACTACATCAACTATAACTTCCTACAGGTAAATTAGCTCCTCCCCCAACATCTACAGATCATGTACTACATCAACTATAACTTCCTACAGGTAAAATAGCTCCTCTCCCTCGACATGTACAGATCATGTACTGCATCAACTATAACTTCCTACATGTAAAGTAGCTCCTCTCCCAACATCTAAAGATCATGTACTACATTAACTATAACTTTCATCCGCTATGCCTCAAATCTGACTTTTCCTGGTCTTAGGCACAACGACATTCTTGGTAAATTTCATTGATATCTTATTCTTTATAAAAACATCGCCTTTCCAAATGCTATGGATGGCAAATATTTACATACATGTATTAAAGTGTACATGAACTGGAACTTTTTTCTGCATAAATGATATCAGTTTTATTAGCTTTCCATTAGAAAACAAGGTCATGATGTTCAATTACTTCAAATATTAATATTTCTTTTTTATTTTCAAGGAAGTAGCCAAAAAATACCCAGGAGATGAGGGAAAGTTGCGGCGCATGTCAATTGTAGAGGAGGATGGAGAGAAGAAGATTAACATGGCGTATCTAAGTATCATCGGCTCCCACGCTGTCAACGGAGTGGCTGCCTTACACTCAGAAATCATCAAAAGCGATACGTAAGCTCTATCTCTTGTAGTATATTTTAAGACTGAATAGCAGCATCAAACAAAATTCCTTCTAAAAATCTCATACTTTTTGTTAGAACTTTGGATATTCAAGAAGTTAGTAACATGATTTTTGAATAAACCAAATTACCCCTGCTTTGTACTTTCAAAAGGTTCAAGGAGTTTTATGAGATGTTCCCAGAACGCTTCCAAAACAAGACCAATGGGATCACTCCCCGACGCTGGCTGTTGTTATGTAACCCTGGGTTGTCCGACGTCATTGCCGAGAAAATCGGAGAGGAATGGGTTACTGATCTGTACAAACTGCAGAATCTCAAGAAATTTGCTGATGATGAAAATTTCCTTAGAAACATCATCAAAGTCAAACAGGTTTATATCATGTTAGGTTTGGTACTTGAAATATTAAATGCAAATTAATTTTGCAAATCCAGAGCTAAAATTTGTTTAATTGATACAAAGATGTTAAAAGGGAAATTACTTAATTTTTAGCTACTTTTCTTTAATGACATCATCTTTTTCTTTCCTTGAAATTGTATTTGCTGAAGCTATATCACTATGTCAAAAAATCCTTAATCACAGTAATTGAAATCATATCAATGTAATTCAACAGGAGAACAAGATGAAGTTGGCTGAGTACATCCAGGAAAACCACAATGTCAAGGTCAACACATCCTCCATCTTTGACATCCAGGTCAAGAGGATCCACGAGTACAAGAGACAGCTGCTGAACTGCTTCCACATCATTACGCTGTACAACCGCCTCAAGAGGGACCCCAACCAGCCTTTTGTCCCAAGGACTATCATGATAGGAGGAAAGGTACAGTTTTATAGGCTTGTTCATTTGACAGGCCACATGTGATGATGGTGGGTTTATCCTTACCCATTCTTTTATATATTTGTGTTAACTTTTTTTCATGTCTCTGTTACAACTTTAACACTGTTTAGCTTATGACTTCAAGTCTTGTCAGTTCATGTAGTTTTAGGAAGGGATGGGTTGGAAGGTCATGACCCAAAAGTAGGTCATTTTGAAAACTGTGTCCAATTCATTATTTGCACAATGCAAAGTTTCAACACATTGAATGGTGTCACTTATGAGATTCGACAAGATGGTTTTTCAGCTTTTCTGTCTTCTTTACAGGGTCTTTTTAGTGATTTAATTGATACACTGTATTAAGTGAAATGAAGAAATAGCACAGTTTGCTCAGTGTAAACTCTTATTATTGTGAAAAAGATGTTTTATAGGATTGTCATGTTAGATGGAAGAGTTTATAAAGCTTTATAGTAGCTCAGCAATTGTCTTTGTCACAGAATCTTTATTTTTATGTAAAAAATATGGAATGGTCAATCAATTTTGTATGGCAATATTTTGTAGGCAGCTCCTGGCTATCATATTGCGAAACTCATCATCAAGCTGATCAACAGTGTAGCTAGGGTGGTCAACAACGACCCAATCATTGGGGATCGTCTCAAAGTAGTTTTCCTGGAGAACTACCGTGTGTCTCTAGCGGAGAAGATCATACCAGCTGCTGACCTTAGCGAGCAGATCTCCACCGCCGGAACAGAGGCCTCTGGGACAGGAAACATGAAGTTCATGTTGAATGGGGCCCTGACGATCGGTACACTGGACGGTGCTAATGTTGAAATGAGGGAGGAAATGGGGGATGAAAACATTTTCATTTTTGGAATGAAAGTTGAAGAAGTAGAAGAATTAAAGAGAAGTGGGTAAGTCTTTTAAAAAAAAATTTTGGTAAATCATAACCTTCTCTTTAATTTTGAAATCTTAAAGCTCTCTCAGTATACTGTACCAATCGCATCATCTCGGGTCTTTCCGTCAGAGGTCGGAAAAACAACCTCGAATGTATTAACATCACCGGATGTTAAAAATTTATACATTTCCTGTTTATTCAAATATAGGATAGACTGAGTTAGAAGTTGCTTCTATAGTATGTTTTCGGTAATATCATTACATTGAATAAAGTTAAACTCCATATTCCACAGATAAAAGGTCTCCAGTCATTTATTTCAAAGATCGTGAAAAGGGAGGGTTGTAAGGCGTCTACCATATACATTCGAGGTCGTTTTTTCCGCTAGTCGGAAAGGCCCGAGAAGTTGCGATTGTATACTGTACATGCATGTACATAATTTGGCATATTCAAAATTTAGCACAATCAACTGACATGGAGTTGTTGGTGCAATCATGAATTAGCGCCACACATGTTTGTGCCGTATATTGTATTTATGAATGATTTCTGAGCAATATTCATGAATTAGCTCATTATTGTCTGTGCCAAAGCCGCTAAAATATGAAGCCAACTTTTTAAAAATTACTCATACAGTACCTAAGCATAATTACTCGGAAGAGCATTCAAATGTATTCATGCCACAAACTCGTTTTATTAATGCAGCAAACTAGAACACCAGTAAGTGTCAACACATGATGAATGGTTCATCCTTTTTAAGAATAGATTATTACATTCCATTGGTCATTGTCTCTAACCAAAGTTCAGAAACAAACTGGAACTCTGAACAGTATTATTGTTTATTATTTATGCAAATGTCCTCCAGTTCCCCAGTTTCAGTTTTGTCACCTACAATGTATGATATCAGAGTTTTAAGTTGCTTTGGCTGTTGCTATATCTTTTGCACCATAAATGTTGTCAGTTAAACAATAATATCATTTCATCTGTTACAGAACAATGGTGTGCCCACAAAGATATTATTATTTTATGATTTTGAGTTTCCTTAATGTTTAAAGAGAAAAATGGCTCATATTTTTTTTCTTTTTTTTATACTACATATATATATATATATTCAAATTTTGCATATCCTGAGAATTTTTTGGTGCATATACACATGTATATGTACATAGGAAGTTTATTATTCAAATCTTGTGACAAATTTTAAACTTGATTATTTTTTTTTTCAGTCTTATATAATCCTTTTTGTATAAGTTTTCTGAAACTGTTTTCATATTGAAATGATAATGTAAACTAGTTATATATTGTAAATGTGTAAATTGATTGAAGCATTGTACTTTGAACAATAGTTTGATATAAAATTTGAGAGAGGAAAGAAAGCATATTAAATGTAATATACATAAAGAATCATGCCTCATTTTCCATTCCAAGGTACCACCCCCAGGACTACTATGAAGGAAACAAAGACTTGAAGCAGGTGCTTGATCAAATCAAGGGAGGGTTCTTCTCCCCCGAGGAACCGGGACTGTTCACTGATATTTATAATTCCCTAGTGTACAATGACAGGTAATTTGTGTCCTTTCTGTTTCAGTTACAACCCCCGGTTTTATTATGAGACAAACAGAGAACTCCATATGGTGCTCGAGCAGCTGAACTCGGGTTTCTTTACCCCGGACAAACCCAATCAGTTTCGGGATCTGTACAACTTGGTTATGTGGCCAGATAGGTAGTCTGGTGTGATCCTGCATGGTTTTCTGATGATGGCTTGGCCTGCTATGAAATGGCTAGGGCATAGAGTGTTACCCCCATTCCGTCCATCAGTCATTTACATAGTTTTTTTAGACTTTTGTTGTTTTGCTTGTACTTAATGAGCTGCTCTTTTGTTTGGCTCTTTAAATTAATGCAGATTAAGTTCGAATATCATGTCCATTTTCATAAAATTTTAATATATGTTACATTTCAAAAACTTCCACATTTAATGTTAAATGTTTACTGACTTTTCATACCCCACTCACTAAAAGTTGGAGGATATTGAATATCTTCATTCTTCTGCTCCATATTAGTTTCCAGGTCATTTATAAATATGTTCTTTAGCTTTATGACTCCCTGTGAAATATTTAAATGGCTTTTAGATCAACTTTGAAGTAAAAAAGTCAAGGTCAGATATTCATATGGCTCTCAGTAAATTAAGTCTTTGAGGTTTTGCAATGAATTGCTTATAGCTGAAGAAAAACCAAAATCAATTTTACGGTCAGGAGGTGAAAGGTCAAGATGGATTACTTTTTTCTTGGAATCTGCATTTTTTGTTTAATCAAACACCCTCTGATTTTGTCTTGAAGCAGGGACATATATTTTCCTGAATACAAGCTTAATTCACTTACTGCTTGAAGTGGATCATTATATTCATGCAGCTAAAGTAATTTGTGGAAAAAATTTCTGCCCATTGTTATTTTAGCTTCCAGTTACATGTATTTATAACCAGTATGTCAGCAGGGGCATTTTGTCATAGTGACACATTTAGTTAAGCATGGTGTGAGGTCCATTTTGAGAAGTGTCTGTTCAAAATTGCCTGTTGTCTGGTTTATGTGCATTGTGAATTTCAAAAGGGAATACTGGTAGTTCTGGTCTAGAATAAATGAAAAGGGTTCACTGGACTTGTAAATTTGAATTTTTTTCATCAAAATTTATTATAATACAACATATTAATGGTTAAACTTATAAATAAAGTTCATTTCCTTATATGCAAGATAAATTTATAGCCATTTCTGCTCTTGTGAAATATTCCTGTGCTTAACTGCAGGACAAGTTTCTTTCCAAGTCTTTAATAGAAAAGCATAAGTAGGACAGTTTTTTAATGATCTGTGCTTCATAATAAAGTGGTGCAACTTGACCCTTAATCTAGGGAGCCTTTACTCTGTAATTGAGGGTTGATACATTTTCTAAGCTCATTTCATGCAGAAGTATTTTAATAACATGATTAATTCATGGTTTGTGGCAGAATTTATTTTAGTCTGGGAATAGAAATTCTTCCATGAAAAGCAAGAGACTGCTTTTGCTGCAGCTTCATTTTTACCGGCAGATATTTTGCGATAACCATTTTCACAAATACAATATAAAATGGTATTTTATAAAAGGGATATTGTATGCAGAAAGTGTTTTTCCTTTCTTAATTTCGTCTATGTTGGGTTTCATTGCCTGTGTTGGAGTTTTCTTGGTCACAGTATGCTGTCTCATTGGTGGTACATGTACCACATTTTGCTTCTGATGCTTTAGAAGCTTTAAGGATAAATCAATGTACCCAAACCATATTGCTTATTCCATTTAAATGAAAACAATATTTGCTTTATAGTGCATGATGATTTCAATGCATTGTATTAATTAATTCTATTCCCCTTTCCTGAAAAGGGAGGGTCAGAGTATATCAATTTTTTTAAAAATAATATTTTATATAACACTGGTTATTTCCACAATGTGAAAACAATATTTGTTTTTTTTTCAATGTGTGAAAATACATGTCTGTGAAGAAAATAAATACATGTATCAATGAAGACATATTTAACCTTAAACAAATGTAAAATTATGTTTAACTTTATTCTAAAAAGAAGAAAAACAATCCCAATACCAAAAGATAACTATTGTAAGTTGATTTTTGTTTAGTTTTTGTACTAATATCAGATAGAATGGAAGGGTAATCCAAGTATGTATTTTTCAGATTCTGTCTTCTGAAGGATTATGAAGATTACATTAGATGCCAGGACAGAGTCAGTGAAGTATTCAAGGTATGTACATCCATTCCGTAGTAGACTTCAAATAAATCGGGCTTTCTTAAACCTTTTTTAAAATTTTATTTAAACTTATAATAATGGTTATTTAATGCATACTTAATACTACGGTATAAGTCATTTATTCTGGTTTAGTATTCTTACCAATTTATTTTGGCTTTTTCCTCAGAATCCTCTAGAATGGGCAAAGATGTGTGTCCTAAACATAGCCTCCTCAGGAAAATTCTCCAGCGACCGAACAATCTCCGAGTACGCCCGAGACATATGGGGGGTGGAGCCTAACGATATAAAGTTACCTCCCCCTCATGAGGGCCTCGACTCAGTGGACAGCAAACCCCCACAGAAGAAGTGAGATCTCTTGTGATAGCTAACAAACTTGACCGAGTACACTCGTATCTTGTGGCTTTGTTGTAGACTGTATGTACACTTGTAATATTAACTATACTGAGATTCGTAAGATTAGCAATATTAATTGAGAGGACATTAGACTATTTCTAGGTGTATATGATAATGTAGTGATGGTGGAGAATCCGTGTTGGATTGAGTACCTTTTTGAGCTTTTATAAATGTAACATTTAAGTTTGATGCATTGATGTTAATATATAGGAATTAAAATCATTGTTGTGTCATAGAATTTGTTAGGAACAGCATTATCTGCTGCGATTTAATTTCTCAACTCAAGATAATGGAAATTTGAATGAGAAAGCCCTTCAGTCCTATTTATTTTTGTTTACCGGTAAGAAGTAAAGCCAAAAAAAAATTTACTATATAGTATCATTTACCAATCTAGCCTGCTTTGTGTCTGCAGTGGTTTTTGCATTGTTTCACATTTTTTATGGTGAATTGATCAAGAGATTTTTTCCACAACTTTCTACAAATGATGACTAAGTGAAATAAATGTTTGAATGTTTTTTGAACCATTATAGAAGCTGTAAAACATGACAGTATGCATTGTATGTCTTCAAATCTTATAATGCAGGACATTTTCATTCTTTAAGGGTACAAGATTTTTTTCTTTCTAAATTTCAGTTATTTGCATGTTGGGTTCGGGTGGAATGAATAATATACTAGCAGAAACAAGGGAAAGAATTTTACTCATAATCAATTCTGCTCTCTTTTGTTGTTTGAAATTAAATTTTATTACATGGAAATTGTTAACTGATAAATGTGTAGCAAGTTTTGTCACTGATTTTTTTTTTTTTAGAATTTTGTAGTTTATAATAATTATTTTTTTTATGGTGCTAAGCATTCCTCTTCTCTGCAAATCCATGCCATAATCTTTTTGTTCCTTGAAATTTAGGGGAAAAATATGTTTATTAATTATCTGACAGGTAGCATAGTTTCTTATAAAGCTTAATGAATATAGATGTACCTTTTCAATAAGCTTTCTTTAAAACTTGAACAAAGAAGGTGTGTACAACACCGGTAATTCACTTGTTTCTCTAATTTGCCACTTGTTATAACCCCCTGTGTTTGTGTTTCACAATTGTTTTTGTCTTCTGAATCAAATTCAAATGCTTTACAGGCACGTAGCATCGTTTTTGAAAGTGGGGGGGCCAACCTGAGAAAAATTTTTTTACTTACCTAAAAAAAGTTGACAAGCAAAAAAAAAAAAAAAAAACCAAAATTGAAAATTACCCAGACTCGAAACACAGGTACTTGTGGACAGGACCCCCCCCCCCCCCCCCCCCCCCGATATTCAATCCCGGGGCTTATTAGAATTTTTTTTCAAAAATTCTATTTATAACTCTTATTCATCATGTGTACAATATGAAAAAATCGCCAAAACCCCAAAACAATCGTTCCACAAAAAAAAAAAAAATACCCCACTATACATTATAAGGGAGAAAGGTATGCCACTCCGGTTTGTTTACGTTGTACCCCCACTTTATAAACATGTATTTATTTTATTTCAACCTAAAATGTCGATTCACATCGTCTCTACATATATTTCTGTCTTAGTGCATGCTATCGGATTAACTCTGCATCTCGTAAGAATCCCACAATATCTTTAAACAGTTTTCCAGTCAGAAGTTGAAATTTCCCTAGGTAATCGCAACGGAAGTGCATAGAGAATGTTTCACTTATTAGGATAACGTCCGAGAGAGTTTTGGATGACGTAATAATCTCTCTCTGGTTTTATCATACATTCTCTATGCACTTCCGTTGCTTTTACTGAGGGAAATTTCAAACCGGAGTGGCATACCTTTCTCCCTTATAATGTATGGTGGGGTATTTTTTTAGGGTTTTGACGATTTTTTCATATTGTACACATGATGAATAAGAGTAATAAATATAATTTTTGAAAAAATGTCCAATAAGCCCCGGGATTGAATATCGGGGGGGGGGGGGGGGGGGGGGGGGTCCTGTCCACAAGTACCTGTGACTCGAAAATCCTATTTCGGGGGGGGGGGGGGGGGGGGGGGGGGGGTACTGGCCAACTTTTTTTCAAGGCAAAGTTCCTTTCACTTTCAATTTTTTCCTATATTTTCTTGCTATGTATATACTGTGGTAAACAGTGGGGGGGCCAACCATCTTTTCAATAGACATTTCCTATAGTAAAGGTAATGTTTGGGAAAAAAGTGGGGGGGCCAGGCCCCCCCTGATACTACGTGCCTGCTTTAATCTTGATTTTCAATATTTTTTTTGTAATTATTGGATTTTATCTTCGTTTTTTTTTTCCTTTATAAAGCACCAGTTTTTTGGAAGAAAAAAAAAACACAGCTGGTACTTGAGTGATGTTAAAATACTGATGTCTAAGATACAATTCTTGAAGCATGTTTTATTTCTTTTTGAAGAATAGAACTATGTAAGAATTCATCTTTACTTTTTGGAAAGAATCTAGAAGACTTTAAATTACATACATAATATTTTCTTTTATCATTTTATATATTTTTGTTATTTTTTTGCTTTTTAGGATTGTTTTACAATGATGTACATTATCATTCACATTAAAATTTATATAACTCAGATTTGTGTATGATGAGGACTTTGTGTGACAAACACTGATGAGATAAAATCATCTCCTAGACAATGAAAGAAAATATAAACCAAATGGAAATGGAAAAAATAAGCAAAAAATATTCACTAAAAAATAATTTCTTTCAAAAATTATATTTCCTCCATGTTCTGTGTAAATATCATCGTTTCTTTAAGAGTGGAATTTCGTTAAGTTAGGCACTTTGTCTATTCCATTGGACAGGAAAAAGCCATCACAAAATAGGTTACAAAATTCTGGCCAAGAATAATGAAGGATATTCGCTGGCAAAATGTCGACTCTTGGAGATCATCCGACAGGAGTATTAGCCGTATCTTCTAAGCCAGCTTTCCTGTATATATTTATCAGAACAAATGTCTGGTCCGTCGTCTAATATAGGTGCTCCTGTTAATCGGCAGTCTATGCAGCAAGCTTCCATGTTGTAAAATTGTGGGCCATATGCAACATGACACCTCAAACAACCAATGAGGCATGTCCTTTGTGCTGACCTAGGGTCACATGCAAGGTTCAAAGTTGAACAAGTGACAACAGTCAGTGTGAGGCAAATGAAGCCAATAAGTTGATACCGGTATATGCTGTTCATCTGGAAAGAAAAAGATTTTATCAAATGCAACCAAAGTACAGTCAAACTTCATTATGTTCAATTTGTTGGGACCATAGGATTTTTAAGGTTAAGAAAGTCCTCAATTTAAGTTTCATAGCAAAAGCCCTTGGAGAACTTAAGTTTTCATCTTGAAACTTTTAAGATCCATATATTTACGAGAGTTGTCTCAAAAAGTAGGTAATGTGTATAACTGTAAAAATTCAATGAAAATATAAATTGTGTTTGTTGAGAATGCTACGTTGATTTTCAGCAAAGGCATAAGCCTAATGGTTTCTGAACTTGACGTTGTTGTCACTGTGAACAGCTGTTTAAGCGCATAGTTAATGATATAAGCATAGACTGCTCAAAGCTCAAAGGCCTATGGTATTTCTTCATTGTAAGTCATACAACATTAGGACTGAAACTTAGCTTTGAGCTGTTCTTTTTCGTTTTCAAGGAGATTCTACTATACTGCAAACAAAAGGACATTTTCATTGAGCCATTCGCACTCTACAATGACAATATAACAGTATTTTTTCTTTGGACATTTGTATTAGCTTTACACCATTCCTGGTATTTACTTCTTCGAATTATCGGGAGAATGCTGAACAATACAGAGCCAAACAATACTTAGGTTCATACAGGTGCGAATTGACGTTTTCCCCTTAATTGGTTGTCCTTTGAGTTCCTATTAAAATGTCGTGCTTAACGATTGCTTTAATAATTACTTCTACTAGTTGCATGAAATATATAGAGATAACGAATAGCAACCGAGCTCAAAAAGTTCATTCCAACTATCCTAATAGGAAGTAGAGTAAACACGGACTTATAAACTTCTCAGAGATGGGATCAGGTGCCATGGATGATTACACGTCCCCACAGGCGTTTGATGTTTTTAACCTTTCGTTTCAAAAAGAAAAAAAAATATCCCCATACTATAATAATAACCTATTATATTATAGCGATTTTTTTATTTATGAAAAGAAAAGTTAAAAACGGCAAGCGCCTGTGTATGCAGGGGATAAAGGTTTCTGGCTACACATAATACAAATATTTGGGAAGTTGACGATAAAAAGTAAAAGTTACAAAATTTTGTTTATAAAGTTTTTTTTATTAGGCTACCATAAACGTGCTAAATAATATACTTCATATTTAGATGGAAATGGCCATTTTTTTCTTCTGTGTATTGGGAGGTTTTTTAATACCATATTGGAGAACTGGACTCCAAAAGCATTTTTCAAATATCAAGTTCGGAACACACAATCAGAATGTTTTTCTAACAAAAATAATTTTGCAAATATAGCGTTATGGTAAAAAACTTACATATGAATTTTATATAAAACGAACAGCAGCTGTTGTTCTAAACAATTGCAGGTTTAAAATTTTAAAATAAGAACTTTCAGATCGTTTTCTGCTGGTTTAAAATAGTATTCGTATGTTTGTATTGCATGTGCTGCATTTTAAAAAAAAAAGGGCCACACGTACGATTTTGTTTCATTCTTTAGCGTCCGAAATGCCAACAAATCTACTGAAATGCTTTTTGCTGCGTTATTGGTAAACCCTTATTGGAGAAGTTGTGACCGGAACACGGAATACCAATTTCTCTTAGAATACAGTAATCTGTTTAACAGTTTATAAAAAAAATTATGTCCCCAATCTATACAGTCAAACCCCGTTATCTCGAAGTCGATGGAACCGAGAAAAGTAGAAATACCTGTGGTTTCGAGGTTAAAATACATAAAGAATAAGTTTTTGGGAAAACCCAAATCTTTTCTATATACATGTCCATGGTATTTAAGATACATGTAGTATATTCTGTATATTCAGTATAGTATGTTGTGGTTGAAACTTTAATTTTTCGAGCTATATCTTTTGAAGCTTTTGAGCTTTTGCAATGAAATTTTATACCATAACTCCCTATTGGCCCTCCCACCCCTCTCAAAGTGACTCCCAGCCCACCCCCTACCCCTTTAGATCCGCGCATGCTCTTCTTTTTTCCTTTAGCGGGGAACAAAGATTCCCCACTTAGCCTGTTATTCTTCATATAACTCAGAGCAATTTCAGTTAAAAGACTGTACAGTAAAACACGGTTACAGTGAATACTCTAAAAAATAACTATGAGTAAAGGCTTAAGCCACAGGGGCCGGTTACATACTGTTTTTGATTTTACGTAATCACTACATATATACAAAAAAGGATATACATATAGTGATTACGTAAAATCAAATACAGTATGTTACAGGCCCCTGTGACTTTACCTTATTATGTTCCCCAAACGAAGTTGGGGAACATATTGTTTTTACTCTGTTTCTTATTATTATTATTATTATTTTTCTTCTTCCTGGGAAAATCTTTTCCGCGAATGATCTCGTAAACTACACATTTGATCAAGGTGAAACCTTTTTAGGGTCACTAGGCATGTTATGTAGATTTGCGGAACGAAGGTCATTTTGCGCGCACGTGCTTGCAAGAGCGCGCACGTGAATCACGTGAAATGACTTATATAATGGATACAGCCGTAACTTTTCTATTCTTGATGAAATGTTTTGAAACCCATAATATAAGGATATATAAGTAGTATAGACAAGACGACATGGTCAAAAACGCAAGATCTCACGCGCATGCACGTGCGCTTCGCTCTGATTGGCTGAAACTAAAGTCTCCATATCTTTCTTGTTTTTCGACAGAATACTCTGAAATTTTGAACCTAGTCATACATTAGGAAGATCTACAGCCTGATATATAAGAATTATCATGAAAGCATGTGCATGCACGTGTGCTTCCAAGAGCGCACACGTGCAACACGAGAAAAGTCCAATATAATTGATATAGTCGTAACTTTATATTTTTTTTATGAAATTCTTTGACACTCATAATATAAGGATATATTAGAAGCATAGACAAGAAGACATGGTCAAAATAGCAAGAT